AGAACTATTAAGCCAATAATAGGAAATTTGAGAATATTATTAAAGGTATTTCTAAAGGCAAATAAAAGAAGCTTAATAAGATTAAGACTATAGTAAATAGTCTTAATACTAAGGAATAGAATAAAATTATACTATATAATAAAGCTTTTGGCTAATATATTAATAATATCTGTAATAATCTTAGTAAGAATATTTATAAGAAGTTATATTCTTTTTTTAAGATAAAAGCTTTAGTATATAAAGCTATTTAGTTAATTAATAAAGCTATTTTAGAATATATTAAGGATAAGAAATATTAGAATACTAGTATATTTACTAAATTAGATATTACTAAGGTACTTAAGTATACTAAAGCTATTTCGGAATATAGAAAATTAGAGTTTAAGCTACTATTAGCTAATAACCTTAAAGCTAAATAATATATTTTTAATACTTCCGGAATCCTAATTAAGGGAATTTATAGTAATAAGCCTTTTCCTGCTTTCCGAGATAAGCCTAAAAAATAGGCCCCTATTATAATTTTAGCTTTAATTTAACCAGGCCTAGCTAAGAAAAATAGAGCTAATTTAGTAGAACCTAATAAGAAAACTACTAGTAAAGCTAGTAGAACTAGTATAACTAGATAAGAAGAACCTAGTAAGAATAAAGAATAAGCTAACCCTAAAACTCCTAATAAATAATAGAAATCTAAATACTAGACTAAATACAAAGTTAGTAAAATAGTAAAAAGCGAGGAAAAGCCCTTTATTTTAAAGAAAAAGATATTCTCTAAGAAAACTCCTATAATTATACCTAGAACTAAGAAGTAAAAAACTAAGGATATTAAGTCTAGAGAACTTAATAAAGGCATTTAGTATACCTATAAGATATTAGCTAAATAGAAATTAATACTTACTTAGTAAGATAAGTATATTTTTAAAAAGGTATATAGTAATATTATAGGACCTATTTTTAAGTAAGAATACTATAAGATTAATAATGAATTCCTTAAAGCTCCCTATATAATATATACTTAGTAACTTACTAATACTTTCTTTATTAATATATAAGAGATTAAGGATACTTTAAAGGTAATTACTAAGATCTATAAAATTACTAAAGGCAAGAAGTATATTTCTGTTATTTGAATAGATAAAGAAATACGAGATTTCTTTCTTAAGAACTAGGAAATCGAGAAATATAAATACAAGTACTATATTTCTAATTAATTCCGCCCTAATCTATAGCTTTAATTTAATATTATAGTCTCTATTCCTGAGGCTAGTATTACTAATTTAGGTATAAATAGCCATATTTATAAGAAGAATTACCTAAAGTAAATTAAGAAGCTTAGTATTCAAAAGCTCTTAATAAAAGAAATAGAAATACTATAATTCTATTTCCGAAAAAATAATATATTAATATATAAAGATCTTAATAATAGCTATTTTACTTTAGTCTCTTAATTTTTAATAGCAAATCTATTAATATGGCTCGGATTTTATGAGGTATTAAGTAAGTATCCTATTTACCTAGTTACTTACTCTTAGCTAGCCTAATACTTTACTTCTAGAAATATTAATTATAATTAGTATAAAAATAATACTAAAAATCTAGCTATTACTAAAGCTTTAAGTAGCGAATTCTATTTTAGTAAAGAGTATTAAAATATTAGTTATATTTTTCTTATAAACTATAAGAAGGCTACTATTTTTAGTAAGAAATTCTTTAAAGATATTAATTACTCCTCTATTTCTAATAAATTTGAGCCAGAAATAGCTAAGGAAATAGGTAAGTATTTACTAAAAATAGTAGGAGAAAAGACTTCGAATATAATTTATTTAACTAGATAAATAAATACCTTTAGCTAGGTAATCTATAAGTCTGGAATTATAGGAAAGTATTAATTCTCGGATAATATATAAGTTAAAAAATAGCTTAATAATAATTTGCTATTTAATAGGCCTTTTACTATAGTTCCTATAAGTCTAGTTACTATTAAGGATAAAATATACGAAAATAGAGTCTCTTATAAAATTATTAAAGCCTCTTATCTAGAGCTTTCTTCTCTTATTAAAGATTAATTCAAGGATATAGTAAATAATACGAAATTTAAAAAAGCTATTCGTTTAGAGTATATTAGTATGATTTATGACATGATTTGCTATAATAAGCCCCCTTAATACCCTATAGTAAAGGCAGAAATTAAGTAATAATTAAAGGCGGATACTAATTAATATAAAGAACTATATTGGATTTGGTATAAAAATATGGCTAAGCGGGTTCGGATTACCTTTAAGCAAGTTCGGGAATATGAAATAAGATTACTTAAGGGTAATAAGTCTTATTTTAGATATATAGAGGAGAAATTAGATTAACTAATAGAGAAGAATCCTAAATATTTTATTATTTCGGACTCTAAATAGGATTTTTCTATTATTTTTAGTACTTAGAGAATAAGTATAAATAAATAGGGAATTAGATATAGTATAGTAGGCCATACTTATTAAAAATTATATTATTTTAGCGGTTTTGAGGTTTAGGTCATATAGTAAAGGCTGCGGCCTTTTATATATAACTTGCGGAAATTAAATAAGAAAGCTAGTTTTTCTATAAACTTAGAGAATAATTCTTTATAAGTATTTAATTAATTAAGCTTTTATATACTATATACTATTTATACTTTACTATTTATGCTTTTAATTTATTATTTTACTATTAAATTACGTTTTGTATTCTAGTATATTTTATGTGGGTTTTTGTCTTATTATAGTTTCTCTCCCATAATATCTTTTACTCTCTAGTTATATATATATATTTATTAAGTTCTTAATAGCTTTACTAATTCCTTTATTAATTTGGAGTAATACGAGCCTCTAGAAGCTAGAAATATTCTTAGTATACTTATATTATAATATAAAAATAAGTAAATAAGTAAGAAACTTACTAGTTTATTTTATAAGTCTCTAATCTTACTATATAACTATAGGCTTCTCTAAAATAATCGTCTTATTTCTACTAATAAGAAGCTTCCGCTAAACCCAAAAAAGGATCGAATCTTCAAGCTCTTTATTACTTGGTTTAATATCTGAATTATTAGAATTATCCTCTATATTAGAGGATTTCCCATATTATTCATTAATAGTTACTTGGATTATAGCTTCTTTAGCTATAGTAAGAACTATAATTGAATCAAGAGTTAAATTAGCTCGCTTGCGTTTCTAAAGGTTTATAGAGGTAGCCATTAGAAGTATTTAAGAGGGGCACTTAATTATATTTATAGTTATTAAGATATTAATATAATCGTGGAAGAGCGGTTAATAGAGGAAGGCAGTTACGTAATAATAAAGTAAAAAAATAACTATATAAAACGCGAATATATTTGCTTGCTTAATTACATATATTATAACTCCCTTAATAATAAAGATATTATAATTTCGAGAGTATAGAATTAATCCCTAGAGTATATAGTATCATTTTAATTAATACGATTTATATTAACTAGTATTATGGTGATTTTTATTTTTATTTGTTGCTTTTGGATCGGACCGACTATAGAACGGGCCACGAAATGTATGCCCGGTGATACAGAGCCAAAGTTGGCCCCGGGAGAGTCTTTTCACCTTTCGAACACAGTCAGTGGCAGCTCAATCAATTCAAGATCTGCTTTAGGGCATTGGTTTGAGAAGTCTCGATTGGATTTTGCCAGGCGTGAAGCTGAGAGTGGAGAGACAGCAAGTGATTTCATGCTGCCTGGAGGAAACAAGATTTTGTTACCGAATTCAGAAGGTAACGTGTTCTTTAGAAAAGCTCGAGGTATCGATTTCAACGTATTAGAAAGGACTTTCTCCCAAATATATATTCTTCGACCAGTACTTAGTGCATTCATTGCGATTTTTTTTTGGTTGAAAATCGAAGTCATGCTGGGCCTTTTCAAGGGGTACGGGGTAAATTCGCTTCGTGGTGGGGTAAAACACTCCGCCGCTCTGCCCCTTGGGTCTCTAAGCGACGGGCGCAATTTTCATCCTCGCAATACAGAAATTCTCACAATTCCCCCTTATATTTAATTATCGTGAGATTTTCGCAGAAGTTAGATCTGCTTCTTTTCTAATATGCAAAAGACTTTTAAAGGGTTTCGGGTACTCCGTTGAGATTTGGTGTAATTTTCCAAACAAAGCGATTTTGGTGTTCCTCGGCTGCTGCTGCTGCTGCTGGACGATCCTCAACGTCCCGCATTTTCATAATTGAGATGGAGATGATGGGATACAATGACAACATGATGTAAGTTTCCTCGTCTTCTTTCTGTCCTTCAAATTCTAAGCTTTCCTCAAATTCTGTGCTCTACTAGTTCCTTCAGAATTTCTGCGTCGTTTACGTTTATAATCCGGCTCAGAATCGTAACCTCCGGCTGAAAATCCTCTTGGAGACATTTTGGGCTAGAGGTGCTTAAGAAGGGGGTGGTTGGGAGTTCCAGGATCATCTATCTGTCTACTGTGGGCGATTCTATGCCCCCGAATCTTCTGCATATGATTCATCCTACTTATGCAGCATTAACAACCGCGCGTGAAATAAAAACAGCCGAGACTCGATGAGCGAGGTTTTGACGCATGTTCTACGATTCCTGGCTATGCAAACTAGTTACCAGACAAGATGAAGAAATAACGCAGACTGCGCTTCCTCCGTGGGCTTGTCTCCTGTCTGCCATGCCAAATGGAGCCAATCAACTTTGGCCTAACCTCAACTCAAAAGCAGGGATGGCAATTTGGGCCCGAGAAATCCAGGTACAAGCACGGCTGCCTAAATTAAATAATAGTTCAAGGTTTCCCCGCAAACGGATCCCCCATTACGCTGGTTTGCTTATCAGCCAGTCAGCCTCACGGAGGCCATCCCACCCCAGTGTTCCGCCAGTGCCCGAGACTCAGCCCCCTTACCCAGCGCAGCCTTGCTCGCGTGCCCTCTTTCTATAAATGACCCTCGAAGAACCTTAATTTTGTGTTTGAACATCCATTTCAATTTTCAACCCGAAAATGGCAAATTCACTTGAAAAGGTTACAGCCACTTACTCTACACTTCTCCAACGCCTGGCCAAAACATCCACAAATTACAAAGCTCTCGACGAGTTTTTAGGAAAGGCAACCGACCATTCTTCTCAGACCCCAGCCAAATTCACAGTTGTGCATATCCCCTCGGGACTCCCAATCTCTCCTGGGATCCAATTCGACCAATTTGAAGGGACTGCAAATTTAGCACAAGAGCTAGAACAACCAGAAGGAAAAGAGTCGTGCCGGCTATTCATTGTCGAGAATGTGTGCGCTCAGGCAATAAATATCTTAGGCGAGAAGTTTGACATCGATCCCCAGTTCTTTGCAGACCACTTGAATAATGAGCCTTGGTACCGGATTGCGAATGTCGCAGAACGAATCCCGGCCCTCCCATCTACTCAGAAAAGCCACGACTTTCTTCAATTGCGGTATATTGAGCCAAGGCAAGTCTCGAATCACCCAGACTTGTTTCATGGAAACCACCCTTTTGTTGTACACAAAGAAAATGCGGACATACCAGATGATGAGTCTGTCGCTTCAGATGCGAAGAGTTTTATGAAACCTGATGAGACTACAACGAGGATACCTAGAAAGGCTGGGAAGTTGACACCGAGAGTTCGAAAAGGGAGAGAGTTTGAGCCATTATTATGCACAAGACAAGTGATTACCGTTTGGTTCAAGAAGACTGAAGGAGGATCAAAGGGGTGGACCGGTACTTTAACCCTTCACCCGTTAGCTCTCGGTAACTGCTGATAATGTTCAGGAGTAATACTTCTTGATCCCCCGTTCACGCTCCCGCCAGGAAATATCTATTGCGAGCCAGCTGGCCACCGCAGCTTTAACCGACGAGCAAGTCTACTTGACGAGGCAGAAGACACCATTCCGCCAACTTCAAACCGCGAGGCACTTGCAGGCCATCTCAACGAACGATTTTCCAACAACCCCTCACTTCTCGAAAGTGCAAAATCAGATTGTTTCTTCATACTCGGAGATGTTTACCGCCTCGTGGCTTCGAACTGGATTGTAATCAACGAGTATGTGAACCGCGAGCTCGCAACAATAGAATATATCCTGGAGAAGGAGGAGCCTACTTTCCGAGATCTGGAGATCTATTTGAAGGATTTATATATCTATAGGAGAAGGGTTACAAGATATCACGAACTTATAACCCAAGCGAAAGAGCAGTGTACAACGAGAGGTCAGGTTAGTTGGTCACGCGATCAAATCTCACCGATCTCGCTTGAACATGCCCAAGACATGGAAGCAGACTTCATCTACCTGCAAGACAAGGTTCTCGCCACATCTCGCCGAACTGAGAAGAACATCGACCTCCTCACTGCCCTCGTCTCCATCGGAGAAGGTAAACAAGCGCTCGATGAGAATCATGCATTAGCGAGGTTGAGTTTGTTAGCGACAGTGTTCTTGCCGTTTTCTACCGTGGCGACGATTTTTAGTATTCAGGGAGGGTATGGACCTGGGGAAGGAATGTTTTGGCTATTTTGGGCAATTGCAATTCCATTGACGTGCTTGATACTTGTTCTGAGTGCGTTGTACTACGGGATTGGGGTTTCCATCCTAGGGAGAATGGTGAGGACTCTGAAATTAAGAAGGCGGTGAAACCTCAGAAGAGAGTTATTGAACCAGATATATCTATCGTACCGTATGTAGGATCTATCGCCCCTTTTATCCTGTTATGTTCGTCAAAGTCGCGGAAATTGCACCATCCTCAGCCCTGTGCCTATCGCGAAGCACTGCTCGGCCCAGCGCCGCGCGCCTCTCCTTCACTCCACCATCTCCAGGTCCAACACACTTCCCATCCGGCACCTTGTTTAATAAGACAACAGTCTCCTTTTAAGCCTCCCTCGTCTTTCCAGAAATCAATCAAGACATCGGAGCTTTGTGGCAGGAAGCCTTCTTTTGATATTACCATCATTGTCCCTCTTAAGAGAAATAAATGCGCTTCTAGGGGGCATTAGTTGACAACAATTACTGAAGCGTGATAACAGCGGTGTATTGGGCCATCGGAGATGATGTTTCAGGGATGAAATGTACCTTGGCTGTTGCTGGCGATTTCTGTCGTGAATGTTTGAGAGGCTGATGGAGCTAGGGTACACGTGTACAGCACTGGGAAGACACGGTCTGCCGGTAATGGAACTGGAGAAGGCATATTAGGTGGCTTAATGATGTAGGTCTGCTCCTTCGGTGTTGAGTTCGTGATCCTGAACTGATAGGTGTAAACCGGGGAGGAATACGTTGTCGCCATCATGTGGATAATGGTCGGGCAAGGCTAGATGAACACTCAAGTGACAAAAGAAGGGGATAGGACGGAGTTTCGACTTGCGTGGGGCTCATCAAGGTACCAACGTATCAGAGCAATGGTTGGAGTTCAGCTAAGAAGTGGGTTGCGGCTGCGATTGCACCTGCATGGTGGTGGCAGTGCAATGATTCCAGAGCTGAATTTTCAGCAATTGCCCAATCATACGAGAAGACCAACTGTTTTAGTATGAGCAATCTGGTAGGATGGGCATTCTAGGAGAAAGGCTTCCACGTCTGGGAGCCTTCTCGATAAAAAGGTAACTTCACGTGACTGCCTATAAACGAATCCAAGCATACTTTATAATTGAATAGAGTGGCGGAGACGAAGGAAGAACAAGAGTAGCGTAGACTGAGAGGTTGAGGGGCAACAAATATGAAGGTATCCCCATTTTGAAGCTTGTTGAACCTGTTTGATGTTTGACAACAAGTTCTCGCTTAAGCCCCTATTTCTCCTTCACCGAGAGATACCGTGCACTTTGACAAGCAATGCGAATCTTGAAACAACTAGCCAGACAGTACTTTGTATACCTGAAAATACACAATGACTAAATGAAGGGTTCTGTTCTGTGTCATATTCTGCAGCTTATCAAAATTGGGCGCTCTCATGAAATTACAAAATCTAGAGAGCAAGCAGCTTTCCTGGCTTGAGTAGATGATTGTGGAGATCTTGACTTTTTGTCCGTTACTACCACTATATAGTTAAGAGCTTGCTTTCTCCGACGGATTTTGAATGATCTTAAGCAGAGACTGATATTCTAGCAGCCTGCTTGGAAATAAGCTGGTACACCCGAAGATCCGGGCCTAACATTGCGTGCCGTCAGAAACCGAACTTTTCTGCTATTGCATATCTAGAAGAAGGAATACATGGCACGAAATACGGAATATTTAATGGAAGACAGAGACAATTGTTCTAGGAGATAATTAGTTGTTAGCATCGTTTATGTTCAGCTGAGACATCGACTGCGGCTCCACCATATCACATGGTGGGGGCTGCGCACCAGGTTTCAGACAGCCTCCACAGTAATCCGATAAGCTAATGCAATGAAAAGATTTATTTTTATTTCTTTAGCAATCACATCACCGCAGTAAGGCTGAGTCCAACAGTCCCAATGTTTCATTTCCGCTCTGCTCTGGTCTCACGGAGTACAGGTTTTGGGCGATTCACACAATTCACGATAGACACAGGGAGCGATTCGATGGACTTTTACCGTCCAATTTCCATAGGCTTCATCTATTTCTGGGCGACCAAGTCCTATGATCAATTACGATGCAACTTTCTCAGCCTCCATGCGTAAGCAGCGTCGTCCTCGACATGCCGCCGCGGCTCAAGCAAGGGAGCTTCCGGCTCCGCCGCCTCCTTCGCTTGGCGTATCAGCCTCACCGGATTTTGTTTTGTTCCAGAAAGTTCTCAATAAAATAAATAGTCTATGGCTTCTTTCTCTCACAAAGAAACGTACAACCTCTATTCACGACTGTCAAATCCACGAAAAATACAAACGTCCGCGAAGAATCAGCAACAAGACATACGTTCTAGTACTAAGTCTCCTCCTCAATCCACATCACCGACAGAGCACCACTCCCGCAGTTCTTATCCAACCCCAGCCATGATAGATCCAGTCACGGTCCTCGGTCTCGTAGCAACAATCATATCTATTGTTGACAAAACTCGCGAAATTGCTGCCATTCTGGTCACCTACAAAAACGACAGCGCAGAACTTGAGGCTATCATCTCTAGCCTTACACTCAGACTCCCTTTGCTAGCTGAGATCCTCCGCAAGATCAAGCAAGCAACAACGGAAGAACAAATCCGGAGCCAGAGAGCAGTTCTAAATGAATGTTCCCGGCGCATGGCGGATCTATACGAGAGACTCGAAAAGTTGAGGCCGAAAGACCGGGAGGGAAGAATTGCGAAAATGAAACGAAAATCCGACGAGAGGGAAAGAATTGGAGAGATTAAGCAGCGCATGCTTGATCTTGAGGTGTTCATCCAGACGTTGACCACGTATCACCAAATGATCTACATGGAAAGGACAGATTTATACACGGTACGAGCTTCTCACTTCCCGTTTCTCAATCATGCTACACTCGCTGACCAGCTATTGCTCAGATTATCAATTCGTCTTGGGCTATGTTATTCACGTTATTCATCCATGCGAAGAACAAGGTGCAGTCGATATACACGATTTTACTCACGGATCCTGCCCTGTTCTTGAACATGGTCATTCGCTTGCTGCCGCCGCTACTCTTTATCCTCGCTTTGAGCTTTTTATGCGCTTCCTTTGGGCTTATCGTGGCCCTGAGACATGAGTTACTCTTGTCTCGACTGCTCTGCAGCGGATTAGAAGTGGATAAAGTATGGGTGGCGAGATGTCTTCGTAGCTTACTGGACAGCTGGTGGCGCGCTCATTGCTTTGTTGAACAACGATCTGTAGAAGTGGTGGCGGTTAGTAGATGGAAATTGTGGTGATTCTCCACCATGGGTGTTTGAGGGGGTACTTGGACGGTAGATTTCTGACTTTCACCTCAATTCGAATTTCTAGCCGGTCTAGATTTCCATCAAAGGTTACTGTGGGACAAAAGTTTATCATTACCAAAAACGGTCTTTGCTATGTTTGGGCATGGGTAGTTATAAATCATTCGTTTAGAATTTTCAAAAGCGGGGATGACGAATACTTGGGCGACAAATGAGCAGCAATGGAGGTCTTAAATGTTGAGATTATGAGGTTTCATTTGTCTAGCTAATATCAGCCTATTTAAGGAGACCTTCTCTCCTGGCATTAGATAATTAATCAGGCTTCTACATTCATCTGAATTCCATATCAAGTGCCATAATAAAGAACTCTTTTGTTTTACTTCATTTCAAAATTAAATAGATCTTAGTAGTTGAATATCACAGTGTCGATTTTTCATCCTCTTCATTACTCACGATCCAACTTCTGTAATGAGTCTAGCCAGGCTTCCAAATCAAATCGGCCTCAATTGACCAACCGCTTCACTCATCTGAACTCAACTTATTCACGACAACACATTTCTGCCCAATTCTTCAAAAGCAAGGTTACAGGAAACCCACTTCCGTTTTTTATTTTTATTTTTATTTTTATTTTTATCTTACAAAAAGCAGATACGTTCCTGCATCAAATCTTTGTGACGGAACTTTGGACATTCGCAAGCCTTGATCGCCGCAGTTATACACAACCCCTCACTCCTCACTCTCATGGGCTCATTATTGAGTAAGATCTGCGGCCACCAGCCTCAGGATTCCAGTCCTGGGGTATCTCCCCGCCCACCGACGCCAAGCAATTTAAACTTTCCGCAAATGGCGCGATGGTCATCTCCGGGTTGGGCACATTACGATGAAATATCAACCAACATGGGATATGACAGGCACGGTCCCAGAACGGATTCCTCTTGTGTCGCAACGTGAACCTGGGCGACGAGTTAGCTCAACACCTAGTGTTGATCTCGGAACAACTTACGTGCGTTTCGATATTGCTCTGCCGAATGGTTGGTTAACCAGAGAGGACAGCGGTTATTTGATGTGCAAGAGAGTGGGAGGATGGAAGGAAATGGGAGAGGACGACATGGTTACGGCCCTCGAGCTATTATGGATGGCTATGAGTTGGACAATTTCGAGAGAGAATTTGGCCAGCCTGGTATCGTTGATCGGGGTAGTGGCGGAGCTCACGACCGAATAGCTGACGACTTCTACCACCAACAAGCCCCTCGCGTGAGTCAACTCGTCGTCCCCAACGACGCCGTCTCGAAGCAACACACCTCCACAACCTGACCCCGCCCCTCTCGTTTGAACGAACAAGATATTTGAAATTTGGCCACTTCGCGGCCAGCAACTTTGCCTTCCAGGCGCTCCACAGCCTCTAGAACTCCCGACACTTCCAGACCTCGAAGTGCTCGGCTTCCTCGAAGACCTCGTCCACGACACCTCAATCCATCCGCTTGGTCCTAGACCTTGACACCTACAGCCGCACCGCCTCGAACTTCGTTGGATAATCCTCAACGATCCAACCCTTCTTTAAGAGGAGAATCCAACATACAGCAAGAAACCAAAGACTGCATCGGCTGTCTCGTTCCCCTTCCCATCGATGACTTCCCGCCCATCACAGCAGCGAACCCAAACCAACTCCGCTGCACGCACCCAAGCTGCCCGGAAATACTCTCCCACGCCGATACCCGCCGGCTCGCAAGACGCGAAACGTTCGAGCGCTGCGATTACCTGGTAACTTGTGTCCCACTCGGAGCTCTGGAGAACTTTACGGATTGTCTGAATCCGAGATGTGAGGGTGTTCAGGAGCATAGTAATGGAGGTAGGCATAGAGATGGAGATGGAGATGGAAGTGGAGTGATATTTGTGTGTAGTAAGTGTGGACATCGGTTTTGCACGAGACATGGTGTGGATTGGCATGAAGGCGAGACGTGTGCCAAGTATGAGAATCGTATTAATCGACGACGACCAGCACGACAGGGCAGAGCACCGGAACGACAGTCGGTCCAAGGGGTGAGGATACCACAACGAGAAGGCTTATGGAAAGAACGAGTGCGCCGTGTCCTGGTTGACAGAGGGCTGCGACCATATGACGTGTATTTGTGGACATCAGTGTTGCTGGACTTGTCTTCGTGGGAGCCTGTGACGGCACCAAGAGTGGTGAGATGTCATGGGATATGCTGTTGGGTTGAGGGACGAGGATTTTCGTCGTGACTGCCCCTTCCCTTTCAAGACGGGCACTGCCCAGACGCATGATGATAAGGCCGTTACTTTAGTTATATGCAGAGGGCCTTTCTTTGGGAAAGTGCCGGTCATGGCCATCACATGGGATTTGAACATTATCTCCATCCTCTTGGAGAAGAACAGAAAAGGTGTGAATGTCAGAACATCGCACAATCTTGAGGTCCGTTTGCCAAGTAATTAATGCTCATGGCCAAACTCATCCCATTGAGAACACTAGAACCAAGCAATTCTGGCTGGTTGTTTCTTCAAATTGTTCGTGATGCTTCTTTTCTCTGTCCTTGCACCTTTTCCCCTCTTTTACTTGGGGGCTTTCCAAGTACGGAGAACTCCTGATTTGCGCTGAAAAGGGGTAACGAGAGTATCACATGCCGGGAGACGATGTCAAAAGTGATAGGGAAATCCAACAGAGTCCTATCTGTCAAACTCGAAAATGCGCCCAACATCGGTGAAGATGACCAAAGGTTGTCAAAAAGAGAATATCAATGGTCAACCTCACCCAAATCATCACGTGTAATCCCGAACCATTGCTGAATTCAAAACCGAGGGCACAACACTTCCGGAACCCTACAAACCAGCCGAGCTCCAGTCCGGATCTTGAGAACCAGACACAACTCACCGCGGGTTCTCACCGCCAGCCTTTGTACCCCCTTCATTTTACTTTGCTGTCAGTCTCCCAGTCATCTCCGTCAGCACGCAGCGGCCCGAACCCGCCAACGAGCATGATGCACGTGCGGAGGGTTCAATGAGGGTGTCACACCGCCAGGAACCCCATCTTGGCCTCCGGCCCGCCAAACAATCCTGAATATTGATAGGCATTCGTGAGGACGGGCCAGGTTTCACTCCTGCCGGCGAAGTAGTCATGCTCTCCTCACCAGTGATTGGCGTGTGAAAGGCGCGTGCCAGCGGCATCCAATCCACGCGTGACAGCAAACACCAGCTGAATCCGAAACCGTCGACCCGGAAAAAGCAGAAGCATCACGGAAGGAGGAGGGCAAGCGAATTTCACATGCAAATAGTCCGAGGGGGAGATGATCAACGCCCGCGTAAAGGGATGCGTCTGCCTCCTGACTGACGTAGCATCACATCCCAACGACAGCTTTCTCCTTTAAATCCATTTTGACATCTTCAAAGTTTTGGATCCTCAACATTTTGCCCTGCCCACCGCTTCTTCTTCTTCTTCGGCTGTCTGGTCCAGCGACATCGGGCGAGGGGGGCCGGTTCCAGCGCAGACAACCCAGAAATCCCACTACTGCAGCTGCACGCTGCACTCTGCACTGTGGACAGTCCCGGTGCAGCAGGTGGCGGTCAACAGCGAATCCATTCAACGGACCCGGACTGTCAACAATCCCAGTCTGGGTGTTCCCCGCTCAAGGGATCTGGGAACGATCGCACACCCCTTCTCCTTTCTTCTCCGTTGACACTTCGTCTTCGACTCGCGATACAGACAGATACTGTATATATTTTTAGAGGAATCGGAGAAGCAAGTCAGCAGGCCTCGACCCGACCCCACACTGCACAACCCTCAACAAGCTTAAATTCGATAGCGCGCCGCACGCTAAGATCGCAGCCCAGGCCCCAGCCAGGCGGTGGGGTTCCTTTATCGGTGGTTCCAGCGTTGTTCCAGCGACCATTATTGCCCCTAGTCAAACGACTCGGACAAACTCGAAGTCAAAGAGTCGGTCACGATCACGACCAGACTGGTGCGTGTTGAAAACGGCCGCCTTTCCGCCTTGGCGCTTTAAATTGCTTCCTTGGGCGTTGCATTCCGTCATTGGGGTTGGGGATTCGATTGGGATTCGACTGGGGGGTTTAAATGCAAGGTCCCCCCACTTCAAGGGACAGTGACAGCGAACGACATCTCCACTTGAACAAAACTCCCACAACGACATATTTTAAATTTGGAGGTATATATGGAAGAATCATAGAAGCTCACAGCTCCGGGGATCCCGAGTGCATCAATCATTGTCAATCTTGGTCATCCAATACCGACCTCAGTCCTTCAACCAGATGGCCTCCTCAAAACACCTCCACCCCCTCACAACATCCCACCACAACCGCTCCCTCTCCAACATCTCCGCAACCTCAGATGCGTGCACCTTCCACTCTGCACAAGACCATCCTCAATCTTCACACATGGAAATGCGTCCTCTCTCCTCCTCTCAAACCGCTTCCTCTCAAACCCCTTCCTCACCAACCAAAAGCACACCAGTCTCCTCACAAAAGTTAGATGCAATAAAAATGTCCCGCCAAGACTCGGGGTACCAAGAATCAAGCCCCCGAACATCTACATCCTCCCGACATTCATCACACGCCTCTTCCCGCCCCTCAAAACCAAAACGCCGCTCAACCACAGAATCCAAATCCTCTTCGAGTCGACCGAACGCAAAAAGAGCGTCGAGGTCAAGTATGAATGCTGCCCAGATTCGAACGAGCACCTCCGGATCCCGTCCCAGCTTATCAAGTCGACACACCTCCCCCTTCCCCCACACCGACATCCAGAACATCCACCAGCCCTACAAATTCTTCCAATTCCCCGCCCCCGTCCTCGCCGCCGACCCGACTCCACCCCCCGACCCCCCTCAATCCCCACATCCGCCCCCACCGCCGGCAACAACACAATACTGGACGTCCGACCAAACCCGTCGCTTGGAGTATGCAGCTATCGACGCCGCTGGGAAGGGAGTCAGGGGCTTCTTTATCAGGTTGGTGCCGGATTGTATATTACCGCCGACGAGTCGGAGGACGCGGTTTTGTGAGCAAGGGGGTGAGGATGGGGCGAGTGACGCGGGCAGTGTGAGGCGGTATCGGCTGTGTTTACCGGAGGAGAAGGAGGGCGGCGAGGTTGGGGTGAAGGAGAGGAGGCAGGGGTTGTGGAGGAGAGTTACCGGACGAGGGAGGTGAGTGATAATGAGGAGCGGTTGAAGAACGAGGGAGAACAGAAGAAGCAAAAAGAGGTGGAATGAGTCACGATAAATTGGATATATAGCGAGCGTTGCATTTGATTGAGTTGCATTGAGAGAGGTTTATGAGAGAGTGCATGGCTTGGATGATACCCTTACATTTACGAGGAGACGGAATTTATGGAGCATAGGAGTGAGAAGCATGATTGGGGCGTTTTATACCACAGACTGATCGAAGATATCAGGTTCTCTTGTTTTGGGATTTTCTTTTGTCTTGGAAAGAGTAGGGGATGACACGAGGGGAGTAGGTAATGAGAGAGAGGTGAAGAAGATGGAAATTGTATCTAGAGCAGAGAAACACTCATTGCATCGGGTGGCTCCCAACTTCACTCGAGGGTGTCGTCACGAGATTGCTTCCTACCCACATGGGAATGCCCAAGTGGGCCCAAGGCCCACAAGCTACCAAAGCCGTTCATTCACGCACATATTCTTGTACAGAATGCCATAGAACAACCAAAGGTGGCAAGAGCGGGAATTCAGCGGCCGGAAATTGCTCTAACCAGTCGCTGGACAGCCATGATACGTCAATTCTCTCAGGCATCTTCTTTATATTTTCCCATCTGCTTGTCTAGTGCAAATCACCAGCCCTCAACGAACGAATCATCGAGATCAACATGGGGCCATGCCCTCGAACGTGTTGGAGCTCATACTTCCGGCCTAATACTCTTGGAAAACGCATGACAGATTCCTCAGTATTGCCAGGTGCGACCCACTAGTGCAAGAGCCCTTATGGCTCGAGCCCGATCCCGTGGCAATAGAGCATCTCCTTTTCTCTTGTCTTCTATCCTGATAAGTATCCTCTGCTGCTTGTACGAGTTAAAGAGTTTTGATTTGCTAAAAGGCAAGATCCCATGATAGCAACGTGCTGGTGACAATAAATAAATCCTTGTCAGTAACGACCCTCATCTCATTTTCAGAGTTCAAACGGTCAAGGCACTTCTTTGCCAGAGAGGAAGTTCACTTAGGGCGTGGCTGGGGAGGACTTCGTTCAGTCGGAGCCGCTGTTCGGTAGACTATAGTACCGGGCAAGAACCCAACTACGTGATGTTTCTGTGAGCAGTCAATTAGAGCGCTTTTACATCGGATCGCACTCTCGTACCGAGACTTCGCATCTTCGTGAGCAAAGATTATGTCTAAACAGGATCCAATCAATCTTTCGAATGCGACTTTGTTCCAACCTCTCCTTGAGTAGACGCTTGTTTTTATTCTCGATGGACTCCAGTTTACGGCTTGCTTTGAACTTGTGTTCTCTCCTCATCTGTGCATAAATATTACACCCGTACCCTCGCAGAGGGCAAGAACAATGAAAATATGAATGACTCCGTCGAGCGTCCTCATGTGAATCAACACATTGCCAACTCTGGTAATGAGTATTTGTCCCCTTTAGCCTTCCTTATTTCGTCGTCGGCATTATTGGCTTCTCAGGTACGAATTACAGGCGATACTGGTTGTTGATAAGATGATAATTGATGACTGCACTATCTCAAGTGACAACAGCCCCTGCAAACGCATCTCAATTCTATGCCCTAGCAAGCGAGCCTCCATGAATCTGGGGAAAGGCTTTCCATTACCGGATCCCCATGTAGATGTCTTCCGATGTGCCATTATCGTTGCTCCTCTGCCAATGAAGTTGCCCTGCCAATGTTGATTTCTTGTTTCCCGAAGTTCTGCAATATCCTGGGAAGACCAATTTATATTTGAAATACACGTTGAGATCTTGTGTACAGTGTCCCCAGACAGCATGTGATCAGAACTTCGTAATTCTTGTATGTTTGTTTGTGAGATGTTATCACTATACTTTTTCCTCGTCTTTTCTGGCTCGCTTATCCCTTGACATATCACGAATTAAAGGGGTTCAGTTTTCATTTTGTGATATACATATCCCTGCAACACAACAATTCCAAGGATCTTTATCAATCAATACTAGAGCAAGACCTGCTCATTCTTAGGAAATCTCGAAATGCGTTCGTTGCATTCCATTCTGCCCCGCCGCTCCATCCAAGCCGCTTTCGATTTATTCAAGCTCCACATTGCGCCATTCAACTTAATTTCCGCAACTCCAGAAGTCACAATATTGAAGACACACTCACGCTTGCAACTCACCTATACCTAACCTCAAGTTTGCTCCCCGTCTCTTTTCTCTCCATTACCATCTTCAGTCATTTGCAACTCAGAGTTATTTGTGAACAGTCCATTAACGGCAAATTCAAGCAGTCTCTCGAAAACCCTTTCCACGGATCCTACCACAAAACGAAAGCATAATGTCGGCATTCACACATCCCAAGTTACGCCCTTTGCCAGCGGGGATCAACCTCACTGAAAGAGTTGCTCTCGTCACAGGTGCAAGTTCCGACCTGGGCTTGGAAACAGCCCGCCAGCATCTTGTCCTCAAGATCTCCACTGTCATCCTCGCCGTGAGGAACCCCTCCAAAGCCGAAGCCTGCATATCCGAGCTCGCTGCCGATCCGAGTGTCAAGAAGAACAACGCCAAAGCAATTATAAAGGTCATGAAGGTCGACATGGAGGATCCACACAGCATGGTTGAGTTTGCAAATGCGGTGGTTGCAGAGATACCCGTCGTTGATTATCTGATTCTCGCTGCACTCCTCCCAGGCCTAGAAGCAAGCGCCGGAAACACTGGTCGTGCTTCCCGCATCTCCTGGGTTGGAAGTCGTCGCCATGAGTCTCCGACTTGGGCTTCCGAGAAACATGTCAAGAAGGACGAGAGCATCTTGAATCACATGGACGATCCGAAGAACTTTGGCTTTACGACCGAATGTGGCGATACCAGGACTCTGTGCCATTGTTCTTGTACCAGCTGGCATCGAAACCCAACTCTGAGAAAGTCTTCTTCAATATGATGTGCCCTACAACGGCCACTACGGCTATGGGGTCCAATGCGCCCTATTCGTATTTACATAGGTATCGTGCAGGCCATCAAGGACCGTTCGGTGAAGGAGGGAGCGTGGGTGTTGTCGCATGCTGCATCGGTCGTAGACTCATCTTCTAATGGCCGATTCTTAACTAACAAGGATGACAACGCAACCAGCGAATTACTCTCATGATTGGAATTCGGGTGTGCTAACTGTCATTTTAACAGAGTTTAATATCTGGCCTCACCCGCAGGGCAAGAATTCTCAAAGAAACTTTAGAATGAGACTATGGAGGATATTAAGAAGTACACGACTTTGCCGCCGCTTTTCGTCAACAAGGTTTGAGTAGATTATCTTTGAGGGTTGAGTCTAGTGGGGCTTTTCATTTGTTATTGCTGTGCTTTTCGAACCTTATTCTTTGTTGCTAGTCGAACCAGAAGATTGCTATTGCTTCCGTTACGAATTCTCCACTGCTCTGGGATAGCTTGAGTAGCAAGGGATTTATAACGGGTTGCTGCACCCTTTAGTGAAGACGACCCTGAAACAGTGAACGCGCAATTCAAGTACAGGGCAAAGTAAAGACCCGAAAAACTTTAACCTGAGAAAGCCACTATGCAGCCCCCGAACTACGCTAAATACCCTGCACTTGCACGCAATCTCGGGCAGTTCCAGTGACAAGCGTCGCCCAAGCCACCCACGTCAGCACTAGGTTCAGGGCCCAATACCCCCTCTCCCAACTTTGCCCCGCCCTCTAGAGGCCACGAGGCTCTGCAGACCACAAAACCGATCATCTATTTCTATAGAGCACCCATGCAGCTATGTTGCAATGATCGAATCGCCCAATAACCGACCGAAACCGTCCTCGAGTTAAGGCAGCTTCATTCCGGAGGGCCAGTAGACAATTTCACTCTTACAGGAAGAGATTAAGAAAATGTAATTTGTCACTGCATGAAACCAGAAGGATTTGGGAAGAGGCAATCTTTCTTGAAAGTTGTTGCTTCTCTGAGACACAGAGACCTATACGATCTCCATCGAGTCTAGTAATTGGCTACATCGTGAGAGACCCAGAAACCTTCCTGGCAGTTACAAAGAGGTATTATCGTAAACCCAGATCTTGCAATTAGAAGACGGCAATGCGAGAAAAGGAGGCAACGTTTCCTAGATTCATGACCATGATACGCTGAGAGCACCTTTAGACACCAGATTGCAGCCCGTTCTAGCGCCACCGAACCCCTGAAACCTGCTTCCCAATCCATCCCATCGTCTCCTGTACCTCACGACAAACCTGCTGGTTTATCTCCCATGCTTTCTGCAATCGAAAAAACTTGTCATGTCGTTCTTTTGTGAGGACGAAGATTGGGGAGTCGAAACCGAAGACGGTTGGCTCTATCCAGGAGAGAAGGTTTTGGAAAGCAGGTTGTTGTAAAATTCCCTCGTTCATTGCACGAAAACGGATGGGGAAGAGTCCTGAGAAAGCGCCCTTGAAGATTGCCCATGAGTTCGTGGTGGTGAGAGCCAAGCATACGGTATCTGTGGTATGAAAGTGTTTGAAAATCTCGATGGGGAGTTCGGGTGGGAGGGACGACAAAGTGACTGGTTTGGCTGTGTTGAGGTAGCTGCGATAAACGTTAGCTCTCTTGCCCATGCTGCTAGAAGAGGCCAGGTGAATAGTGTTACTACCATTTAGCAGGGTGGACTTTCCCTCTGTGATGTATTTTGGGACACGTTCCTGGCTTGGGAAAGATATTGAAGAGGTTGAGATGTTGTCGGGCATGTTGTCGTGATATCCAATTGCAAGAATAACATTGCAAGAATAACATTGCAAGAATAACATTGCAAGAGGGAGACCAAGGCAAGAATACCTCGGATTGGCTAGTCAGTTCGGCAGATATGTTGGTGTTTGTTGATGTTCTAAGTAGAATTCGGTGTCTGCAACGAAGGCGAGAATTTATACCGAGCTCCAGTTGAGAAGTTGCCCTGGAAAGCTGATTTACTAAATTTTGGTCAATGTAATGTTAAATTCTTTCCTGGGGAAGCCAGAAAGACTGTACCGACTGCATCAAGTTAAATACACTGACTGTAGTTTATTCAACCCATTCACTTCGATTGCCCAGGCCGCCATTTAATTAGGATAGTTAGTCCCTTGTTTTCTCATCACAAAAAGAAATTAATACTTAGGCAAATAATATACTCACAACACTCACTCAAGTGCAGGAAGGATCACCACTGAAGAGCATCCGCCGGCTGCTGCGCTGGCTGATTTGTAAGAGATGCCGCCATGCCTGGAAACCTGTAGTTTATAAGGCTCGCCTTGAGCAAAGGACCTCACTTTAATGAAGGTCCAGATTGAGTCCAGATTAAGTGATCTGCCTGGCCATCTGCTGTGACTTAATTAACCTTCTCGGGCGGCGAGTCTTTCTCCACCTTTGAGACACTGGAGGGAGATATGGTTATGAGTTTCTAAAGAGCGAGATCGTCAGCGACATGCTTCGCGATGGTTTGACAACAGGCCACGACTTGAAAACAGCTCTACCCAAGATTCGCCTTTAGTCTCACATTTGTTCTCCCATGTCGAACGGTTATGGACCAAAACCGCCACCGCGCCGCGGATGAATATATGAGACCTTCAGCTATGAATTCCCAGTCCTTCACATCTAACTCCAGGGCATCGCTGAAACTGAAAACTGGAATCATTCTCGGGTTCGTGAAGCTGGAGAGGTGCTTTAAATGCGAGTCGAGAAAGAGCGCACGGGGCCTGGGGGAAGTTTGAGAGAAGATATAAGAGCTCTCATGGAATTTTGGTGATACTGGTCATTGTCAGTTATGACAAGAGGAGGGGATACCGATGGTCAGGGCAGCTGAATTCTGGTAACAGAAAGTAACAGGAAGAAAAGACAGCGGCTCACAGTAGCTCACAGTAGCTCACAGTGAGTGTGACAGTCGCTGTTCGCGATTGCGTCCGCTGAGCAAGAGATGGCATCGATAAACAGCTTGACGGTGATGTTGAGTAGCTTCCCTGGGCGGTTGGTATCCGCGAAAATCTCGACTGCTCGAGAGCCACCATTGTCTGCTGCCTCTTGAAGCTACGCACCGACGGCGTAAGGGATTCTGCTATCCCAATACGTAATAGAGCTATTCATCAGGAGATGACTCAACACCTGTTTCTAAATCTAGAACAATGTAAACAAAAACGGAAAGTTCCTGACTGCAGATCTTGAATCTGGACGCGTCACCTATTGTACTTGTTGGTCGTCAGGAAGTTAATTTCGTTCAAAAAATTCTAACCGCCATGAAGAAAGCTTGTCATAACAGTTTGAAAATAGCAATTGTGGAGCTGGTCACTCGCTCTACTTGCCCATACCAACGAGAATCTACTACAACGAGTGATTAAGCGACTAAATAATTCGTACGATTATACCAGGAAGTTGTCCTAGACCTATGGAAGAGTGATCCTGAACTCGCAGTGCCTTCTTCGTCAGTGGGTTGCTCCAATCGGCCCCACCACGAAGGCTGACCAACACTTCACCATAACTCAGTATAGGCGAGAAGAATTCAAAAATCTGCAGTCCCAAATATAGAAGATTGTTTCGGGTCGAAAGTGGCCAAATTCTTCACTCTCCAAACCCCTTTCCTCCGGGGAAAACCACCTGTCGAGCAGGCTTAGAAGTAGCAGGAGCATGCTTGAATAACCGCTGCTGTGGAGTTATTTGCGCGAGTTAAGCAACGAGATTGGAGTCACTATAAAAGTTCAATAATACCATTATTTCTAATGAGATCATGGGTAGGTACGGTTTTGAGTGGACAATATCTAAAGGGATAGAGGTTGGTCGCCAGCAATTGCGCGTTACCTCAAAATAGTGGACACTTTCAAGTATCCCAGAAGGCTCAGATGCAAAACACGCAAGTTCTCAAGAATTAAACAACTGGCTCGGAAATACAGTTTCGATTATATGAGTTGTGAATTAAGAATGTCTATTATTGGAATACAGATCGTCTCTCCAATTACGCGGACGTCGAAGCACTGACTCTGTCAGCCTCAGAGCCAGGGCTACGTACTCCAGACTACGTTGCTACATCTAGACTTGCGATTCTTACTAGTATGATCCATGACACAGGAATATTAGCTCTGCAGAGTTTGGATGTTCATGAAGTGGTTCGTCTGACTTGCCAGGTTAGATTGTCTCGGCGCTTGTTATTTGATTATGTATTTTTAGAAAATAGGGAGGAAAATCTCAGACATTCAGTCTTGGCAAACGAATTAAACTTTCGTCTGTGGAGACCCATGGAAAGTCATCTTCAAGGCGAGGAGAACTTGTAAGGCTGTCTCACTCACTACTTGGGTCCCTCAGTGAGTAACAGGAAAAGTATTAAAGAGAGCAATTCCTCCCAGATTGTCTTCTCATCCTCATCTCAACAGCATCTTCAACAGTATCTTCAACAGTATCATCCAGCACAACACTCATTTTCCCTCAGTTTCTTAATTTGACAACTTCACTCACCTTAATCCAAAGCTTTCACCTTCGGCTACTTCCAAAATGCACTGCTCATTCTCCAACACCGTTCTGGCTGCTTTCAGCATCATCTCCATCGCCTCTGCAGGCCCAATTGCAGCCCGTGACATCTGTGGTGTAGCCCCCGCCGGAACTGTAGCCCAAACGCCTCTCTCGCAGCCCACTGGAATCAGTGAGTCACCGCCCTCCTACTTTCTAATTCTGGGAATGTTCTAATATCCTTTTAGATACCGCTGCAGACTGTGCTGCTAAGTGCAAAGGCAACCCAGCATGTCTTTCCTTCCTCTTTGGCCTCGTCGATGGTGTCGATAAATGCCTCCTCTACTCTGTTCCAGCTGCTTCAGTCCCCCCTCAAACCAACCTTGTCGCTTATGACATCGCATGCACCTCAATCCCATCTGTTGTTCCCACTGCGGCCAACCCAGGTGGACTTCGCAGCCGTCAAGCTACTGGAGCTCAAGTCTCAAACCCTGCTCAAGGTGCCTCGGGCACCACAACAGGCTCAGGTACTCAGACAGTCGGAACTCACGCCAATCCCGTCAACGCTATCCCAGCTGGCTCGCCGTCACCCATCGCTGAGCCGGTCGTTGATGATCTCAGTGCTTGCCTCGCAGCTTGCAAAGGCGACCCAGGTTGCATTGCCTATACCTTTGAATCTGGTGTCTGCAAGCTGTTCGGTCCTGCCACTACACGCAGACAAGCAGTTGGAACTCACGCCAACCCTGCCAACTCTGTCCCCGCTGGCTCACCAAACCCAATCGCCGAGCCGGTCGTTGATAATCTCAGTGCTTGCCTCGCGGCTTGCAAAGGCGACCCAGGTTGCATTGCCTATACCTTTGAATCTGGTGTCTGCAAGCTGTTCGGTCCTGCCACTACACGCAGACAAGCAGTTGGAACTCACGCCAACCCTGCGAACACTGTCCCCGCTGGCTCACCAAACCCAATCGCCGAGCCCGTCGTTGATGACCTGTCTGCCTGTCTGGCAGCGTGCAAAGGTAACCCATCTTGCATTGCGTATACGTTTGAGTCTGGCGTTTGCAAGCTGTTCGGTCCTACTCCAGTCAGACGCAGACAGCAACAAGGTGCCGCAGGTGGTTCTGCCAGCGGTCAAGGAGCCCAGAACCCACAGACTGGTCCTTCCCCGACACCTGCCCCTACGAACCAAGGAACTCACGCGAACCCCATCAACGCAGTTCCTGCCGGTTCCCCAACACCAATCGCCACCCCTGCCGTTGATGACCTGACCGCCTGCCTCGATGCCTGCAAAGGAAACCCTGCCTGCATCGCGTACGTGTTCGAGTCTGGTGTCTGCAAGCTTTACGAATAGAAAGTTTGAACGAGGTCCCTCATTCGAGGATGAACGGTTTCTTTTGTGAAGAAAAGTGATGGAGTGTTGGTTAGATGGTTGGCTGGTTTGCGCTCGTTTTTGGGGTTTGTCTTGCAATTTTCCTGTCGCTACAAACACTTGTTTCCTCGGGCATTCAACATGCTCCTTCGTTTTATTACCAAAGTTTTGTAGAATACTGTACCTAATACAAGACGGTATCGACTACTTGACTTGCCTGGTTTGATTCATTAGTCGCTTCCCGGTCCTGGTATCCATGTTTCTGGTGTTTCAAATAATAGCAGGGCTGACTGACAGTATGAATCGATGCAAGAGTGAGAGAAAAAAGGTGAACACGTCTTCCTTGGGCTTTCACTCAGGGGTTTGGCCGAGTCCTAGTTCTTCCTCGCCTCAGTCCTGGCAAGCAAGAAGCCTTCGGCGCATGACGTTTCATGACGTTTGCGGAAGTAAGGTGGGGCTTCCCGGGTTTCATCCACGCGGCGCCCGTCTGACAACAAATATATAGAATTTAGTTTCCCCCACTCGGGGAAAGTTACAGGAAGTGGGGAGACAACCAACGAGTTTGAGTTATGCGTACACATGGGAGAATGTCTTTTCTGGCAAGAGAGAAAGATTTCTCGCAGATCCATGTTTGCAAGCAGAGCAAGCCTGCTGCAAACTTGTACAGAGCCGCTTCGTAGAATTTAGGTTCTTCGAGATGAGGAAGGTATGCATTTTCCCAGGAAATTTGAACGCACCCGGCTCATTTTAATAACATTATGTACGTAATTATAACAAATCCATATGGTAACTCCAAACCCAGCCTCATATAATCATTGTGCGCAATACTCCTCATTTCTCAAATATATTTTGCACTCCAGACCCCGTTACTCATTGCACTCTGCGCCAGTTTCCCAGCAACCAGCCTGAAAAATCTCACTTGATCCTGTCCCCAGGCGACAGCCCCAATCCCTGCTCTCATAGAATCACTTGGCACCCATGATAAATCATGACTTGTGCTTGACCATTCCAGTGGACCAGAATTTGAAGCATTGGTCGCCGCTACTTGGTATATCGACTTGTCGGATCCCGTGAAAAAGGCGTACAATGTATCACTTGACGGTTGCCAACAGGTAGAGAAATCGGTCAGAGAGCTCCATTTCGACCCCTCCGAGGTAACCACGGGATTAGCTAGATTCCTTTGTTAGTCTAAGTGGTACTGTAAAGTGTAGAGTGTGGATGGTTTACCAGCTTCCCATGTCTTGTTATATGAGATATAGTAGAGATCCTTACTCTTATCGTCAACATAAAACAAAGTGAGCGAAGAAGTATTTCCAACTTGGGCAGCAGAGATACTACTTCCACTCGGCGCCTTCCCAGAAACCGTTGCTCCGTGGTCCCACATTCCTCGTCCGTCCATCGAGAGTTGCGTTATGTAGCGGTCCGAATTGTGATAGAAGACTCGGAAACCGAGATCCCGGGTCCCAAGGTAGAGGGCAGCCAGACCCGAGTACTCATAGACTGGGAACGAGAGGCCATCAGATATGGCGTCGTTATATATTGTTGTGCAGGCCGTGGGAACAGTTGTCGGATCACAGCTCACATTGGCGAGAACGATTTTCGAATCATAGATGTAAAAGAGGTTGATGTAAATATTGCCATCTGTTCCAAGCATGCTGACCATGGACATCGGTGCATTTATTGAAGGCACTATGGTCAGATCCATTGTTTGGGCGGCTGTAAAATTGGCTGCTCCGCTGTTGAGTCTGAACGTGACTTTACCTGAGGTCGTGTTTGTGTAGGCGATTTGGGAGTTCCAATTTGTGTAATTCGTTCCAATGAACAGGCCAGAGGAGGTAAGGGCTGGCAGTCGTGTCGTATCCTCCGATGCTTCTTTGATCTTTAGTGCAACGACGACTCCCACTACAATTCCAACGATAACTAGTAATACCAATCCAACAACCAGGGCAATGAATATTCGACGCCGTACCCCGCAGCATTGTTGACGGGATGATCGATTTTTTCGATTTCCTTCGACTTCTAATTTCTGAAGAGGTGAGCCCGGAGTGGTGACGGCGGTCAAATTCCTGCTAATGGGAGATACTGTTGATGGAGATAAGGTATCGCGTGAGAAAGCTGTGGCTGGAGAGAATGGTGGGGTATATGGGTGCAATCCGGGATCCTCTTCTACGGGCGTTGGATATCGTTCGTCGTCTCTCATTACATATCCCGGGACGGCTTTTGAAGTAGCCGATTGCGTTGTCAATTGCGGCATCGACAATCTATAGCTGTCGTCCATGGTGTATGAAGGTGGAGGGTGTTGTAGATGTTCTCTAGGGGCCAGGCTCAGGTGCTCGTCATCGGACTAGAACGAAATTAATGCGGAGCCATGGGAAAGTGAGGGTGTTGATGCCCACCGAGAAGGAGTAAAAGGACTTTCTCATCTTACAAGAAAATGAAAGGATATCAGAAGGTTGGGGTCTCAATGAATGGCGTATTTTGGCGAATAATTAGCGAGCGAGAGTATTCGTAATGGGACGAAACGCCGAAGCACCAAACAAACAAACGAATGAATGACGGAACAAAACCATGAATGATCAATGAGAGTGCGTAAAGAATTCCAGGAGATGCAGGTCGAGAACAGCCGCTCGAAGATGCAAGGAACCGGAAAACGCCAAGAAATAATAGTCCCCTGAGTTCTGAGGCGAGGTCCAGGTTCCCCAGCTCGAAGACGCGTGTCAACGTTACAGAACTACACTCCACGATAATGCCGCGCGGTGGGGCAGCACTGCCTAACAAAAACTTCATTTTTGACAACAAATCAAAGACGATAGATAAATGGAACATCGGGACTCAAAGACGAATTGGGAATTTGTGGTCGTTGCCTGCGCTCCTGAAAAGGAGTCTCGTCCCACTCTGGGTGGCAGAGTTGTTGGAGTGGATCATGGACCTCTATGCAGAAGGAAGCAAGGCTGGAATTGATACAATGGGCTGCGGAGATTTCCCACAATACAAGCGTTGAGAATTTAGTTCTGGTGGCGAATGGGGCTCTATGATACGAGCGTTTCGAGGTTGAGAACATCGTCTCCACCCAGCAGTCGGGGTTGGGGGCGCTGGACTGAGGTAAGATTAAGGTTAAGCCAGAACGGAGGTCTTCTTGTCAGTTCTACGGAGTAGACTGCAAGCGATGCAGCGGTATGTTACTGATCTGAGTGATTGAGGCATGAAGTTGATGAGATCTGGGGGCGAGATATTCTGTGCCAGAAAAGGGGCTACGCTAGGCCTAACTAGGACTTTTGGAACAAATTGTTGCACGTGATATTCATTAACTCTGTTCTGTTAAGATTGCCTGGACGGAGCTAAGAGCTTCCCGTTCTTGTCGTATTCTTGTTGCTTTTCTCAATTAGCGATGAATACTGGGGAATTCCACAGATGGCTCTTTTACATAGACGATTCGAGCAGAGGTAACGCAACGCCAAAGAAGAATGGGGTCGAAGCGCGGAAGAATAAGTGACCACACTCTTACTATAATTAGAGGAAGCAATGACTGCAAACAGATCATGTTCCGATTGCCGAGAGGCATGCAAAAAGTGGGGTGGAATGGGTCTAACTAGTTTCGGCTGCCCGAGAGCAGGAAGAGAAGGAAAAGGGGGCGGGGTCAAAAGTATGGTTGCACAAACACGTCACTTTTCTTGGTTGGCGGATTGACTGGGGAGAACCAATACATAAATAGTTCATTCACTGCCTGTTGTGATCATTTAAGGATATAAAATCTGCTCAACGAATGAGTTTGGGAATTGAAGCGGAAGAAGCCTTTATGGCCCTTTAATCACAGAGTATGCGCATCTCGAGCGGGCAAAATTCAGAGGTCGTAACACGAAGAAGATACTTAACCTAAGTATGAAAGAAGAAGAGCTCCATTTATGCATGGGAGCAAGCAGCTGTTCGTTCTACCAGCGAGGGCAATAAAAGCAATGATGATATTAAAGACGACTGATAAACCACTGTATAATCGTTTATTTGGCTTCGCAGACCTTGACATTTGTCACGGCCTGGACAAGCTGTGGAAGTGGAATGTGGTATGTTTTGGTGTAAATATGTATGAATGATGGTGCCCTAAGGGCGGTGAAGAAGCTATATATACGCCTGTGCGCAGCACGTGACAGCATTATAACCCTCGATAATACATTTTAAACTTCAGTTACCTATCAACGAATTTTTTCAATCCATACGGCTTGCCTCGCTGGAAGGAAATAAAGGGCGTTCTGGTGGCGTATTCAGTACCCACTCCATGCGTTTGACTGCATTATCAGACAAAAATGCTTGTCATGACGCCAAAGTAGGTCGTTGAAGCGTGGACACGCCCATGGTAAAATAAAACAAGTTTTTGTGTATACGCTAGTACCTCGTCACAATAACAATTTATTCCGCTCTCCTTCAGTCGAAGTGTTTGGAAGAGGCCCACGCCTCAACACACTAAATTGCGGTTGCGCTGACGAGTTAGCAGCCAAATCGTCTCTACAAATGAGCAAGATATCGGAATCGGTGACTTGGCAAACAAAACCGTCGACTCCCGTTTCGATGGGCGCAAAGAATATCATGCCAAATTCATCAACTGCCAGCCGAGAGTTACTCATACCCGCAGCGCAGACGGCAGCCTTCGCAAGACCCAAAGCCTCTCGAAAGCTCTAGCTGATCCATCAGTTTCAATTTTATCCTCCGAACTACTCTTATCGCTCTGACCCAAAAGCTCTCTTGTCGATGTGGAAATCGGGTTTTGTGCTGACATTTTGCCAGTGGAACGAGAGGGTCACCGGAGAGAGAAAAACAGATTTCGAGTTTGCCTGCATTACATAGGTCTCCTTTTAGTGTTGTTTCGTGAGAGCAACCGGCAGGTGTGGCTGCAAAGTCTTTGGGAAAGCCACATCGGGCGGCTTTACGTTCCGTGCGTCAGAAATCTCATGCCATGGTGGACTAACGTAGGTTATTAGCCCATGAGCATTAGCATATGCATCCACCAGTCCACCATTTTGTGCCTTTACTTCCTGAGATGAGAGTTCCAATGAAGATGCTTGTCCATCCACATCTTTTTTGGTGGGATGCAAAGGTAGGTGGAAGTTTTGGGCGTGCGTTCGCTCCTAGTCTGGTGGTCAATAGGGCAAGGATCGAGGTGTTCACCTTAGGAATCGGCGTCCACTTGATGAGAAAGAAGTTTCGAGGAAATGTCATACAGAGTTGACGAGTAATTGATTGAGACGGCATTCTTACAGCATCGCAGAGTAAAAGCTTGTAGCCCAAAGACTTTGTCAAGCGGGTCCTCGCACTTTGAGTCGCCGTAATGGATACAAAGGTGTAGTGAGGGCGAGAAGATTTTGTTCCAATAACTTTACGCTCCTAGATAAGCTTCATCGGTGGCCTTTTGGAAATGAAGATTGGGCAACTGGTAGACATGCGAGGCAGCTCCATTATATGACAGCAGGAATGACTTGAAACCGTGACCCAATGTTGGGATGATTCAAAAGACGGACCTTGCAAGCATGATGTTTCATTGGCGGTGAGGTTACCGGCACCAAGTCACTGGAGCCGACATAGTCGCCCCTCACAGCATGACCCCTCCAACTCTCGGCCATTTATCCAGGATCAAACCTTGCCCGCTCAACGACGGACCGCGCATCAGACAGCCAAGAAACGGGACGAGCCTTAAGTTCCACTTTCAATCACAACTCAAACTGCAAACAGTATCCAAAATCTGTTGCCCATTATTCTAAAACTCTACAAATGCACATTAAAGGTCACAGACTAAATCGAATGTCATAATTGCTATCGACGATGTCGACTCGCAATCCCATTCCCAAGCTGGCCCTGGAACGCCACAGCTGCAACCAGCGCATCCAAAGCGCTGCTTTGGGTACTTGCGTTCGCGGGATTCACAAATGGGCCCGCCCAGCCTACACTCAGTTGGTTCTGCGTATTCCTATCCTTTGCCCAGATACTAACTGCATTCGTAGCAATGAAGCTGAGGTAAGAATTGTCTGGGCTTGCGGCCTGAAGGATTTGAAGGTTGCGCATGAAGATGCCCTTGAATTGCGAGCCATCGGCGCCGCAGTTTGGCTCGCATGGATCGTGCAATACGCCGTTGGAATCAGAGAGTGCTTCGATTGCTGCTGTTGCGATGGACTTGGCGGAAGAGATGTAAGTGGCGTTCGGTGACGCTTTATTGAGTTCTACCAGCCCACCGAGGACCACGCCTTGGTTGTAAGACCAGACTGTCCCGTTGTTGTTTTTGCACGCTCCAGTAAGGCCGTCATTGATAAGTGATTTGGAGTTGATCATTCCGCTCTGCTGGAACCAGGTCCACTGATCTTGAGCAATTGAGAGGTAGAACTGTTTGTTTTGGACCACACGGTTGGCGAGGTGGGCTGCGACGGAGAGGTAAAGTTCGTTGGCGATGGCATTTACATAGGTTTCCGTTTTGTCCCACCAGATACCGCCTTTGCAAGGCGTGGAGCTGCCGTTTTTCATGTCAGTGAAGATGTCGATTGCCGTGTTGAGGTACTCTGCCGTTCCCGTGATGTCGTATGCTTGGATCCATCCCAACGCCCACCAGCCTTCATCATCATAGAAGTCGTTGAGGAATCCCTTTGGGTTCACCTGTCTCTTGACAACGCCCGGCGGAGAATTGGTATAGAAGGTTTCAATGTTGAAGTCTGAAGTGACGATTTTGGTAACGCCTAGGTTAAGGTTTGGGGCGGCGACTATGCTGTTGGCATACACAGCGCTGACTTGTGTCTTGACCGATGGATCGACAGCAGCGAGGTCTCCAATTACAGTCAGGCAGTTGGCACTGTTCCACCAGCCGGTAGTGTTCCAGATGCCGGTGTTGGTATTATACCAGTTTTGGAGGACTTTGAAAGCTGCTTCTGCGTTGCCTATGTAGTTCTGATTCGCAGCGGATATTGAAGCCGCACCAAAAGAGAGAAGGAAAATGACATAAAACGAACGACATAACATGATGTACAGCCAAACAACTGACTCTGGGAACACCGACACAGACACACATCCGGAGGGCAAAGGTAGCCATGGTGAAGGAGCAGTCCAGATATAGGAATCTGAGTCGAAACATGTACGAAGGGAGTGGGTCAGTAAGCACTGCCCTCCAGCGTCGCCGGATGCACTGACGGTCGCCGGCAGGCGAAACGCGTGCTGATTGACACTGGCATCCGTTCCCTGGCTGGTTCGTCTGGCTGGCATTTCATGCAAAAGGAGTCAGAGATGAACTCCTTTCACATTGTAGGTTGTTTCGAGGTTTGACCGGGAGAAGCGGAGCCGAGAGGTAAGCGACGTGGCCGCTAAAAAAGGGATGGCGCCGCCTGTCAGGCTCGGAATTAGGACTCGCTTCAGCACTTGCCAGCCACAAGGGTCCCTGGGACGACCTATGAGGATTGTCTATTTTTACTCCGGTTGCTGCGGTCCGGGTCGAACCAATTAAATACCCCGAGATGTCGTGATTGACATATTCTCCACCCTTCTCTAAGTACTGTGCTTCGAGTAAGCCTGTCTAAGTGAGCACCAAAGTCTGGCCTTCACGCTGGCAGCTGACTTTTACTCGACGTCATTGAACACTTCTATCGTACCTCATTGCAAAGATCTGCACAAAGACAGTGAGCCGTCACTTCTGTGAACTTACGCAACGTTGTGTTCGGAAAAGATGGATAATGAATAGTCCACCCCGAAACCTTTAGATCTCGTGAGCTCTCTTTCCAACCTTAAGCTTATTTGAGACCGAGGAGGTTATTTATTAGGTTTCGAGATCAGCCCATGATATTCATCGGCAATTTTGCGGCTATTTAGGCCAATCTGCCGATTCAGTTCAGGATACTCATGAGTGAAACAAAGACCACTAAGTAGAGAAAGCAATAGAATAAAATCGTTCGTTAAAGACTATGCCCTCCATGACCCTCAATCCGCGTTTTCCATTATCGACAATCGAGAATTTGGGAACCTAGACATGCGTTCCATTCAGAGCCAGCGAAGTGCCACCTGAAGTATTTGCCCCACCATTCTGGTTCTGAACAAAGACGACCATCACCGCAGAGAATCTAGTTGATCGTTAGACCCTTATATCGACAGCCTGGGGAATATACTTACGCAGCAGTTGCAGTGAAGATTTCGACTCTCGACGTCCCCGAATCCACAAGCATCATTAGCCCACCGGCAAAAACAGCGGTGAACACGGCAATGATGCCAAGTAGCTCTCCTATAGTATGCAGTTGAGCGAGAACTGCGATTGCAACGGTAGGAAGAAGGCAGGCTACGATGGTGGCTATGAAGGAGGTGAAGCGTAGCATGGGACCTTCTCTGTATGAGGTTATAGTCGGCTTCTCGGGGTCTGCTGCTTTCTGTGCTGAGCTCTTGAGCTTAAAACTTGGGAAGACTCCAAAAGTTCTATTTCCCTTGGTCGAAGAAGCACAGCGTTCCTTCTCCTTCACTTTATCGGTTCCACTCTCTTCATCAACTGAAGCCTGTTTTAGATTCTCCTTGCGATCCTTCAAGTACTGGTAATACGGTACGAACTCGTTGGCAACCCATCGAGCAAGGCCATCTACTTTGGTGCCAGCACGAGGAACGACGAGATCAAATTTGGACTTCTCTGGCGTTGGCGTCCAGAATGGGCTGCGAATAATTCCCCAGGTTCTGGACCAGAGAGAATTTCGCTGTGGAGTGGCTTCACTGTCCAGAGCTTCCCAGCTCTTTGAGCCCGGCCCTTGAATTTGTTCTTCTAAGTCGCGTTTGCTCAGCCAGGTGCGGAGACTATTCACGTTGAAACTGTCAGCTTCTGGCAGGGCTGTGATCTGTGAATATCGGAGCAGTTCCTCATCTGTCATAACGGTTAGCAGAATGACCGAGTTGGAGCGTGTCATTTACGCACGGTATTCCTTCAAAACCTCTCGTATTCTCTTAATTAGGTTATACTGCTTTCTAGCATTCACATTTTCTGAATCCTTGCCAAGTAATATGGTGCTTGCTCTCACACAACACTTTTTTGCGTCGGGAAATGGTTCATTCTGGAAGTCTCTCCATTCCAGCTTATGGAGGTCTTTTCTCAGCTTATCTAGCTCGGCTTGGTGGTAAAGCAGGCTTTTGATACTCAGATCTTTGAAGGATTGAAACGCTTCAAAGTCGGGGTAGTCCACAATCAGCTTGGCCAATTCAGGGTACCCTTGCACGGGGCGATTGAGATCGTTCTCAACGTCGGGCTGGTTTTCGAACTCTCCGTGAGTATACTCATCAGGTGGAATCCGGCCAGCGGTGGACGGAGCCGATGCTATTTCTGTTTCGGATGATGATAAAGTGGGGCTCTGAGAGTTGTTTGGTGGCAAATTGAGATTCAGCGTCATTTCAAAGCGATTCCTCAGGTGATCTTCGTTGTTTGGTTGGATGAAAATCGTCTAATGGATTGGGATAACTTTACAGAGAGCGCTCTCCAGAGTGGAATTCCAAGTAGCCTCAGCTATAAGAAGGTAAGTCGTGTAAGGGGCGCAGCTCCAGACTCTCTCGTGGTGCAACCTTGAGCCGCAGCCTCAGAGAAGCCTTATCTGCAACTCCGTCCAGTGTTGTCGAGCCTTGAGGTCCACTACTTCAGTGCTTCGAACAGTCATTGGCCTGGCGACCCAGCAGATGCGGAGACAGCTCACACTCCTCAGGCTCTCAGGCGAAGCAGAAGGTGGCTGCATGAAAGTGAAAGATCACCCGTTCGCCTCGTGATGGCCCGGCCATTCCATTCGCTGGGGCGGCTGACCGACTGGCTCCCTTCCGCACTAGCTCTGCACAGCCATGTTGAAGAAAGCATCTCAGAACTCAAGGGGGGGATCAGTTGTTGCTTGATGGTGTGCTTGATGGTGGTGAAGCAGTGTGATAAATCTCCATCTCGCCCATTGCCATGTACCGTCTCGCAAACTAATTCTCTGGTATTCCCTCCGGTCCTGCTTGCGCAGCAGAGCGCAGAGGCCTAGTATATAGGTGCGCCGATTCAAAAAGTAATTGTTGTGCGACCGAGAAATCGTAGCGATTGTCGAATCGGCGGCGTTGTGCATCTCAATTTCCCCCCTCGAACGCATGGTGGCGGTGCGACCGGGGGGCCCCATCAGTGGATGGTCCTGGAACAGAAGGGCGGCGTAGCTTCCGTTGGTCTTGCTGTGCAGTACGGTATGAATTAGGCTTGGTGGCAAACTGGTGATAGTTTTGTATTAGATTCAGGTTGTGGAATACCGGTCGACCGAGGAAGTTTCACCGAAGAGACCCGGGGAAGCAAGCCCTGGGGAAAGAATCGTAGTACATGATTGCGAGGGAAATCGAGTGAGAATGCGCTGGCATTGCGTCCCATCTACGCAGATTGGGAAGAGCTCATGTAGGGCAATGCAGCCCCCATGCAAGTATGAGGGAACCGGTGATGGGAGAGGTTCCAATCCTGCAAGGCATCTGGGATGCCTGACGGGACTGATTAATGGCTTGCAGGCGGCAGCCTGATCTGCGACTACATGAATAGAGCGCTGTCCCTCGACTACCTCAATCATTCTCTTCTCTGCGGCCCAAATGCCAATATGATGATACTTCACCGCGCGATGCTCTCAGCCTCTCTCTCACCCCTGCCCCGCTCACCCTCAGTCGAACAATTAGCAAACATCCAAAGCGGCTTGGCTTGCTGCGGAACTTGCCAGCAGCTTTTGTCGAGCCTGAGTGAAAATATATTCAGAACGACGCTTGAGCGATGATGGGGAGGAAAGACCTCGAAGGATCCCGCAGACTATCTATACGGGCAGACCCCAAAGTCACGCCACGCTTGGTGCGCCTCGCACACCGTGCACCGATAATATGGGCGTCGGCGCGTAGGAATAGGGGTCTTCATCTGGGAACCATTCCTCAAGGGGGGATGGTGTTGACATCTGCATCATTCCACTCCACACAACACCACCTCGTCACCGTCGGCTTGCCGAGTTGTGAGCCATTCACGAGCGCTCGAAGTGTCGTCGCCGCTGACCAACCCATCACACCGCCACAGCTGAGCAACCATCTTCGCTTCAAACATTGCCACAAGAGGAGAGACAGTGGCACCTTGGGCAATTGCCTCGCGGAGCCTCGTCGACTGCCTGAAGAAAAGCAATTACGGGATAAGCGCCCATGGACCTTTTCGCTCACCGGGGGAGAGCATGATCAAGAGATCTAGGTTTCACCCTGGCATCTCCTAGTAAGCCGGCCATTCGTGCAACCCTAAGGCGGGAAAATGGCTCCCATGCGGCTTAAAAGTGAGGGGAGATGATCTGCTCGATTTGCGCAGCCCCCAGAGATGACAATGCTTCGCGCAGGCCTCTAGCGAGGCTCATACTGCTGGCGGTCCATCCCAGTGCAAGGCACCGTATAAGAGAGGCCATCCTGCCCGAAACTGTGGCTCCTATCAAATCAATCACTCCTCAGCTATTACTTGCAGCACTACGTGTACCTGTGAAAACGCAGAAACTTTGCCACAACACGCGCCATCATGTCGAGTCCACCAGCAGCAAATGGTATGGCTTGCCTCTCATTAATGTCTGCAACACTTGACAACGACTCTTGGCTCACATTCCTATAGTACGCAACGGTTTTTTGTCTGTGAGTTCTGCAGATGGCGCGAATTCGCCTTCTGCACGTCGCCGCTCGGCTTCGGTCACTCCGTCGGTCGGATCCAGCAGATCGCGAATCACACTCGTCGAAGAAAACCCCGAGCTAGCCAGCTATTATGGCCCAGACACCGACGAACCCTATAACAAAACCACGACAAAAGTCTACGCCCCGAGGTATACTTGGTTCGAGCACCTACTTGGACTGTTCTGCATCAACGTGGCAGCGCGGAAGGAGCCCATCGTGAGAATTGAGGAGCCTGAGAACAAGAAGGTAGGCCGACTTTAATGGGCGCAAATTTTGATCTACAGACCTTGGCTAACTTTCACCCGCACAGATGTCTGTAGACGAAACCGACTCACCCTGGATTCTGCCGGTGTACGTGTTGTCCAGCAGAAAGGATAGCAATAAGCAGCAGGTCCCCAAGGAAGGAAAATGTACCATCGATACTGGCAACCACCAAGGGAATATCGTGTCTCGGGAATTCGTCCTCAACGTCCTCCAGCTGCCCGAAGCAACCTTTAAGCAGCTGACCAAAGAGGAAGAGAAAGGCGCCATCGGCATCACTGACCACAAATTCATTCCAGTGGCCGCAATTTACCTGACGTGGTATCACAAGAAGAGCACACGGGTTTTCCGTGACATGCGGTTCCTCATATCCCCATATCAGCACTATGATCTTATCATTGGTGCCCGTTCCATTCGAGAGCACCAGTTACTCGATGTGCCGAACTTGATGGCCAGGGGCCCTGGCAATATTGGAAGATCAGCAGTCAACCAGGGCAAGCCAGAAGGTGTGACAGATTCCATGTTTACTGGTCGTCAGTCTCAATGCTAACGGCGCGATTAGACTCCGTGAAAACGGAGCTCAAGAAACAGGTGCACAACGCCGACGAGCGGGTCAACGATTTGCAAGAACAAAAGAATCAGGAGGTCAGAGACGGGGAGGACACTACAAAAACCGAAAGTGATCTGGCCGCGGCTAAGAAGTCATTAACTGCCGCGAGAAAGGCCCTGACCGATTACGACGCCAGTGTCAATTCGCAGAATCTCCAAAAAGCATCAACGGCGAAGAACAACGTGCCTGCAACCGACGAAAGCTCTCACTCGACCGGGAGCGACAGTAAAGCAGCGAACATCAAGCCAAAAAATCAGGGCAGCTGGGGCCTTCGGTCTCGAGGATCTCAGGCTCAGGCGCAAACCGTTCGGTAAAGCTCTCCATCCGCGCCGTGTTGGGGCAATGCCAGCTTACTCCGCATCGTTCCGCGCGACCCATGAAGATGTTGTCAGCACCCTGGAAGGACGAGATAAGGTTCTTGCCTTCGACAAAACGGAAAGTAGTTCTCACCTTCACTACTCCAGAAAGGGCGTGTGACTACGTGCCCATAATACCTTTACTCAAGCCAACCCCTTGTCGAAGACCCAATTGAGCAGAAGGGATGCCGGCCTCAGGTAGAGAGTTCAAGTCCGAAGGAGCTGCGCCGATCCAATGTCGCCATGAGATTGTGGATTGGGTGGGGGAGTTGAAGGCGCCAATTCATTGGCCGATTGTGGTCGAGGTGATCGTTGAACTATCCGCCAGGTACAGAAGCCAGTGAGGTGATGAAGGGTTTGCAGCACCCGCTTTTTGAGATTACAGGTAGTGACAGAATGCAATAATATCGTCAAGACGAGGAAGTCAGAATTGAATCTCGTATTTCTATGCCTTTGTCTCCCTGCCAGACGCCATGCTTACCCTACACAAGAGGTGAAAGAAGACGCTATTCATACAATGAGGTATTGCCTGCCATCCCTCAATGTGATCTTCCCCTGATTCCAGATTATTCAATTACTCGAGTCCAGAACCCATCCCAATAAAACGTGGTCCGTTCCCGGCTCGAAGTCGCTCCCCCATAAAGTACTCCGCTTCCCCTTCACGATCCAACACCCTTCCCATCACCAAGTAACCTCGCAATCAACACATACGTGAAGACCACCGCACCCGCAACCAATAACTTATTCCTCCGAATCCAGCCCCTGCCCTCCTCACCCACGGCTCTTCCCCCTTCGACCACAGCCCCAACAACTGCCTGACTCCCACTTGGCCGCCTCAACGCCATTCCTGGTGTACAGTTCTGCCCACTCGCCCCAGCTTCTTGTATAACATTCCCCGTCGCCGAGTCAATCCTGTTCTCCTTCATCCACTTCCAATTCTCCTTGTCGAGTTCCGGCCACTCAGCCCTAAACTTCGCGCCTCCATCCCCAGCCTTCACATTCCCCTTCTGCACCGTCTTGCCATCCTTATAGCTGCCCCCACCCGTCGAGTTCCACCACCTTGTTCGACCAGCAGCCCACTTTCGCTCGGCCTCGGAAGCACCGACGGATCCGGTCGTCATCTCTTCGCTCGTCATGAAGGAGAGCAGGCCGATTAGGATCGTGGAGACTTCCCATGCAGGGTTGAAGGACTTGGGGTGGAAGTCGGAGATTGAGAGGCAGAGTCGGGTTGAGGGCTGGAAACGGCCGGAGGGGGTGTGCATTCGGATTGCGGGGGGAGCAAAGGGGTAGTTTGGAGGGAAGATCAGGGTGCCCCAGTATTGGCCGTTGTGGTATGGAGTGTCTGGGGGTCCGGTGAGGATGTAGTGCCATCTAGGGAAGAAGTGTTAGTTGGCTTGAGGGAGGGGGCAGAAGAGGGAGGACGCACTCGAGGATGTTGGACTCAGAGGGGTGGGCGATGATGTATGGTGGCGGATTCTCGGAGATGGTTTTGTATTCGCGGGTTAACTGCTTCCTGTCAGTATCTTCTTCGTTCTTTAGGGGCCAGAAGAACGTACCCGCTTGTTGGCAGCTCGACTAGCCATCGTGAAGTCGTGGCCAAGGCTACAATGATTATCGAAGTGTTTGATGTAGAGATCGTGGTTGTGGCGTGGTTGCGGCGCGCGAAGTCGTCGACAGAGTACAGGAAGATATTGAATGAATGTACGAAGAAAAGAGGCCCCGAGATTGAAGATTTTGCTGTCGTGCGCTGTGGACTTGTAGGAAATTGAATGTCCTTGGTCGATGATTCGGTCAAGCCCCAAAGGCTGAGCCACGATAAAAGTGGCAGCCTTAAAAGCTCATCAGGCATCAGCGAATTTCTCAGCCCATTTGGGAAGCCGCTCGACAGATTCACGAGATCGATGACAACGAGCTCACCATGGCCGATCCCGTGGATTCCGGAGACGAGGTGAGTCTCATTATTTCATAATTAGGATATCCGGGCTGACGGGAGATCAATGGCTAATTTCTACACGTACAGCTCTTCGAGAGTCTCCGTAAAGTCGATCCGAAGAAGGTGGAAGAGAAAGCGAAAGAGCTTGCTGAACGAGAGGCTGCTCACGATGCAAAAGCGCAGCAGAGACTGGCGGAGCTGGTATGTTTTCTTCTTTTAGAAACAAAGTTGTGCTAAAAGCAGCAGATTGGCATCAATTCAACACTCCCAGTCACCATCTCCTCCATCCGATTTATTGGTGGCGCCCACACTCGGCGTTCATTCCTCGACCGACTCATCAATCCCCTCCTCAGTGCGAATAGAGATAGACCATACACATTAACAGAGGCATTGAACGAAGTTGGCAGCGTAGCAAGCAAGCTCCAAAGATTTGGTACTTCCCCCGCTTCCTACCAGGCCAGCTCCATCTAACGGTCCCAGATATCTACCACCCCGGAATCCACACCTTCATCGACCGTCCCTCTCCTACCGACCCTAACTCCACAGTTACCGACATCGACATCTTTCTCCAAGCTCGAGAGCGCGGCCGGATATCCTTGAAAACCGGCACAGATCTAGGCAATGTGGAGGGCTCAGCATACGGAAACCTTACATGGCGGAACATCTTCGGAGGCGCGGAATCGCTCACTCTAAATGCATCGGCTGGAACTCGTACAAGATCAGCATACCAGGCAACATTCGACGCCCCAGTCCTTAGTGATCCAGATACAAGAGCAACGATCGATGTGCTGGCCAGCAGCACGCTGAAACCTTGGGCAAGTCACGAAGAAGTGCTGAAAGGAGCAGGCGCAAAATTTAGCTGGGCGACGAAATCGGGAACGAGGCATCAAGTAGGATATACCGGCGTTTGGAGACAGATCACTGGATTAGAAGGAAATGCATCACCGACTGTTCGGCATGATGCGGGAGACACAGTGAAGAGCAGCATTACACATACCTGGCTTGCAGATCGAAGAAACCACCCACTTCTGCCCAACCGTGGCTATTTTCTAAAAACGGTCTCAGAGATTGCTGGTTGGGGCCCGTTACAGGGAGATGTTGCATTCTGGAAGAGTGAAGTGGAAACTTCTGGCGCGGTACCGATTCCCATCCCTGGAATCAAAGGCGATAGTGGGGTGAGCTTCACGGCGGGTCTAAGAGCCGGAATGTTATATCCTCTTGCTGTGGGTTTTGGATCAGAAACGAAGCATAGTCGGATCAACGACCGATTCCAGCTTGGTGGACCCACAGATGTTCGTGGTTTCAAGATTTCCGGTCTAGGGCCTCGGGACGGACCCGATGCTGTGGGAGGCGATGTCTACGCTGCGGGATCTGCAAACCTTTTAATTCCGTTCCCGAGAATTGGAAAAGATACCCCTCTCCGCTTCCAGCTTTTCGCAAATGCAGGAAGGTTGTTGGCTTTCAAGGATAAGAAGACCACGAGCGACAGCGTTTATAGCACGGTTGCACAGCTAGGTGAGGGAATACCCAGTATGGCGGCTGGAGTGGGTATTGTGTACGCACATCCGGTGGCTAGATTTGAGTTGAACTTTAGCTTGCCGCTTGTGATGAGGAGGGGAGAGGAGGGTAGGAAGGGGCTGCAGTTTGGGGTGGGGATTAATTTCCTGTAGATGAAAATGGAGGGCAAAAGGTGTGAAGTGTATATATGTACATTGTACGATTCACGCATGATGAGAAGAGTAGAGATATCAATTAACAACACAACTTTAGAAGTTCTAGGTAGCCTAGGAAGTATGTGTCAGGGATATATGGTGACGCGGCCTTGAAAAGTTCAAGCTGTTCCGAAATTGGAGTGAAAGAAAAGCCTACTCTCCCGAAAGTCTGAGGAAGTGAAATGCCAAGCACCTGGAAGATTGGAATTGGCAAGTCTTCTGTTGATCGCTGGATTGAAGATTTTCGGTGGATAAGGAAGCAATGCCTCGGTATCGGTCTTGTTGATACCGACACGGTGGTACTGGTGGTATAGCGTTATATTTGTTCTAGTCCAGTTAGGAATGGACCCCTTCGCGAGGGGCATATGCCAATTAAGAATGCTCTATTATTCCCGGTTGGCATATGCTATTCACGAATAGCATCTGCTTCTCTAGTAAAGAAATCTAGTCTATTCCTGAGTAGCATATGCCAATGGCGAATATGAGGCTACTCTCAGCTGGCTCTAATGTAACTAAAAGAGAAGCACCCCCTTCAGGCTAAACTAACGACATAGTGAAGTGTATTTGGTATGCAAAACTGGACAGTAACGCCAGGAAAATAGCAAGGGATGGAAAAATCAAGCTTGCAATCAATATGGGAGATGGAAAGTATTAGGAACGCTTTACTGCCACTTCGTGGTTTACGTACTAATTAGACTAAGTAGGATAGTAAAGGCATTCCGACTGGCATAGGCCCTTCGCGAATGGCCTCACATTAGCGTACTCCTTCTTGACTGGCAGGTTCTATTCGCGAAGGGCGCCCTTCGCGAATCAGAATATTCGTGGTTGGACTAGAATATATTTAAGCAATCAGGTAGTATTAAGGTGGCGAATCCAGCGATGTTTGTTAGGGAGGTTTCTTGAATGATCGCCAAACAAGATTTCCAACCAACATCCCCACCACTCAGAGTTCACTGGAGGAGTCATGTCTCTGCTGAAAACCCGGACCGTTGGATACCGAGGACGGCCCGGACGGATCGGACGCTGAACCGAGTGCTGGAGGAGATCATTCACCACTTCGTCGCCGCTTGCATCGGCATCGATGGAGGCTGTGAGCGATCGGTTGAAGTAGAAGGCACAGAGATATATCCTTCTAATTCTTGTCAAAAAGCAGGGTTTATTTAAACACGAATTTTCAAAACGATAGTATCGACTTCTTATCTGATCGCCTATCAAGACCTACTCATGTCTAACAAAACCGCGTCCGTCACCACTTCTACCCGGAAGTTTACAGAAGGTAAGTTCAAAGACAGATCTTTCCAACTCATAAGCTGACAGAAAACAGCTCTTCAGCGTGCTGGCGGAGACCCACCAGGCTGGTTTGTGCCACAATGGACATTCTGAGCAGATCAAGAACTGTCGAGAAGCATTGGCGTCTCTCACAATGACAACCATGAGGGCATGCATTGAGAAGGACCCCAAAGCAGCGCACTTGCATGCCGGTGCAATAAGGCCGCGGCGTCTCTTCCCGACCAACATCCTACCTCGTACGAATTCTCCGCCTTTCTGCCCAACCTACTCGACACAAAAGAAACCCTGGAAGAAATAGCATACGCTCTTGATACCTTGAAAGCAGACAACATTATCCTCTTTGCCCGCTACGGAGATGACAACCACTATCTAACGCATGAATACTTTCGTCCCATCTGGCAAGAGCCGAATCGCCACAAAGCCGTAGTTTTCATCCACCCTACCAACCCACCCCGTCGACACCCACCTCATAATTGGCCACAGTGTGTCAAAGGATTAATCACATTAATCAAATTAATCAATCAATTAATCAATTAATGTGATTAGATTATGATTAATGTAATTCGGATTTTTTTTGATTAGATTAGAATAATTAATCTGATTAATCTGTCACGTGACTATAGTAAATCACGGTTTACTTACTAAGTATTAAATAACTAAGGCACCTATCAGGTAGCCCTAGTTAAACTAAGCTAGGGCTTATATAATAGTAGCTATATACTAGCTTTTAATAATAATAAACTAGTTATTCTCCTACATTCCCCCTTTTTTAATTTAGCTTCGGGTCGCTTACTAAGCGTTACCGCCCCTGATTAGTGTAGCGCTAGAGCTAGAGCGGGCAGGAGCGTTACCAGATTAGGCTAGCACGGTCACGTGTAGGATCACGTGTGTATTAATCGGATTAATCAGATTAATCATGATTAATCTAATTAATACGTGAATAGAATATGATTAATGAGTATATTTCGTGATTAGATTAGATTAATGGCCATTAATCTAATCTAATCTAATCATTTGACACACTGATTGGCCACCTCCCACAACCCATGTTCGAGTGTCCGCACGAGACCGGCCGTACAGCAATCGACATGCTCCTCTCCGACATACTCTCCCTAGCCCAGGATTGCGAAATCATCCTCTCGCATGCTGGCGGCACACTCCCATATCTCAACGACCGCGTCGCAGGAATGCTACCTCATACGCCTTTTGTTGTCAACAAAATTACGAGCGAGATCATTGAATTGGCTAAATTGTTTTACTTTGATACAGTGCTGTCTTCGAATTCGGGAGTGCTGGATTTGTTGCTCAAGTTTGCGAAGAAGGGACATGTGCTGTTTGGTAGTGATTTTCCAAATTCGCCGAACGAGGCGATTAAATATTATACTGAGCAGTTGGAGGGGCATAGTAGTGAGCAGGTTGGGAAGAAAATTACGTACGAGAATGCGTTCGCGTTGTTTCCGAGGTTGAGGAAATAGGGGGTGGCGAAGCGAGTGTTTACTGTTTGAGAAACATTTAAGCGGAGATGAGAATGAGGCATGTATATTGCAGTAAGTCGCTGGATTCTTGTACAAAAGGGTCCCATTCTTCATCTGCCAATTCTGTACATGCCCTGTGTCCGCCAAAGCAACGTACTGATCATCGAATGAGGAAGGAGAAACAGCAGCCACATGAACCATAAACAGCTTCCGTTGAATAGCACCAGTGTCATTTAACCTAAAGTAAGAAATATATTTAATTAGGTTGCTTTTCGTTTTTACTCGTGCTGTGACCCATAGATACTTTTCAGCTGAGGGAGCATCACTTCGGCGGACCAGTACTTTATCGTATTCGCCCCTTGAACCTTATTATCAGCACCAATCTACCTTCTCCATTCTGGAAAGACTGTAACCTACCAGTTGGAATCAAAGAATAGGAATTGACCTGAGTCTTCGCCGCCGCCGTGTCTACATCGGGAGCGTAGCAACAGCAGGCACCTCCCCATCACTGCCCATCTCATGAGTCCAACCCCCATCACCACTCAGATCAGCAGAATGCAAATTCTTCCCTTGGGCACCAAACGCCAGTCCCTGAACTCTTGACTTATTTGAGTATTTCCAAGTCTCAAGAACTCCGCTTAGAGTCCCGTTTGATAAAACCTTCAGAGAGGAGCCGCAGGCAGCGGGGTCAGGCCATTGGGAGGTATAGACTGCGTTTGGAGTTTTGTGCTTTGTACTATGAATGCGGATGTTTTGTTCAGGCAGGCGCCGTTGAAATTTATTGCTCTCTCTAAACGTAGGGTTGAGCTCGGATTGGAGTTGGAGTCGTGGGCATGTGGATTGAGTAGCTTGCTGCTCGAGACGCATTGAGGGAGACGTCTACCCACACCTGAGAAATTTCTTGATCCTTCTCCACTCTTCTATCTTGCAACTTTAAAGATTCCCATTCACAACTCCCCCCTGAAGAAAGTAGCATCACACCTGCTTCCATCGGGCCACGATGCATAGTCCTTACACGTCCCCCACTCCTCCCAGCCCAGCCTTCTATACATCGCCACAGCAGGACTCTCTGTCGCCGTATCAAGTGTCAGCATATCCCTCCCTGTACCTCTCGCAAAATCCTCAACATGCTTCATTAATTTCCTCGCGATACCTAGCCGTCGTGCTGATGGTGAGACGAGCAGTTTGATGACCTCGGCCCGATGGAAGTGCGTGACTTTGGGTATCGTAACAAGTTGTACTGTTCCAAATAGTGTTGGCTGTGTTGCCGATGTTGAAGGTGACTCAACAGGAGATGAAACGTTGTTCTGGAACGAGGGCTCAGAAGTCAGGATGAAGAGGTGAAGATTCCCTTTCGTTATGAGCTCGGAGACCTGTTTCCAGTATATCTCTGCATTCTCAATCGATAGTGGAGACAGGAAACCAATAGAAGAGCCTTCATCGACACAGTCTTGCAATATTTGACAAAGTTGGGGGAGGTGAGTCAGGACTTCTTCGGGGTTGGTGAGTTGTGAGATTTTGAAGCTCTGTGAGGGGTCTGGTGGTGTGGCTGTGGGAGTTATAAGAGTGGTTGCCATCTTCAAAGCAGAGATATTAAGATTTTATGATGTTGGGGCGAAGGAGGTAGAGATGGGTGTGGAGAAAAGAGTTCGGGAAATTGTCAACCCGTAGTCACGTGGCTGCTAGGCCGACGATGACCCAGTCAGACATGACGATAGAGGTAGAATTGATTCAGAAAAATATCCAAATATACATGGAAGATATTATAGACAACCTATAATTCTAGAGATTCGAAATTTCTTTCATGAAACGTTCCCTTTCCACATCATCCTACACGATCCAGAACCCATCGTACCTTCTCAGCAATGAATGAGGTCAGGCTGCACCACCTGCACCATTATGCCCTCTCGTCGCTCTAACATAATGATTAACAGTTGGTAAGGTGAGAATCTCCTCTTGGTTCTTCTGATCATCCATAGCGAAACTTACAAGGAATTCCCGAGACTTCTCTCTCCCCTCCTCAGTCCCATTCCCCAGTGTAACTCCAGCATCATACAACCTCTGGAAATCCCTCGGCGTATTGGTTCTGATAACACTGATCGGGAGGTTACCAAGAATCTTCTTCTCAAAGTGTTTCTTCACGGCAAGAACCGGAGGATCACCCGGGTATCCCTTTGCTCCGCGGCAGTCGTAGCTTGCTCCCTGGGCTCCGCAAGCAGCTTCATAACAATACCAACCTCTTCCCTAGAGAGCACACTATTGACTGCAAGCCCTGTTGCAGTCATATAATCCACATTCGCCTTCACGGCCTCGAAATATGGCAATGGGCACTTGCCAGCGCCAAGATTCTTCTCGATGTTGGCGTCTACGAACACTATCCGAAGAAAGAAAGAGGAAGTTCGTTAGAGCAGGGAAACAAAAGCCTACGCTATTAATATATTTATTTTTATACATGGCAGAGGATTATAGCGATAATAGCCCCCTCCTGGACTTCATTGAAGAGATATTTTCTTAGTAAGTGTTGCATGCTTCTACCTATCCGCAGTCGCCCCTATATTAGATTAATCTAACTAGCTTCTAGATATTGTATATACATACACAAGGATCTCGAACAAACCATGAGGGACACCTCGCGCCGTATCATTCACACGTCCTTCGACTGGTTGCTCAATTAACGTCGAGGCAAGGGAGGAGGGATAGTTCGCGGTGTCTGGTCAGCCAACACTCTCGGGACATACTAGAAAGGCTTCCGACCAGTACACGAGAGAGCGACTGGTGAGAAGATTAAAGGAGAGATCAAGCAGAAGATATATCGGGTAAGTCTCCTTTTCTACTACCCCTTAGTTATTCTTTATTTAGGGAGACCAAATACTAATACAAAGCTTCACAGATTTGAGGGAAACTAGTAATGAGTTCAACCAAAGTAGTGATTACTATGTCTTCCCACACCTGCGTCCATAGCCGAGCGCTAATGATTCACGAACAGTTCGATTTAAGAGTGTCCCTCGCCGGCTGCTGTTGCCCATCTTGGCTGCGAGCGTAGAGGGCGCCCAGAGACTCCGGGTTTTTCTCAAATTGTGAAGAGGGTTGTAATATCACTCTACCAATAGACCTGTTTTAATGCAAACACTTGACTCGGAAATTCAAAAACGTCCATACATCGAAGACTGAATTTTATAGCTTAAAGACAAGCCAGATTTGCAATAGTGCCACCTCTGTTGGTCCCGATTTTGCTCGACCAAGGAGGACTCTATTGTGACATATGTGCACATGAACTGTGGCCACTGTGCAGCCCTACCATCAACTAGGCGTGTTTTGACATGACGTCCATGATGATAAAGGCCGGTACTAGTTCGGTAAGGGGAGGCTCTCTGGGAAGACGGAAGTTCCAACGAAGAAATACAAACAGGCAATCCAATGGAGGAAATGAAATAGCTCATACCCCGACCTAAGCACGTTAAGAGCGGAAGAAGGGGAAACTTAGTACGAGACTAAGGTCGAATTTGGTGATTATATTTTAAGATATGCGAAAGGGAAGTAGTATGGCGATGAAAAAGAGCTTGTCTTCTTATCAAGTCTGAGAATCTCCTACCTTTCAAACACCGCCGAGTGATTGCATGTGTCACAGATTAGTACAAAACCAAGTTCCCGCTTTGAGACTGTGGGCCGCGTACTCTCGTGTGATGAAGGCATGGCATTACATCTTCAACAAGCTTATCTCCTTGCTGAACTGGTAGCTGGAGGAGTACATCAGTGTTATACTGCACGAGAGCTATTGCTGTATACTTGAACCAAGAGACAATTTCAGACCCGAATCCTCACCCAGATTCTCACATAGAACTTCTGAAGATGTTCAGAACAATTCTGCTCCGCGCCCTTGCGCTCCAATTTGCCTTCCGCAGCGCTGTGTCTGCTTTTGCATTTAATTCCAGTGTTTGTGTGGACCCTACTGGATATGACTCATGCTGGAATAAAGCAAACTCGGATGCGATATCCATCTTCAAGAAATATTGTACAAACGGAATTTGCACGGATGCTGATGATTGCTTCACCCCCGACGAGACCTGTGCTAAGATTACGACCTGTATCGCTTACACGGAATGGATTAACTGTGCCCTTAATCACTGCTGGAATCGAGTGAGTATCTTGTCCTTTTCCCATGTCGATATCTGACAAACCGAGGTGTACAGCTGCGAGTACCAACACTTAGCCATTAGAGCTATGAGAAATTGTCCAATCGCCGACCAACTCCCTCCCTATATTCCAGCACCCGTTGGTGCCTCTAGATCCTGCTCTTGCAACATCGGTTTCATATTCGCGGATCGTTTGAATATGAATCGTCCTGGTGCCGGAGAGCAGTTTCAAGGTACAAAGGCCATCGACGGCTTCAAGGCTGCAGAAACTTGCCAGTCAAACTGTGAAAATGAGGAGAAGATATGCCGCTGCTGCGCTGATAGCAGTGCAATGTCCACGTAAGCTTTTTCGTTATTCTTCTAATCTGCAAGTACTTACTTTATCTTCAGATTCATCAACACTTGCCCCGCGACAAACCCTGCAGATATTTACTTCTTCCCAGTCCTCGGATACAATCATCTTATCTCAGCAGAATGCACTTCGTCGCTAGGACCTAAACCTAGCTGCTCGTCCGCCCCTTACAACTTCACAATCTCCCCGGGCTCTGGATCAAATGACCAGTTCTTCAATGCTGCCACGATTCCCAAGAACCGAACTAATCCATTGACGAACAATCCTGGAGGTCTAGCGACACCTATTAGTGGAGCTGTGTTTACTTGGAGTTTGTATGAAGGCGGTGTGACAACCGCCAATACCACAGTGACAAGTTGGACTGGTGCTGGCGCTACAACACTAGGAGCGAGCGCGGGTTCTGTGACGAATGTCTCGGGGACAAGTGGCACATTGGGGGCGTCTAGTATAGCATCGGCGACCCCAACAACATCTACCAAGAGTAGCGGGTGGAAGAATTTTCCAAGTGTTGGATTGTTATTTTTGGGTGTTGTTTTTGGCCATGTGAAGACTGATAGGGCTGGACGCTCTGAATACTCACCGGCTTGCAGTCCGCTGGACCGTAAAATTTTCACTCCACTGGCGTGTCCAGTTTTGCAAATATATGTTCGTAATAAAATTATATCACCCAATAGTCCGGCAGTGAACAGTGACCGCCGATTTAACCAGATTCCCGGCTTTCCGGCTGCTTGACTTTCTGTCATCTCACGTGACCTCACCCCTTCCCCCCCTTTCGGAGTATAAAATTCTGCCCACAACTGTCAACCAGCATTACTATCCCATGACTTGACTGCCTCACTTGTTTTGACTTACGGGCGCCATGTTCTAATGACTATGAGGCAGATGATGAGGTGCAGACTTTCGAAACTGCCTTGTCATCTACCTGCAGATATCGGCAAGATACCTGCATGCTTCAATTACCAACGCATTATGGCTGAAAGTTTGCAATTTGAGATTTCAAAACACGTGGAGACTTGATACTTCCAGCTAACTCAGCCCACTTAAGTGAGATGGTAGACTCAATTGTAATTGAATAGAGGAGCTTTCTGAAACACGTGATATTTTGCCATACTACCTTGAATGGGGTGACATAGTTACACCAAGATCGATCGAAAATGAAACGAGAATATCTACAGCCTCACTTTTGCTGTATCTGACTCACATGAGCAGACTCTCATGTGTTTCTCAAACCACCCGATTTGATTCACAAAGGCTTTCCTGTCGTGAATACTGACCTCGGGCACCAACAGTTCGATCACCGATTCAACGAGACCAAACATGACCCAAATCATTGATTCTCGGTATGACATTGGTCCAGCGCTGAAGGAACTTCTAGCGAGGCTTTTTCCTGGGCAATCACAACTATGCGAGGTCAGCGTAAGTGGGACAGTGCTAATGTGGACCCTGACATTGGCAAGGCATTCTTGAGCGCGAAAGTGACTGACTGGGCGGACAGGTCCGACGGGGAAGATTCATTGTCTCTGCTCCACGACTTTTGACTCAAGTCCGTTACGATGTCCATCCCTCTGACAGTTTTTATGATATCTTCGCTAACCTCTCGTCCGTGACCCAGGAAGAGATTGATTCTTGTCGATAAGTGCGTTGGTGAGAAATCGTAAAAGGGAGGATCGGGTTTGTGTTGTGGCTGAGTCAGGCCGATCCCCCCCCACTCCACGACCCAGCCGTTTGGGCACCCCGAGCTGAAAAATCTGCCTCGTCTGCCTATCTACATTGATAGTTTGCTTTCGGTTCGAGTTTTCCCGGCATTTTCCTGTCTTCTTGGCGTTCTTTCGTTCGGTTTTAATAGGCTGCCTGGTTTCTCCTTTGAGGGGCAAAAATGAGCAAGGGGAGGTCGGACACAAGGGGCGAAATCCAACTCATCTAAACAGGCACACTACTGGCATAAGGTTGAGATCACGCTTGAAACGTACAGGCTAATCATTGTCTCCATTTTGCAGGATGCCTTGGGTCCCAAGCGGTCCGACCCCCGGTTGAAGTGAGTCCGTTCGTTGCCGTACACGCGCCGGAGTCCGGGGTGTGTTCGAGAAAGTAATATGGGGGCACACCCTTCTTAAATTTCAGCTTTCAATATTGCCACTTAGCCTGAAGACCAATTTCTTACATCCCAATTCAAAGATATCCCTCATACATTCAGTTCTCCGAGTTTCAGTATTTCAGGCAGACAACCCTAGCCCTTTCTCATCCCGATCACCCTTTCTCAAACTGCCCCCGCTATGTGTAACAACGCATTGCCAGCAACACCCGTACAGGTTATTGAGGGGCAATACCTGGATCAGCAGAAGCTGATGGCTCTGCTAAAGAATGTCTATGGCACGTCTGAAGAAGGCAAGAACAACTTCCGGGTTGAGGTAAACCAGTTGATCCCTTCTTTATGGACACTTGCTGACATCTCAAATACAGCTCAGGCTCAACCGGTACAAGATATACCCCTCAGAGCATGTTCGTAACGCAACTCTCACGGAGGTACCCAGTCCAAGGCCATATACTTCCATCAAGCAATGTACTGACTACCTGTTCAGGTCCAGATACAGGACTGCCGAGCGTACAGAAGACGGTAATATAAATGAGATCACCAGGAAAAGCATCCACGATTCACCAAGGACTTGGTTAGAGAGGCGTACTGGGGGAGCATGGCATATTTTTTTGTCTGGTCAGCGAGCATTTGTTAACAGGTTGCATTCTGGGTGGAGCGTTGGAGTCTGGTACAGCTGTTGGTGCTGGAAAAGAACCTGGCCCTCCTTTACGAGCGCTTAAATGTTTCGAATGCTTCACTTCGTTTGCAGTAACTTCATTCTGATCACTTGAGCTTCAGCGGAACCCCAAGGCTGTAGCCTCCTCTTACATTCTGTGATGAGGCTGTTCCCATGAACCCTCAGTGCGAACCACCACAGTTCGGATTGCATGTTGATTCTCCAGTTCTTATCATGGATTCCAACAGAATCAAAATCCTGTCACCAGGTTTGGTTTTCATTCGCCTTCAATCAATTTGGTGTAATGTCTCATTTGCACAGCCCTGGCGACTGGCTGCAGGAGGCTGGCGGGGCAGTGCAACGAGGCAGACTCGCTGGCTCGCAGCTCACGTCCAATCGAAGAACACGAACACTGCTGCACCTCGGCCTCGTGCAATGCATGGATGCCTCACTTCGAAGATATCATCAATGCAGAACTCAAGGATTCAATCAGCAACTACGTTCGGCATCGACCGGATCAAGAGACTAAGTCCACCACGCACCCTAGAGCCGGATCTCAACTACCTCTCGACGACCACCAATTACATCGAAATGATTTCCTTTTCGAGTCTCGATGACATGAGAACTATTCGAATGAAGGTTGATGAGAAAGCTCATGATCTCTTCAAAGAAAAGCCCGGGCAGGCCCCATTGACAGTCACGAGAATCCTCAATTCCCAGGAGGCAAATGCGAAACCATTTGAGAAGGACAGAAAAGTCTTGAATCTTTCCGATATTAAGAGGCTCCGAAATGTGAGAAGTCTCCCCCATTGTGTCCGCTCTTTCCGATTCCATCGGACTCGTGAAGTGATTACCGTGAGGACTAGTTGTGAAGTTCATTACTAACATCTTGAAATAGGAAAGTAAAGATGTGTCCCAAATCTTCACAATTAACCAAGACCGATCCTGGACAACCTTGAACACTTCTCGTGAAATATTCGAAAGCTTTATGTCGACGTACGAGATAATGCCTCCATTCTGGAGATACATGTTCACGTTCGGACGTAAATCGGAAGAGAACGAGTTTGAGTTTCCCAGGTTTGGCCAGCGACAGAGCAGAAATCCAAAGTCGAATAGCATCATTCAAGGTCGGTTCAATTTCGTTTGGTCAAAAACTCAGCGGAGCAAGATCTAAGATTAACCAGAGTTTTCCTACATGCTCCGTCGGGTAGAACTAAAAAATCGGGAGGTTGCGGAGGGAGACTCTCCGTGGTCAATCCGCCAGACAGGAGTCTATTATAGACTTGAACCCAAGACTAATGTCTGCGAGACCCTTCAACAAGAGCAGAACAAAACCAGTCCAGTGGAGTGTAGATCAACGTTTCTACTCATTTCACCCTCTGAGAACGTTGACCTTCAATTTGCGGAATGCCTTAAGCAAACCACATCAGCTGGAGAAGCCCTACTCTCTGTTTGGAACACACATAGGATTCTAGTTGCGGATAGCTTGAGAGGGTGGATGGATTATATGGCTTACTTGGAGCAACGCCTAAAGCACCAGGCAAGTTAATACAACGGCGCTTGAAGATAAATGAGTGACTGATTTTGGTTCATCTAATAGTCTGACGAAATCGTCCTAGCTACTGTCGGCGTTGACAAAGTCAACTTTTCTCCACTAACAGACTTCAAGATCGACTTCGAGGATAGACAGGAGCTGAAGATAATAGAAGATTACATCCTCGATCTTCAAGTCATTCTCCCGGGCGTGTTGGATTCAATTACAGGAGTCCGTAACCAATGCAGAGCACATCTCTTGTCGTCTGACCACAGAGGCGAGGAGGGGCATGAAATGGAGGCTATTTTGGGAGAATTGAATGAATACATCGGAGAAGTTACGATGCATATTGAAAGAGCCAAGAATCTGAAAGACAAAGCAAAAGCAACAGCACAGTTGGTAAGACGTACCCTTCCCGCTTGGAATCTTCAGACTTGACCAATTCTCGTAGCTCTCTGATCTACTTAGCTACGAAGAGAATGTTGCATTGAAAGGCTTAGCCACGGAAACCCAAGTAGAGAGCAGATCAATGTGTCAATTCACGGCAAGCACTCCTTGTGAATTTCATTCCTCAACGCTAATATAACCCAGGAGAGGAGCACAAAGGATGCTGCAGCGGTGAAGATTTTGACTGTGATCACACTAATATATCTCCCAACAACGATTGTTGCAGTGAGTCCCTCGAATTACTTTCCCTCAAAACCTGAAGCTGAAGAAACACCAAAGAATTTCTTCTCGACCCAATTCGTTCAAACGGGTTCAGATGGACGGATGCGAGTCTCAAACAAAGTTTGGCTTCTCGCGGCAATCTCAGTTCCCATGACCTTCTTCACTATCCTGCTCTGGTGGGGTTGGGTGCACTTCACCAAAGTCGAACCAACAGTCGACCCAGAGCAACCGGGTATTGTTACACTGCAGCGGGCACACAGTTTCCGCTCCATCGTCTCAGCGAAGAAAAAGCAGAAGGATCTCGAAAGCGGGCTATCATTTCCAACGCAAAGCTCCCGAGCAACCACCTTTCGTCACGCAGCGAATGTTCCCACCTGGTCTTCTGATGCAACCACAGTGAAAGCCGAGTAGATTAATGTCAGCCTTGTTTTCTGCCATGTTTGTTGTTAGCCCGGCTTGTGCGATGGCTTGGTCTTTCAGGAAGGGGAAGAACGGGACCATGCATAATAACACTGTGCAGGCGTTCCCGCGGGCTTTCAAATTCGGCGGGCGCAATGCCCACCCACACCATTAACTCAGCCCCGCCATATGCGACTCCAATAGGGAACTTCAGCGCTTACTTGCAGTCTCCAATAATCAGATAGGCTGAGGTAGTGAGTTGGGGCGGCAGGGCTGAATAATTAGTCCCGATCTGAATGCTTATGCGCTGAGGCTGTGTCCACATACGCCCTCCCCTCCCTCTTTCTTTCTTCGAGCCTCGTGCTGACCACACAATTATCTTTGTTGGTGTGTTTCTCCTCCGAGAACCTGGCGCGCCTGCATGTATTGTTGTCCTGTTGGGTCTCCTATATACCCAATGGCCCTCTCAATCGCCACATGGCCTGATTAACCCAGGCACTGATTCTCGATCTGCAATGACTTCCATCGTCAATTGCTTCGCAAAGTTATTATTGCACCTCAAACGTTCCAAAGACAACAGTGCGGAGGCTAGCACCGAAGAAGAGTCAGTCGCACAGTCTACAGTAAGTAAAGCGCATCGACTGGAAAAGATTGGACCTTCTAATAGTTCTTCAGACTCAAGACGTTCCGCCGAGGCTGCAGGCACCTCACTATGAGCATCCTGTAGCTGCTGAGCCCGCAGGCCCCACTGAAGCAACGCGGCCGCCTCTTTCGGAAGCTGTCCCTTCAATCGTAATTCGAAAATCGACAGTTGATCTCAATCTGTCAAATAAAGAAGCTGCACAAAATTTAATTCTGGCAATCCCCCAATCTGAACCTGTTCATGACGGCGTCACCGAAACAACTCCGACCAAGTCATTGGCAACCCCACACCACTCGCGACGGAACTCCGGAGAGTCTTCTTCTTCAAACCTGAGCCGGTCAGATAGTGGAGAGTCAAAATCGGGGCACTGGCTGAAGGAACAATTGGATAGTACGCGGCTGGAATGTCCCATGCGCGCTCACTCATTTATCGTTCCGAAAGATGTGCAAGAAAGGCTGATCACCGAGTCGACGATTGCGGGCGATATACAGGCACACAACGGCGATATTGGTGAGAAGGAGGCGGCGGACTTTGCCAAGAAAGCTTGTCAACATGCCCGTTGTTTGTACGCAACACTTGCCTATATCAAGCGCGGTGCCGACATTTGTGCTTTGCTAAACGAGGGGATCACCGACAAAGACCTGCCTCTTGTTAGAAAGCCGAACGATCGCAATGCACCTCTGTATCTACGGTGCGGGAAACATGTCCAGACAATGACAACTTGGAGACCCAAATATCGAGAGAACTTCGATCGCGTTCAATGGTGGATGACTTCCCCGGTATTCGAGTACGGGGAGCATTATTCGTTGGACGAGAAGGCGGTTTTGCCCTTTGTTCCCCTCGATGCTAATGAGGCGTCTCTGGGCACGAAGCAAGGAGGTTATAGTGAGGTTTATCCGGTTCGCATTCATCCAGCCCATCATAACTTCTGGAAAAGCACAGCACAGGTATGAAATCGCATGCAGGTTCCTTGTTTAAGTTCATGATTTAATAAAAGCAGGAAAATGGGCCTTTGGTGGCCGTGAAACAGCTTTTCTCTTCTGACGAGACGGAATTTCGGAAAGAATCCACCATTTTAAAAGCCCTCGGTCCCAAGAACCACCCTCATCTCATTAAGCTTTTGACAACCTATGAGATGGGCAAGAAATATCACTTGATGTTTCCCTACGCAAACGCCAATCTGCGCAAGTACTGGGAAGACCACCCGTTCCCCAGCTTCGATGGAGATACGGTGCTTTGGTCCTTGAAGCAGATGAGCGGCATTGCCAAGGGACTTCAACTCATACATGATTTTCGAGTCACAGTTCCATTGTCTGTTCCTGGCGCGGGAACTATTGACATCCGATTGGGGAAAGGAAAAGGCTTGGGGCAACTCAAAGTCGAAAAGGGGGAACAATGGTTCGGACGTCACGGCGATATCAAACCCGAAAATGTTCTTTGGTTTGCCGAAGATCACTACTCCCCTTACCCGCACCATATGGGCGTCTTGCAGATTGCCGATTTCGGGCTGGGACGTTTTCACGGCCGAGACTCCCGATCAGGTGTTAACCCAGAGACAGTTAAATCTTCCCCAACATACGAGCCACCCGAGTGCAAGATGAAGCTCCCTGTATCGCGAGCATACGATATCTGGAGCCTGGGGTGCATCTATCTGGAATTCATCACCTGGCTCTTGCGCGGATCTGCGGCGATCGATGGGTTTGCTGATTTTCGAGGACGATACGCCACAGACACTGGGATCAATGACGACAATTTTTTTACTATTACCACGGAAGAAGGAATGCCAAAGGCAACTGTCCGCGAACAAGTTTCAGCGTGGAGCGAGCAGTTACATTCTGACAAGAACTGTTCCAAACTCATTCATGATCTTCTGGACTTGACAATGTCGGAGCTTCTTGTCATCGAGAGCGAAAAGCGCAGCAAGGCAAATTGGCTATGCATCCGGTTTCAAAAACTGCTCAACCAAGCGGAGACGAATTCCGAGTACTGTTTAAAACCTGTTCCCCGAAAGCCAGTCAGTGGGCGCTCGAACTCGGCTCCTCATCTCGACCCTCCAAAGGCAGATGGGAAGCGAAATTCAGTAACCTTCTTAGAGCAAGAGAAACCTAGCTTCTCGAAGACGCAGTTTAAGGTTCACAATACTGAGATTCCAAGAGATTTGGTGTTGAGAAACTTGGGAACTCCAAGCTTCAAGGCCAAGAATGTTGGCAAGACAACTACTTGGCCACTGCCTCAGCGCCAACAAACTGCGCATGGCTGAATCATGACAGAGAGTCCAATGGCGACACTATTGATTCCTACTAGAGCCTATCAGTTTTCTATGAGGAATCACAGCACTTCAACACAGAGTTGATCCTGCATCGGTATGTTTTCTGACCACTTTGAATTTGATACATGCTTTAACTAACACTCCTCAGCTCGCTTTCCGAAGTTGGTCTTCCCCTAACCTTGCCAACTCATGAGCCCAGAACGAGAGTCCGAAAGGAGATGAATCAAAGTCTACCTAGCCCAACTCTATCTTTTGCAAAGCAAAAGATACTCGTAGTGGATTTATAAGCCCAAACTGTTGGCATCTGTTGGGCTTGAGCTGCCAGCTATGCAGCCAAGAATGCGAGCCTCGAAGGGAGATCAACATAGGAATAAAAGGATGTGAAAGACCAAATATGAAGACTTTGGGGGTGGGAAGTCAAGAAGAACGAACGATCCAGAAGTAATAAATTGCTGTAATATAATCCTCCAAGAAACACTTCCTTTTGCACCGCTTCAAATCTTTGCCGTCACTTCCCACTCCGCCCACGTCCTTAGCAGCCACAAAAATATAGCATCCTGCCTCCCCTTTCTCTACTTCTTGTAGCTTCTTGACAGTTTGGTCAGACATTTGCTTCCGGCTCAGCCCCCGACAGCTCAATCATCCGCTTCTTGTACAAGTTCGCAACTTGCTCCCTCTTCCACTTGTCAAATCCTTATCCCATGAATTCTGCCGGATTGAGAGGATCGCCACGCGCCAATGACATGAAGGCTCCCATCTCATTCAGCATCTATTTTTGAAATATTTGTTTTGGTTGCTTGCGCAGCTTTTCCCATCCCTGGAGTGGAAACCTACGGCAAGCCTCCAGGCCTCCTTAAGCTCAGGGTAGTCCCTATTTGGATCGTAGTTGACCATTTTTGGAGCGGAATACAAGAGACCCCTTTGTTCGAACATGTCGAGGCTGAATTGCTCCTGGGGGGGCACAGCTTTTCGCAGGCAAGAGCTGCTGCAGCATCTCGTATTTTACCCTTATCAAAGACTCAAGGTTATACCTCCCTTTGGGTGAAATGCATAAGCTTCCTCCCCGCCGTCAGACTCATCATTCGGCACTCGTGGTATCTTGGGGCGGGTAGCTCTGGCGGCAGTGTAATTGGAGCCGGAAGTTTTGGAGCTGGTTGAATTGTCCTCTCTACTGTCAGGGCAACGCGGCCATGGAAGACCAAATCGATCAGCTCGACTGTCTGGCAGATCAAACATGCCGTACGGGAACTCTCCCGAGAAACCCTCATTGTTAAGCACTGCAGCAATCCTAGGTCTTTTGAGAGTATCAATGTCTTCCCGTCCAAAACACATCAAATCGCACCCGAATGCCAGACAAAACGCATTCGTCAAAGTGAACATGCCCCAGATGTAGCTGCATCTGGACTGCCATCTTCTTTCTTAATTCGACGTTGACATTGCGAAAAGAAGTCCCACTCCTCATCTGCCCAATCATTTTTCGTCTGGAATGAGTCTTCGTCCTCGCCACCCTCTCCTCCTTTGTCCTCTCCCACTCTGTCCTTTCCCCCTTCATCCGTTGGCCCCCCATCATCTTCCCCTCTATCCTCTTCATCTTTTTCCTCGTCTGAGGTATAGTAAATAGACTTGCTTTCCTTTACTTTCTTATCCTACTTTTTGTATCCCGATGGTGCAAAATGAAGCAATATTGGATGCAGTAATGCATCTTTCAAGCCCCAGTTCCGGTTCCCAGAGTCAATGGCAAACGTAAAATTCTGCTTGGGAGCAAATCCTAATAGCGCGAAATGAGATTCTTGAACGAGATATGGTATGATGAGGCAGTCAAGATTCACGAAGTCTTCCCTGGTCATATTCATCTCATCGAAAGAATTTGCGAGCACATCTACCTTATCGTCAAAACTGTTTTCGTCCTGGAGCTCATCATCTAGGGTGGATGAGTCGAGAATCACGGCACAGCTATTGTAGTTGTCTGCTCCGGGGTGGCCGCTCTTCAGGCGATGTGTTGTAGCTTCTCCGGCACTTTCACGGTTTCGGGCAGATCTTCTGACTTGATTGTCGTACTCACGAATTAAGTCGGATATAGTTATCCGTGACCGCCGACGACATGGTGTTCATTGACATGTAGTCTTTTGGAACGACAGGGAACCGAAACCTAGCCATATCCCACAGCGTTAAAGAAAATATTATCTTCTTGTAGTCCTTGTACTGAACTTGTCTCGCATTATCAAATTTCTCGAAACCGTTATATCGAAAGTCAATCGTCTTGAGCTTCTCAAATATTATCTTGCGAATTTTTTCGTGCCATGTCTGGTGCTCTTCAGACAATGGGTCACATTGTTGCCTTGAGATGATACCCTGCTCTTTGACCGTTAGCTCCGAACGGTTAAGTACCTGCCCGACTGAGTGTGGATTTTTGGAAGGGGATTTTGCTGAAGTAGTGTCATTTGAGGTGGGTTCCTTTGACGATGTACCCTTAGTTTCTGGCCCAAATCCCATCCCCAAAGACTTCCTAACGTTGAAGATTAATGCAATGTAGTATTTTGGGGTGGTTTCTGGAGATCCTGTGCATTTTGAACTCCATCAACGTCCTCACTCAAGAAGAATTGATTCAAGAAACATACCGGGAGGACTCCTGCAGTGAGTATCAAATGAACTGCAGGCATTAACAGTAGTAGATAGACTCTAGAGTGCCAAGGTCGTGAATCCTGAACTTACAGTATATATGGGAAGTGGGTCGTGTAGAGAAGGAGTTCGTTGCTTCAAGGCATGAACAATTGTAAATATACAAGAAGCATGTTTCCGTGTGGAATGCGCCAAATTCCGACCCGATGTCTCACTCCTTGCACTCAAGCCTGGAGTATCTCGCGCATTCCATTAAACGGGACTTGTAAGCTGGTCTCATATTATCCTCTTTGTATATGGCGATGTTTCAGCGGAGGTCACGTGATTTATATTTACTTGCATGGTGTTAGGAAGATATTCACGAAATATAAGATCTTCCAATCTGTAGCGATCGCAGAATTCATCTCATCTGCTTGATAGTACCATTGATACGTTGAAAGGAAAGTACGTCTCTGTGGTACGTCCGTGGAGGTGGTCGCTTACTTCGCATGCGGACCCCTGACGTTGAATTTCTAAGCACAACGCATTTGTAATCCCCTGTGGCCGGAGTCATGATTAGACAAAACAGCAGGGAACCAGAATAGCAACAAGAGAAAGATACGTCATTGTACGAAAAGGAATCGCACATAGTAGAATCCTTTGTGAAGGAGTATAATTATAAGCTGTCGGGCGGTTCTCAAGATGGAAGACCACACCACTTTCATCAACCATTACTGCTAGCGATGCCTCACGCAGTCCAAGCCGAGCGACCCACCCAATCAACACGGACCTCCAAAACCAAAGCATCTTCATCCCGGGAGCATCGGCAACTGCACACTCTATACAACGAAACCAGAACTCGCTACATTGATTCAGATCTCTCCCTCTCAATAAGCCACCTCCTTGTATCGAAAAACAACCCTACAGTCACAAGAATAGTTTCCCTTGGCATGGGCAGCCTAAAATCCGTAGACCAAGCACGAAGGATAAAACAATTAACAATATTTCTCGCTATAGGCGAGCAACTTCGACAGCGTGAACCCAAAATCATGCTCTACGCTCAGGATCCATCATTTTCCAAGGTTGATGAAGCATTCCTGCAAAGCCTAGGAGTAAACATCCTTTCCACGCCCTCGGCTACTGAATTGGGGGAAGCAGCGCAATATATAAACGAGTCGACACTTGTATACTGTCCGTTTCTAACGCTGGAGGCATATCAACTCTTTTTCGCAACTGGGTCCCTTAATTATTTCATCGGAGACGATTTTGATGCGCTCCGAGTCAAATGGCCTAAACGCAGTGCAGGATGGAATGAAGCCGAATCATTATCCAGACGTTTTGTGCAGGGACTTCGAAAACGTGTGATAGGTGGTGATAATGGATTCTGGGATGCGGAGGATAAGCCGTTTCCAATGGCCATGTATCATAGTTCGCAACGGCACCAGGACAAGCAAACCAGGGCTAAACTTTGAATTTCGAATCATCTTGTAATAGATACCAACATACCATTGAAAGCATTACCTTCCAGCTTCCCTCTCGATGCGCAAGCACTGTATGTCTGTGCAAATGAATTTTCTGCAAGGGATCGACCGGAAGTGGTCCCCGGATTCTTAGCATAATACTTCTGCGCGCGGGGCGCTCGGGGCAGCTTATGGCCGCAATCATTCAGGTCGAGGCATATAAATGAATTGTGGTCAGCTTAAAAGTCAATGTAGGCTTCAGAATAAAAGAAGGCCACGTAGCCGGGTAGAGTAAAATTAGCGAACTGCTAAGCGAGGTGAAAGGGGGGAGAGTTGATTAGCAAGTTGTGGCAACAGATTTCTCGTGGAGAGTAAGAATTCAAGAACATTAGACTGGACAAAAAAGACAAGATAATAGAAGAGATTCCAACAGTTTGTGGATACAGAAAAGGGCGGGTCTGATATTTATTACTCGGTACGAAGTTTACTTGTGTTAACGGAGCCGCTTTGGTTTTCCTGTGTGCGCGATTCACTATGCCCACGTAATGCAGCTCGAACCTCCTATTTATTGGACGATCAACGGAACGTAAACACAGGTGAGAATCTGCGGCCTTTTTGGCATCGCAATCTATTTGGTATTACCTGTCTTAAATGCAACTATGCAACACCAGCGCCATGCTCATGAAATAATAATAATACACAGTGCAATCATCTCATCGGTGCCCAGTTCTGCAGCCAAGTCCTCGCGCCCTCCAAATTACTCCCCTCGGCCTCAAATGCCGCCGCACACCACTCAAAATCAAATACACCCTCGCCAGCAAGCATCTCCGCAAGCATCCTTCTCTTCTGGCTCCCTTCATCGACGCAAAAGTACATCGGTGCAGTCTTGTTGCTGATTTTATCCATAAGTGGCTTCACCATCGGCAACGCAGTCTGAGCAGTCATTGCAACCCCGGCCTTCCCAGCTTTCGCCTTTGCCGTCTTACAGTACTCGTTCTTGCACCATGCTTTTCCACATCCGGATATCAGCTGGGAAAGATACCGTCTTTCGACTCGCCGTTTCATGGCTTTGCCGTCGGGATCGTAGACGTTGACGTAAAGAGGGCCGTAGCAGATGCTGCAGAGACCGAGGTCATTTCCTGGTCCCTGTCCCATTCTGCTTCCAGCTCCGATTTCGCCGTTCTTCCCTACGCCGTGAAGTGTGCGGCCACAATTCACGTTCCTACAGACCTCCGGCTTGGGACGCGAGACTTTTTCGAGCTCGTGGTGTTTTAGGTGAGTGGCCATGTCGCGGAGTCGCACAATCTTAGAGCAGAGATGACATTCTGTGGTTCTTGCTCCATCTGCGAGTTCGTGGGCTGTCAGGCCGGAGATCAGCGCTTCCGGGGAGGGGTCGAAAGGATCGCCTTCTTGAGGGACTTCGAGGTGGCAGAATTGGCATAGGATCAGCTTTCCAGGGCAGATGGAGGCTCGGTGTGCTGCTAGATCTCGTAGATTCACTGCTAGAACAGGGCAGTTGGGACATTGCATAGGAGTGTGGGAGATTTCGTCGTGTTTTGTTTTGCTGGCTGACGTGTTGCCGTGCGCTGAATCGTGGGGGCAGTGCCAGTGACCTTGCCATTCCTGGGACTTCTTCTGGAAGACGTTCTCGCACTGTGGGCAGAGAATGTTGTTTCTCAAACAGAAATTCTCGTGGAGCATCATAGTCCGTTTAGGTACCCATTGATGACAGTTTTTACACTGCTCCTCATCAGGGCCGTGCATCTCAGCATCTTCATCAATCACCAAGGGTTTCTTCGATGACCCATTCACAAACCCCTTTTGAAGTGACTTGAATCGGAGGGAAAATTTGTGTAATGTGGGAGCTTCGAATTCTGCGACTTCTCGGGAGTGGACTGAAATAAACAGAGCTTCTGAATTTTCTAGTTCCACATTTGAAGGCTGGATCTTGATATGCTTTGTATTCGCGTTGCTGAAATCGCCCCAGATATGCTCATCTTCTCGTGGTCGAGACCGTTGATGTGGCGAGTATGGGCTGATGAATAGCTCTACATCTTCTCCATCTTCGGTAGTCAACTCGATGTCAATACCTTGTGACCGGTCCCACGACGGTAACCGGAAATCAACGTAATCTCCATCCAGAACCTGGCCAGTCGAGGGCTTCCAAATATCGAGATCTCCACCTACAGAACTTCCCTCCGCTGTTCCTGGGGCGTTTTGTGATTTCGCCAATATCTGCTTCACTGTCTCCCGGGCCTGCTCTTCGTTCAAAGCTTCAATATCCACCTCCAGGTCGGTATCCACCACACAGATTCCATCTCCTTCGGGGCTAAACTTGTCGATCAAGAACCGGAACTCTTCCCCCTTCAGGCCCCGAACTGTCAAGATTTCTCCATTCGTCAAAGTTGTAAAGTTCTCCCTCAGATGGCGTTCCAGCAATGACTTCCAATCATCAGGGTTGTATCCAGCTTCCAGTGGCCGTAATCGAACATATGTCCCTTTCGGTAATTGCTTTGCGTGTATTGTAATCCGAGCAACTTCTTCTTGTGTTTCATCATCTGTGAGATCGATCGGCGCATCAGGTGAACTGTTAGTCGAGTGTATAGATGAGGCTTTAGATCTTGAGGGTGGAGGTGATACACCCAGCGCTTCCAGAAGAAACGGACTTAGTTCCACTTCTCCCTCCTCTGCAGAGAACTCTCGTATGCCCGCATGTACCACACAACCATTCTTCGTATTTACCAGGCGGAATGTGAGAGGATGTGGTAGTTGCTGTTGCGTATCTCGCCATTCGGATTGTTCAGCTCGTGCTGCGGCGAGGGAGTAGGGGTTGAAGGGGTCGAAGGGGAGGGCGTTGGGTGGGCGATTCGATGTTGTCGTTACTGTCGATGCTGCCAATAGTTGCTCGAGGGCAGACTGAGGAAGGAGGATCTTGTCTCCAGGTAAAGTCTTGGACCTCGGCGCCACCTTGAAGACGCCGGTCCATGAAAGGGATATCTCTGGCGCTGCCATTATGCTGTAAAGAAAGACTCTTGATATGCCGTTAATACTAGAAACATTACGAGAAATAGGAACACGTGAGGCAAATATCCGGAGATGTCGTGGTGAATGGTGATGAGGAGGTTTGTCAGAATTTCGAGAAGCATCGACGAAATGGCAGCCCGAAAGTTAAGGCAGCAACTCGAGATAAGATCGATAAGAAATAAGCTTAGATTGACGAATCTCAGGTGACGGCAGAACAGGGAGCGTTCACCGCTTTCGGCTTTCCCTTTTGGGACGGATAGCCATTATGTTGACTCACTCTCATCAACCTCCCCAACAGCCTCACACACGTCTACAGCTCCAACCACAGGCGCTGAGCAGAATGATGGAAGCTGGGCCAAGTGCGCCATCTCACTCTTCTTATCTTCCAGCATCGCTTCTGCATCCTCTCTCCAACTCTCTTGTCCTCGATCAGATAGTTGCGTATCTTCCGGTCTCATCTCTTCTTGCACTTGGGGCCACCTCGAAGTCCTTTAAGGACCTGGTGCATCGCACCCCCAATGTATTTCGACATCTCGATCTGAGCAACGTTAAATCAGCACAGTTTGATATCGCCAACATCGATAATGGGGGCGAAGTGTGGAGAAACGTCCAGCTGGACGAGAATGTCACAGAAGACGAGTCGGTTGCGTCCTTGATCCCAAACAGCGCATGTTAATCCAATCCTAGCTTCTATGGCGGACCTCTTCTATATATATTTAACACTCTACGAAAGAGGCACATCCTACAAGACGTCCAAACCCTCATCCTCGATGGGTTGTCTGTCACCTCCGATTTGATATCCGATATTATAACCCAAGACCATTTCAATGTGCGAATACTATCTATACGCGAGGTCCAAAACCTCCATCCACGAAAGTTGCAACAGGCATTGAGATATTCTGTGCGCCCTTCTCGGCCTGCTGGCACGCCGAAACTCAAAGGCCTGTACTTCTTTGGTTCCAAAGATACGACTCCACTCCCACGATCCGACCGTAGCATTTCCTGCACCGATACTACACCTTCACATGGAGTATTGGTACATTCTCAGGGAGCACAGATCGGAGCACAATGGAACCAGAAGTCTGGAGATACCTTGGCGGAGGAAATGGCACACAGCGGTGACAAGTGGTACTCAACTGGGAGAGTGCTGGCAAAGTCCCCGACAACAGATTGGGATAACACGATTCTTGCTTGTCAAGGTATCATCAGTTTTGATGTCGTTCTATGCCATGGCCCTCGTCATTCTCTCCTACCGAGCAGTGAGAGGTCTGGCCCTTGGTATCAGAAGCCAAGGTATCACCTTACTCCTCGAGTTGCAACTCATTCCATCGGAGGTTGTTTCAATTGCGGCAGAGCCCCAGAGGGTATGTCAAGATTTGGATCATCGCCTCTGGAACGATTTCCGATGCTTGCCCCTCCTCCACTGCACTCCTCAACAGCGAAAGCAGCGAAAGCACCATTTATGGCTTCTGGGGGCAAGCTTTTACTACGATGTATTGATTGTCTCCGCAATCGCTTTTGTGAAAGCTGTAACAAGTGGTGGTGTGAAGATTGCTATGAAATTCCGGAACCTGGCCAAGGAGCAGGCTCACCACATCAATGGGGAAATGGTGGTCCGTCGATAGGTGGCCACCCCGAGAAACACCTCAAGGTACATATGGGTCTTTGTGTTGACAATTGCCTCGTCGCGGAAATGATGCCTGGAGCTGGCAGTAATGGCATGTGGGGTTGATCAAACTTCACAGAGGAAACGTATAGGATAGCTTCGATTTCTTTCCGTCTCGAGTTTGTTGGCCCAGCTGACTATCCTAGTTCGGCGTCGTTCGAAGCTGTTTTGAATGCGGTCTGATTGTGAGGTGCTCGAAAGTCTTCTGCCCGATGACGCTGACCATTATAGTGCTTCGAATGCATCAAACGCACTCAGCTGATGTGCAAAGTTTGCGGGGGAGGATACTGTACGGTCCACAACGAAGGATCCACCTTGACTACTGCAGGTCGCCATGCAATCGATGGTTGTAGGTGCTGAGTGCTGACGAGCCTTAGTGCGATTGTACGGAGTGCCCAGCGTGCTTGAAATAATCTCCGATCTAGAGCTGACGAGTTTTACAGGGTGCGCAAATAGTGGTCGTCGAACTAGAGAGCTATACTAGAAACCAACCCTGCCAGTGTAACACCCCACTCAATACATGCCCTCCTCCGAAGATCAACGACTCCGCTCCATGGTCGTGAGGCTTCAGAACTGGAGAGGATTCGAGAAACGATCCTAGGGGGTTCAGGGTGTAGAATCCCAAGATACTCTAGATGGCACTGGGTCGATGGAAGTCGGTAAGGCAAGGAAGAGTTATGTGAAGAAATTCGCGGAAACTATCCATAAATACTCATCTCGTGAGGATTCAGAGATCAACATTTTTTCAGTTGCTCTAATCAGCAATCATGTCCTGACGAGAGATGTGGCGGAACTTTTCGAATCGAGGCTCAATCATGGAGGCCAAGCCGCAGCCAGTCGTGCCAAGTCTCTATTTGTGGACTTTGCCCCTCCCAACAATGATCTCCAAGTTGAAACATCAATTCATAATGCATTGCGATGGGGATCCAGGGGTTATACCCTTTCATTGTGGTTTTCCTCCGCCAAGACCTAAGTCCACTCCCAACGCGCGTCAAGTCCACAACCCCACTCCCCTAACATCTTTAACAGCCATAGAGTTGAAGGCGCAAGTACTGCGCGTCGGACGAACGCACAGACCAATGTATAATTATTATCTGCGATAGTCATCACCAGTCAGTCGATCATTATTTCGTTTTCTCCTTTCTGGTCCAATGGGAGTGTTGGGAATTGTCATATTTCGGGATGTGGAGGAGAAGAGATCCATCCACCCTTCAACTTCGGACGAGACGTCACCTTTGCCATTGCTCGTGGGCAACAACAATTTAGCACACGCCTGGAAGGTGCTTGAAGGTGGACGAGAGTACGTGTAGTCCACGACCTTCACTCTTGGCAGGTCCGCTGGCAGTGTATGTTTGCATTCAATTGTGTATATATTCACACTCTCCGGCAGCATAATGGTCTTTTTTCACCACCACCATCTTTTCATCTAATCTTCCTCGTCTCCTTCATTTCCTGTCAACACCCAATTCTCCAATTTCCTCGTTTGAAAGTCAAGTTCAATATGAAGCTCATCACTTCCCTCATTGCGGCGGCTTTTCTTGCAAACAATGTCGTTGCTCATCCAGGGCATGATATCCGAGCAGAGATGGTTGAACGAGCCGCCTTTATGCAAACCAGCAAGCGTGATCTCAGCCACTGCGCTGCAAAGATGAAGGCTCGTGGCATGGACACGAGGAGCATTGCTCGGCGTGCCTCCATGGCAAAGACTGCACGCAAGAAGAGGAGCATTCCTGCTAGTAAGTCAACAGCCTTGCACACAAGGCCTCGCTCTAACATATTTTAGATGCACCTTTCCTCAAGGCTCGTGATTTCGACACAGTCCTGAACACCACTCACTTGTCATCCGAGAGTTACACCAGCGCAACCGACGAGGCAATCCTCTTCGCCGGCAACAATTCTTGCGTTTTGAGCCCTGAAGTGACCCAAGGTCCTTACTACGTCTCCGGCGAATACGTCCGCGACAACGTCACCGAAGGTCAAGAAGGCGTGGAGCTTATCCTTGATACCCAAGTCATCGACATGGAGACCTGCGACCCAGTGCCTAACGCAATGATCGAAATCTGGCACTGTAACTCCACAGGAGTCTACTCTGGCATCATTGCATCCGGGAATGGCGACTCATCCGACGCAACGAACATCAACAACACCTTCCTTCGCGGTTTGCAGCCCACTGATGCGGACGGTGTGGCGAAATTCGCGACCCTGTTCCCAGGTCACTACACTGGTAGAGCAACGCATATCCACGTCCTGACTCACTTCAACGGCACCACCTATGCGAATGGTACTTATGGAGGTGGCTACGTCAGCCATGTGGGCCAGCTGTTCTTTGATCAAGACTTGATTACGCAAGTTGAAGCTACTTCTCCATACAGCACCAACACCCAGACCGCAACAGAAAATGCGGATGACTCGATATTCTCCGAGGAAGCTGCAAGCTCCGACCCAGTTGTAGAATACTCGCTTCTTGGTGACGATGTTAGCAGTGGTATTTTTGGATGGGTTGCTTTTGGTATTGATTTGACGAATGAGTTTACAGTTACTCCTGCTGCCAGTTTGTATGCTGAGGGCGGTGTCGAGGATTCTTCATCAGGCAGCGGAGGACCCGGCGGGAATAGCACTGGTGGTGGGGCTATGCCAAGTGGTGTGCCGCCTTCTTAGGTGGTGAAGGAGGAGTAAAGGGATTGGTGGCAGGTAGTCAGTCTTTACCGTATATATAAAATGGAGGATTTGTGGTTACGATTGCTACAAAACTGCGGTGCTTGAGCAACTTCATTCCTTTCCCTCACCCGTTAGCGTCTTTTGAGGCCACCGAACATACTGTGCCACCAATACAATAACAAGCCCCAATACAACAACGGGCAACAACCAAGGACTGATACTCAAATTATACCCCGCTTCCCCGTTGATCAGCCCCGCCAACCCCGCAATTGCAGCCCCCACGACAAAGAAAATCCCGTGCCTCGCCCATAATCCTGGGCTCCTCAGTCCTTGTTTACTGAAGCAGCTTCTTGGCAGAGTCAACAAGTTTAACACGCCCATCAACATCAAGGTCAGTCCCGCAGCGACAAAGAAATATACGAACACGAGCCCAATGACGTTGTAATCGTTTTGCAGCTCGTCCGCGGCGGTTAGAGTTGTACTCCCAGCGTTTGACTCGGGGGCTGCAAACCCGTAGGTTTGGTAAATGGAGTGGATGACGCCATAGATGAGCTCGAGGAGGGTGTCTTCAGCTTGTTGTTTAGTTGTACTCTCTTGCAGGGTGGTTAGAGAGCTGTTGATCATCTCGTAGGTGTTGAAGTCAGTTGGGGGGTAGGAATCAAAAATCTGTTGTACGGTGTCGTTGATTGCGGAAGCTAACGCGCCCCAGTTGTTGGTTTCGAGGCCGTCCTGAATCTCGGGGATGTCGAGGAAGACGAGTAATGAACTGAGTAATACGAGATTAGCAGCTGTAATGAGTGGGCTCCAGAGCGCGGGGGCTTTAGGCGTACGTAGCTACTTCGTTCATTTTGAACCAGATTACGAATTGGGCTATTCCTTCCACCAACAAAACTAGGAATAGATGGAATGGGAAGTGGAGGAATGCCCAGAACTGTTGGCGAATGGAGCCAAAGTGGTAGTCGGGCAGGGCATCGAAGTAGAGCATGTAGAGAAGGTACTTTATTTTGATGAGCGAGAGATGATGATTGGATATCAAGGAATGAAGAGAGGCTCACAACGATGGATATAGCGGCAATGATGGTTCCAATAGTTGGACCATCCCACGCATGCTCATTGTAGACGATCTGCAGCATGTTAGATCTGGCTTCAGGAGAAGGGAAATCGACGTGCCGTGGTTATCTTTTGCACAGTGGTCATGACGCCTTCGCCGAGAATAATGAGTGTGAGCAAGCTCATTCGCTGCACCAGGTGTGTGCCTTTGAATGTGACAGCCTTCCAGTTGGACGAAACCATAATATTTGTAGCGATTTCAAAAATAGCAATCACGTAGAAGCTTCGATAAGCTGTACTATTTTTATCTCCGAAAGCACTAGAGGCATATGAGCAGGTTGAAAGAGGAATAAGGATAATGGTGACAAACAACGTGACTCCTAGATAGACTGCTGCTGCAACAAAGTTTGACGCCGCAATCAGAAGGAACGGGACTTTGGTGTTCTGATATTTCCTAACGTGCCACATAACAAGGAGGTACTGAAGTCCTAGCACTATCCTCGATACCATCAAAATTAAGGCTGCCTTGGAAGTTAGCCACTACGAAGCATATTAATCAACGATAACTTACACATTGTTTGGAAGACTTGCTTCTGTTGATCCTCTGGCTGAAAATTTGGCGCAACGATCGCCAATCCAACCATTACCCCAAGATGCACGCCTTTGGCCGCCCGCTCGAGAACACTGTCTGCAACAAATCTGACATCGAACAAACTGACTTGACACCAAGTGAACCACAGAACACAGAAGAAGCCGATGTATGAAGTGAGCGTTTTCCGATCGTTGATCTCGTGAATACCAGAGAAGGTGGTGAGGTTCGCAACGAAGAAGAGGTCATAGAAGAGCTCGATATTCGTAGTTTCCGTGTGCCTCTGGAACTCGGGGAGTCCGGTATAGTCTAGCCCCTCGACCGGGAGATAGTTTTCTTGACCTTCAACATCTCTGGTTTTCAACCCGAACACATTTTTTGTCTGGCTCCCGAGTGCGGCCGATATGCTTGTCTCGCGAACGACCAAAGGATTCGCAGACAATTTCAAGACAGACGAGCGTCTACGTTCCTCGTGACGACTCATTCTATAACCGACGAGCCTTTTAAAGGCCGTTTGAGAAGGCGATTAAGGCGCGGGGTTTGAGGAGACAAGAAATGGTGGGATAGTAGGGAACAAACCAAAACGAGGATAATTAGCAAAACGAAAAAGAGCATCTGAGTAGGTAGATTCAGGAGCCTCAAGACCTTTGGAGATATAGGATGATTGAGAAGTATAAGAATCGATTTGAGATGGCATTGCACACGGGTTGACCAATAAAGGATCGACTCTGCGTTGCAATTGCTGATGGTGGCTGTGTCAGCATCACAACGTGAAGGAAGCGGCACAGCCTGCCTTGATATGCGGCCGACAGTCGCTCGGGATTCAATTGGCCAGACAAATATATATGATCTGCGAGGAACTATCCTCTTATCAGCCATAAGCTTATTTATTCATGCTCGTTTGTCGTTATTCGCCGAAAACGCGGGGGCGAATACGTTTACGCAGCCGAAATGCAGCCCCCAAGGCTTGACTTTCAAGGGGGAACCACAACCAATCAAAAACAAGTGAAAGCATATGATAACAATGGATGGGATTCAGAGTACTTCGACATGGAATCTACAATGCAGATCATTTCGCTGACATGAGATCTGGACTTGCTCTCACGATACACCAATCCCAGGCAGAGCACTTTCAAAACATCTCGCGCCGACGAAGTCTACGAGCAAATCGGGCATGACTTGCCCTTCATACTGTGGGAATCCGGGTTCGGTATCGCCACGGAAAGCCGTCTATTCATCCAGTACTAAACTGTCCTAAGTAACCATTTCAAGTGTGTGAGCTTTGAAATTTGACTGCACGAAGGATTTCTAGGCGGAGCTGCCGTCAATATAATGATGGGGATGATGAGTGATGGCACGATCTAGCCTCATCAAGATGCTACCTGGAATTATTTCAGCGGCAATAATGGCAATCCTCGACCGAGGAGGGTTGGAAGTTCGGCAGGAGAGGAGGAACAGGCCCTCTTAGGGGATCTGCCAAAGCAGGAGCCTGATGCGCTTGTGGCGAAGGAAGGGTAAGAATCAACATCCAGTTTGTAACTTGAAAAGATTTTGGGCGACTGAGACTCCTCATATGACGTTGTCTTGAAGAAAACTTACTTCGTGGTTTGATGGTGAAGACGGGGGTTAGTTCTATTGATGATGGTCTGTTCGGTTCAATTGGGGGAAAATTCCCCGCCAAAATATTTTTGGCGCAGCATCATCCTCTTCCAACTTCATCGACCGCCCCCTTTTGCCCCCTTCCCCAGGATGGCTGGAACCAGTACCAAGGAAGAGCAGGGCCTTGCGGCTCTTGAGGTGGCTGTCTCTACCGCGCGCACGCTGATCGCACAGCTCCAACCTACAGCTCCAGCAGCTCAATCAAAGAGTCAGAACGACGTCAACGCCCTCGACCTTGCATACGATGCTGCTTCCCTTATACGCGCGCATACGACCAAGCTCTCCCTCCTTATTCTCAACAAGCCATTCACTGCCTCCGCGATCTCCACTGTCCTGCGCGAATTGGTAGATGGGCCGCTGCCCGGTCTAGCATCCGCTACTGAACTGTGTACGGCCGATAGATATACAAAGGTAATGAGCACGGAGCTGCAATATAGGACGAAAAAAGTTTTAGCGGACTTGGGGACACTAGTTCAAGCTATTCCCCTTGATGGGGAGATATTGAACGACGATGCGAAGAATGGGACTGGCCCCGAGAAGGGGAAGGGGATTCTGGCAGTTACAGGAACGATATGGGAGGCTTGCGACGGTATAATTGAGTTGAAGAAGCTAGGTGTGGCAGGGCTGGTCATTCAAAAGGCAGAGGGATATCGAGATCTCTTGAAGGATGCGTTGGAGGAGCTACAAGAATGGGCAGAGGAGGACAGTGATGGGGAAGACGAGGAAGCTGTTGATGGGGTGGAGGATGCTGCACAAGCTGAGGTGGACAATATTTTTGGTTCTCAACGACACATTCCACCCGATGACCCGGAAAGTATTCGCCCGAGGCTCGAGTCTTCGATCAAACGATTACGGCTCCTTATTCTGATGTACCAAGCTGCCACCAAACGCCGATTCAAAACATTGCCTCCACTTCCCCACCCTGAATTACCACCAGAGCTTAATGAGAAATCGGCTGAAGATCCTGGAATTGCCAATCGTTTGGACGAGGTGTTAGACGTCATGAATAAGATTCCTGATATCACGGACGAATTGGCGAGTGCATTTTACGAGCTGGACGCCGAGGAGATTGACAAACGGATGGATCAATGTTTCTTCACGGGATTCGCGGTCACTGAGTTACTGGTCAAGAATTGGGAGGGTCAAAATGATGAGTTCAGTACTTGGGTATGTGTAGCCCTGTCGCTGGGCATGAATCAAGCTGACAGATGCAGGCCGCAAAATTCCAGCTTGCGATGAAGAAGGGATGGTGACCGTGCCGTCGGATTTTACGAGCGCCCGAGGAACTCAAAAACGTGCTGGGGAGATTGCCGTCGAACCAGATCCCGAGCTGAGTGCATTTGAGGAGATGCTGGCCGACGATCATACAGCCCGAACAACTCTGAATTCGCTTCAACAGGCTCACACGCGTTGTGTGTCAGCAAGCAGGATTAGGCGCGAGTGACGCTTGGAAACCTGCGCGAGCATTTATGGAATGAAGAGGCTCGGCAGTAACCCCGCCATTTATCAATGTTTTTCTGAGTGGACGCATCGAACCTGAGACGCGCGCTTACTTCTTGCCACCCCCTTACTTACAAGGCTTGAACGCTTGAACATGTTCACAACGCACTGCCATCCTTTCATGCTCAGCCAAGCCAAGTTTCAAGGCCATTGCTTGGATGCATGAAATGCTGCAGATGAGTTAGGCGCCGGGTGCAGTTCACCTCCGATGGTTCCTTCGAAGTCTAGCTCCAAGCCATGTCCTCCCAATCCCTCGAAATTTCCAATCTCTCCCTTGTGACCAGCTTAAAGTTCTACAATCATCCCATTCAAAGGTTATACACAATGTCGCCAGCGGCTTTAACAACTGCGAGTGCAACTCTCCCCTCCTTTGCCATCACCACAACATTTACAGCACCTACACAATGCGCGCAATCAATCGGAGGACTGACAATGCTGGAGAATGACGGGTTTAGAATATGGTTGAATGCACCTCTTCCCGTGCCAGGAACTACTATATCATCATGTTACCCGGACCAATTTATGTCCAGTTTCCTTCTTCAAACGGGTGGCATTTCTCAAGCCCCTTTTCGGCCTTTGGTGTGCCCCGATGGATACGAGACCCAAGGCCCGTACACTTCTAATTACATTGCCTGTTGTCCGAGGTTTGTTCTTGCACCATCTTCTCGAATAATCTAACAGTATTGCAGTGGTTGGGATGGCCTCGCTCCAGCGTCAAATGCTCCTTCTGACCGACCAGCTTTCGGTGGAACATGCTTCACAAATATATACAATGTACCGATCCAAATAACATCATATGATGAATCAGCCATTAAAGCCTCCTCTATATTCACAGCGACCGGTACTTCAGATCAAGCATTCGCATACCCATATGAAGGGTTTGCGCTAGGGGTTGCTGTGTTAGCAAGCACAACACGATCATCGCAAGCTTCTGAAACCTCGACAAAAACATCTACAACATTTGAAGAGTCCAATACGCGCTCAGGAGGAATGACACATGGAGAAGTTGCCGGCTTGGTCCTCGGATGCATCATGACTGTGCTCCTCCTCGTCGCACTCGTTGTGTTCGTACTGAACCACAGACATAAGCGACTCACAGACAGGAGAATGCAATTCTCGTTCTACAACTCGCACATTCGCCTTGCTGGTTCTCCGATGCCGATGATGTACATGGATAGGAACGAGAGGAGCTCTCCAGACACTGTATTTTACTCGGGCAAGGAAGGGCTTAATCACAAGAAGGTTCAGGTAGAACTGGAAGCTCCGAGACCGAGGACTGTGTATGAGATGGAAGCTGCGCCATTACCAGTCACGAAGACGAAACAACTACCAGACCTGCCGAAGGACCTGAAGTCACCTTAGGATCGACCGAAGGTGCCTCTTTCATGACTGTACATATTGTTTTCTTGGTGTCACGGAGCAGGCGTTCCCGGCATTTGAGGGATGTCCTAGAGCAGGGTTTTTGAGATATCCTCTTCAGCTGTATTATTTATTCGCTCGGAGTGTTGGAAATGATACCAAAGAATCTAGCTACTTTCACTTAAGCTACTGACAATTTTAGTGACCCGCAGATGTATGCACCCCACTTTTGGGCTATCGGAATCATGCTACGAAGCCGAGTGGCGTGCAATCCATTTATTCGCTATTTCGTCTTGATCTTCTTTTTGCTGTTGTTCGAATTCAATTACCCTGCCGTTGATTCGGCTGTTTTGAAGATTCCGGTCCAAGTCGTCAACTCCTCCAACAAAATGGCAACCCCACCTTGGCAACAAATCGCGGCCCAGAAACGGGACGAACGAGCACAGAAGATTCCTGAAAAGTGGAGGATACCACCAAGCTTCAAACCATATGAGGATTGTGAAGATGTGCAGGATTGGCCAGAGACATCAGGATTCTTCACAGCTCAGGAGCTCATCATCACAGAGTCCACAGCCACTGAAGTGGTGACAAAGATCGCGAGTGGAGAATGGAAAGCAAAGGATGTTGTGGAAGCGATTTGCAAGAGAGCTTCCGTTGCTCAGCAGTTGGTCAATTGTATCACTGAGATCTGCTTCGATGAAGCCATCCAGCGTGCTGAAGAGTTGGACGCCTACTTTGCGAGAGAAGGAAAAACAATCGGCACACTGCATGGCCTACCCATAAGTTTGAAAGATCAGTTCAACATCAAGGGCTTGGATACCACCATCGGCTACATATCGAGAGCCAACAAGCCGGTGTCAGAAGAATCCACACTCGTCACCCTGCTTCTGAACGCAGGTGCGATTCTATATGCCAAGACGAATGTTCCAGCGACCTTGATGCGCGGCGAGACTGTCAACAATGTATTCGGCACAACGTGTAATCCTCGGAACCGTAAGCTCACATCAGGAGGCTCCTCAGGCGGAGAGTCCGCACTCGTCAGCTTCCGAGGCAGCTTCTTAGGCGTGGGGACAGACATCGGAGGCAGCATCCGGCACCCTTGCTCCTTCACCGGCCTCTACGGTTTGCGACCATCTCACAGCCGTGTGAGCTATCAGCGTGTAGCGAACACATACATGGGTCAAGAAGCCGTTCGGTCATGTGCGGGGCCGATGTGTAGATCGCCATCCGACATTCTGCTTTTCTTTTCTTCTCTCACAGCAGAACAACCATGGCGTTACGATCCTCAGTGCCTACCCATTCCATGGAGGATAGAAGAGGAATCACTTCCTAAGCGATTGTGCTTTGGTTTCGGCATGGGAGATGGCACCGTGACGCCGACTCCACCTCTCCGCCGCGCGATGGAGATGACGAAGAAGGCTCTACTTGCGGCTGGACACGAAGTGATCAACTACATTCCCTACGAACACATCGAAGCCCAGGAAATCATCACGAACATGTGGTCTGCAGATGCCGGCGAGGATTTCAAGCAAGATATCCATGCCTCAGGCGAGCCCTTCCATCCAGAGATGAAGAAATGGATCGATTGGATGGACGCAAAGCCAAAGCCCACAGTCTTTGAAACTTGGCAGAACCAACAGAAAAGGGCAGTTCTCGCGACGGCTTGGCACGAGAGGTGGGAAGGGACGAAGAGCGTTACGGGAACGGGGAGACCGATTGATGGGCTCATCATGCCGAGTACGCCGTTTCCGGCCATTAAACATAATGCGGGGTATCCTGTGAGTTGAATTGTATGTGAATGGAAGAGCGAGAGTCTAATTGCAGCAGCATCATTGGGGAGCTCTGTCTCCTCTACTTGATCTAACTACGGGTGTGTTTCCTGTTACCAAGGTTGATTTGGAGATGGATATTGTTCCAGGGGACTGGAAACCAATCTCGGATTTAGACAAGAAAGTGATGGATCATTGTAAGGCACTTGGAAACCTGCTTGAGATAAAACTAACAACTGTGGAGATGGCGGTCCTCAGGAACACGAAAACGCGCCAGTTGGCCTAGTGGTCATCGGGCGCCGCTTGGAAGAAGAAAAAGTTGTGGCGATGCTGGCCGTCATCGCTAAATCTCTCAGAGAATAGCAGTCATTGTTTCGGATGAACAAGGTCATGGTTGATTGATGTATTGGACTTTTTAATTTAGCAGGAGAGGAATCTAATGTCTCAAGCTGAGGCTGCACATTAAGCTGCATCAGAGAGTTTCGGTTTTTTCACTATTTCAGAATCTGGGAGATAGTGGAAGGGGATACTTTAAATGCGCTACAGCTCGATGAGATATCAATATAGAAAGTGTCTGAAATGATCCACCTCTGTCACGTGCCTCGGGCCCACCTTCCACACACCCGCTGAGAGGCGACGTCCCATTCTTATCCTGATCGTGTAACCCTTCCATATACGCCCAACCCTCCTTCTTTGTAACGTGGGTCTCAATTCCTGGTAAAGGAACCCTTCAGGGCTCGACACTGCTAGATTCTCCAACCAAGACTCCCAAATGCCATCGATTCTCTGCCGTGCCGTATGCACTTCCTCCCACCGGGAATCGAAGGTGGCGCAAACCAGACCCTCTGCCTCCGACATTCTCTTATGGTGCAAAAGGATACATCAGACGTGGTGGAGTTTGTCCTCAACCTCGCGTGTCTGGTGTCACACACGACGAAGATTGTCTTCAATCTAATATTTATGCACCAATCGGAACACCGCCACCCAGTGGTTGGCCTGTCATCTTTTACATACGTGAGCTCCCTTTCCATGTTGATATTCCAAGCTAACAATATTTAGATGGCGGATTCTTGCAATTTGGATCGAACAATTATGACGATCCTTCCGCACTGTTAGCAGACACTGATGTGAAATGTATATTTGTGGTGCCGGGTTACCGCCTCGGCATTTTTGGATTTCTGGCTTCGAGAGAACTTTGGGAGAACTCCCCGCTGGCAGCAAACTTTGGCTTCTGGGACCAACGCCTAGCTCTCGAGTGGACGTATGAGAATATCGAGCATTTTAGAGGTGACAAGAACAATATCACGGTTGGGGGACTCTCGGCCGGCTCGTACGCCACATTTCACCAACTTGCATATGATATCGGCCCAAACTCGAATAATCAGATCATCCGAAGAGTCTTTCAATGGTCTAACGGTTGTGGTGTTGAGCCTAAGCGATTGCCGGAAGTTCAGGACCAATTTGATGATCTACTTTCGGTTCTGCAAATCCGAGCATCGTGGGGCGATTCTGCAAAGCTCGAGGCTCTTCGGGAGAAGACATCTGACGAGTTGGTGGATGCTGTTGGGTCGATGAAACAGAAGTTCTTTCGACCGATCCTCGATGGAAACTTCGTGTCTGAGGATTTGTTTGAGAATATTTTCAGTGGCAAATTCGGACAACGTCTACACGAGCTCAACATTCAAACGATCATTGGGGATCTAACGCAAGAGTTCCATGGCTATGAAAATGTATTCCCCCCAAATTCTTACCAGAGCTTGGTCAATCGGCTCTCTTGGGATTATCCACGCGACATTGCGACCGCGATCTGTTTGCCGTACCGGACCCCAGCTGCCAGGACAGAGGAAGAATGGAAAACAATATTCGGCAAGCTATACGCGGACATGCAAATACATTCTACGATGCGAGGCCTCATCCAATCTCTTATGCCGGCTCTTACGCTTTCTCATATCCTCAGATACAGAATCGACTGGCGCACGAAAAGTGTTGATAAGAGACAGCCGCCAGAATTTGGTGCTACGCATGGCACGGATCTCTCCATCTGGCTATTTGGGAATGGAGACACACTCACAAACAGGGAGAAGATTCTCATTCGAGAGTGGTTGAAGCCAGTTGCATCTTTCATTCGAGGTGAAAAGGTCAACTGGGGGACCTCGTTTGTGCAACAAGTTCGATATCTTACATCCGAGGGAGAGATCGAAATCAAGGATGACGAGGCCTGGGACAGCAAGCTTCCGCTGTGGGATTTGACGAAACGGATAACAAGGAACAGAAAGCCACGATCAAAACTTTAATATCAGTGCGTCACGATTATCCAAATGGAAATGGGTTGGCTTGAAAGAAATACTATTTCCCATTACGCACACTTCGCGAATTGCTGAGATCCTTCAGACGACACATCCCTGGCTTTCTGATAATTAAATCTCTAGGGAGATGGCTCACCAGGTATTAAATCTAGAGCATCTCTCAATCTCTCCGGCGTGTACTCCTCATAGACTGCCTGCATCCCCAACACCCGTGTTCCGATTCCTGACCATAACCACACCTTCCAATGACTAACAAAGAGCATACTGGCCCACTGACAACGACACACCCACTGCGGGATCTGTGGCGGCCAAGGACCAAAGTATCGAGGAAATTTTATCAAAGCGTAGAGACTCATCAGTGGCCAGGCTCCGAGATTGGGATGGTGGTCAAACACCGAAAACAAGACGAGCATTTGGATAGAGAGGAAGTAGGCTATCAACCAGTTGCGCAGGAGATCAGGAAACAGGAAGCGTGGTAATTTGAACAGGAGACGTATGAGGAGTGGTGTCGTTGGTAGGGAGGGGTAGAGCGCCGCATCTAGCTCCATTGACGCCCAGTTTCGGTGGAGAAGCTCATGCCGGCGACAGTGTGCTTGGTCCCAGTAATTTGGGCTCGGGGATATAGCGACGGTGAGAATATCTTGCGGATCAGTAACTCCTTGCTGGTCGATGCCCTTTTCCAAGTCGCGATCCAAGCCCGAGAGATGCTCATGCTCATCCCCTTGGTGGTTTTGTGGGCCAGAGTGGGAATATGATTTGTTCGTCTGCCACTGTTCTGGCCGTTGCCAAAAGTGTAGCGTGAAAGCGTCGTACGTTTCACTACTCCCTGCACCAAAGAAACTGTCTACATTGCTGTACGGGCCTGTTCCCCAGAATGTATGGACTCTGCCACTGATACAGGTGAAGAGGAGCTTGAATTGTTCATTCCAGTACGGCAAAGGCCCCTTGAAGGAGCTGTTTGGTGGAACGCTGATCTGTACGGTGTGAGGAGCTTCCTCTGCGGTCTTTGTAAAGTCGTAAACTCTGCCATCTGGGGCGGGGAGTGATATCGTCTTCTCGATCGCAGTCAATGTTCGTGTTGTCATGATGCCGAGCTCTCTGTTTGTTTGAAGTGGTGTGATGGGATTTCTGAGGATCGAGTGTGCACGGTTCAAGGTTCTAGGGAGGGGGGGCTTCACTTGCCTTTATGGTTGCTGCCTACTGTGCAACTATGGGAGAAGGATCTTAATCCCGGTCCGCACATAAGCGACACACACGTAAAGGGGCATCGATGTCAGCTGCACATCACGTGAAATGCCCTCCTTTGCGGCTGGTATAAGCAACCATGGGACTTTGGGCCTATCACAATCTTGAGCATGCAAAGTGAAAATGGAATGACTGGCTGCGGAACATACCCAGAGAAGGACCGAGAAGATTCGGATTGGATCAATGCTGAAAGGGAACGGTTGCAGCACTTCCGGGTGTGAGCATACTTAGAAGTAATGAGAGCTTAGGCAGATTCGGGGAGGACACTTGGACTTATCAGTCTTGGGGGTACGCAAGTTCAATTACACAAAATACTTCATGTTGACCTGAGCAGGCCCTCGAGCGCAGTCAGTATAGTAATATGGCAAATTTTATGATCCCAGCGAAGATGGTGAAAGGGATGGGAGGAGCAATGGTAAGACTTCGCTTCTAAATTGGGGGTAAGCTCTAACCTATGACAGAACCTCGTTTCCAATCTTGAAAAGACGAAAGTGCTCGTTGTCCAAACCCGCGTTGATAAATATGGGAAGTCGAAGAGCAAGAAGAAATGCGATCTTCCAATCACGTGAGCGAGGGGTCTTTACACTACCGTCACCGATTTAGCTATGTTTGATGTGGATCACGAGAAAGATTTGGTGCTGAGGAAGTGTAATCCGCTTACAAGCATCGGTGAAATACGAAAGAAGACTGCTGCCGTGTTCGAGGTAGGAAATAATTGCACAACGTGGAAGATATAATGATAAGGCGAATAAATGCAATTTTTGTTGACCCCACGCACACCTTCTTGGTCTGAGTGCGAATATTTCAAAGACCCAAACTCGCGTCACTAACCCAATGCCCGCCAGCAGAACATCGATAACCGCCACTTTGTTTAATCCACCTGTAACCCATTGGACAAATTCCCATCTCCCGCAGCTTTGCCTGGACCCGTTCCTCTTTTTTTCTCCTCGCCATCTCCTCCAGTCTCGTCCTTTCCATCTCTCTATGAGCTCTTTCCCTCTCAGCTTTTGCTTCTGCTTCACGGATACGAGCTTGCTCGCGCTTGCGGAGAAGCTCATAAGCTTCAGCTACAATCCTAGCCTGCCTTTCAAGTAGAGCAGCTACAACTCTTCTGCTTTCTTCTTGTGCTTCTCCGGTTTCTGCTTCGATCTCACGAATGCGAGCTTCCTCTCGTTTTAGTAAGAGCTCATCAGCTTTGGTTTGATTTTTTGCTTCGAGCTCAAGAAGAGCGGCGGTGTTCTCCTTGGCTTTCCTCTCTTCTTTCTCGGCCAGAAGATGTGCTTCTTCATGCTTGCGAATGGCTTGCTTGGCCTGTCCAGCTCTGTGCTCAGCGAGTTTCTTATAGAATTGTAACCTATGCCAAACGGCATCAGAGACTCCTGGATCCCTGATGTGTTCGTCTGAGGGGCTCGGGGTTTGCGCCATATCCTCGCGAATATCTAGTTCGGTACCAGTTTCCGTGGCAGTGGAAGCGCTAGAGGTGACTTGCGGGACCGAGGGAGGGTCTCTCGATGCTTGGGCTTGGCCAGGGAACGACGGTTGAGATGTGAGCTCATCACTGGTTCTCCCGCGGCATTTCTCAAGCATGATCTCGAGGCAGTCCTTGGCATCCTCAGCATTCAGAATAATGGCATCAACCCCGTTCCCGGCGTGGGCAAATGCCTTGCGCACCATGGACTTTGCCAGCGTCTCGACATCCCTCGCATTTCCCCAGGCTGGTAGTTTGGACAACTCCTGTACCTGACTGAGAAGGTGAGCATGCATAGCAGGTTCATGCATTGAAGGGAATGCAATCGTGCTTTGATTAAGTTTTTTCTCGAGCAGCTGCAGACAGTGACTGGCGGTCAGAGACGAGAACACGACTTCGTCTGCAAAACGACTGCTTAAGCCCTCGTTGATTTGAAGCAGCCTATTCATGTCGTTGCTATAGCCTGCAAGAATAATGACTAGTTTCCCTGCAAATCGGGGCTTGGTAATTGCATCGACAACTTCGTTAATCGCCTCGTGACCGTATGGCCCTTGTGCTAGCTTGTAGGCTTCATCAATGAACAGGACTTTGCCCAGGGCTCGCTCGAGCTGTCGAATTGTTTTCGGAGAAGTTTGACCAACGTATTCGCCAGTAAGATCACCTGCAGAGCATTCAACCACCTCGACTTGGGATAGTAATCCGAGATCATAGTAAACTTGACCAAATTTGCGAGCAGTGGTTGTCTTCCCTGTTCCTAGAGACGGGTATCAGCGCGTAACAGGGAGCAAAAGGATATGGGAAGGTTGCACTTACCTGGAGGCCCTTTGAAAATGTAGTTCGTAGGTATCTGTCTAAGTGGATCCAGGCCGCGAGCTCGCATCGTCTTGGCAAGTGTCAATAACTCACTTAGTTTACTGACGATCTCTTCACAGCCAATCACTCCCGCGAATAGCTCTTGCAGATTGGTTTCAGCACTAGATGCCCGATTATAATCCAAGTCGAAGTCTTGAGGCTCGAAAAGAAAGTCGGTTGACTGTTGCTCAGCAGGTAAACCTAGTTGTCGAGCCTGGTAGTTGGCTTGAGCATGTTCAATCTGATTTTCCACTTCCCCTCCATTTCCAAAGTTAAGGCCATTCCTAAGGCGGCTTAGCACACCAATAGCTGTAGACACAGCCGGTTCAGTAGCCGATAAATGCTTGGCTTTGAGCTTGTAGCGAAGGATTTGTTCCAATTCCTGATCATTGAAATCTTTGAAACGGATGGGGGTCGAGAATTGGAATCGCCGGCCAAGGCCTGGATTGACGTTCTGAAACATGTCGCTCATCTGCTCTTCGTATCCAAGTAGAAGAACACACCGATCGTCGCCAGGCACACTCTGAACTTCCGCAACTATCGTGTCGATGACGGCTGTTTTGTATATATCGACTCCGGTTCCACCCCCAGAACTAGAACTAGAGTAGAGCATGTATGCTTCGTCGATAATCAAGACCTTGCCGACTGTTGTAGCCAAGATGGCTTTCGTATTCGCTTCAGATGCTCCAATAACGTTGCCAATGAAGTCTGCGGGGTTCTTGGTGACCACTTTGGACGTTATGTGTTAGCCAGTTGCGCAGAGGCCGGGTTTCAGAGACAACTTACCTTCACCGTTGCTGAGCATTCCAATATCAGCCAGTATCCTCCCATACAACTTGGCAACTGTTGTCTTGCCGGTGCCTGGAGAGCCGAGAAATACACGATTAAGTGAAACGTCAATTGGTTGCTGCTCCTTCAGCTCCCTCTCATAATTTGTTTTGATGAGGCTGGTCATATAGTCGATTGAATTCTTGACATCTTTTAAACCAATGAGTTGTTGGAGTTTGGCATAGGCATCGCTTGTTAAGATGGCCTTTGACGGATCTGGTCCGATGAGGTCTTCTTTCGTCATGACGTAATCGTCAGGAAACAGCCCAAGTCTTCTCTCTTTGGTAAGTCGATCAGATTGTCTTTCCCGAATCCTGGAAAACATGTTTTCAAGTGCCCGAGCATTACCAAAGCCGTCCCGTCCTCGACCTCTCCCCAAACGTCCAACAGCAATCTTCATATAAAGCCCATCAAACCCATCCTCAACATCAATTCCAGACTTGTAGAATTGATTCATGCGGAACTCAAGCATCTCCAGAAGTTCTCCGTCCGTGTAGTCCTCGAAATGGAGAGTATATGGAATGCGACTTGGAAGACCTGGATTATGCTCGAAGAACTTTTCCATTTCCTTCCGATACCCAGCGAAGACAAAGACCACCTTTCCGGTCAGGTTTTCAATCTCTGCGAGGAGAAAGTCGAGCACAGTTTTCCCACCGAAGGTGTGTCCTTCTGTGAGTTGGTATGCCTCATCAATGAAATATACTCCACCTTCAGTCTTTTCAAGCTCCTGGAGGTGGGCTTTGACCTCAGCGACTCCACCATGCCCGAGACGCGATCCAGTTGTCTCGATGAATCCATCCCCAGGAAGGACCTTCAGGGATGTCAAAACCTTCGCATAGTGTCGTGCAACTGTAGTTTTGCCCGCAAGATGTTAGCAATTTATTCTCTAGATCGAACGAGTGACGTACCAGTGCCTGGATTTCCCAATAGCACAAGCCCGAGACGTTCCTTCTTGAGGTCGGTGTCCTGGCGGACGGAGGTATCGACCTTCGCCTTGATCCGCAAAACTTGACTTTTGACATCTTCCAGACCAATCATCTCCATAATATCATCAATGGCAGGATTGCTCGCATTTTCTTGGTCTTTCTGCCGTTGCCAGTCAGCCTTTGATCGTGATTTGTTGTGCTCCACCGCGGCCTTGATATGCTTTCGAAGATTGGACTGTTGATTAGGGGCTGACTTGAAGGGTTTGGTTGATGTATTTGGGACCTTTTTGACTGGTTGGCTTCGGGGTTTAGGACAGTCATCATGGTAGATACCCAGAGGATCCCCTGGAAGTGGGTTCTGTGTCTTGTTCGCACGCTCCTTGGTAGCCTCAAAATCCTTTCTTTTTTGCGCAAGGACGGCCTGTTGTTCATTGTCAAGACGCAAGTCCTCCATCCTCTGGGTAAATTGGGCCATTTGTTCATCGAGCTTTGCTAATTCGTTGAGGTGCGCCAGCACTTTTGCTTCTCTCTTTATTTTTGTAGCGAGGTCGCGTTGAGCTTTCTTCACTGCCTGCTTTCTGTCATTTTCGCACTTGGCACACACCGGTGGGGCTCCAGCATGGCATTGCCACTGTTGATTGTGGCCATTGGAGCACTTTCGTGTTATAATAAATTTGCAGGGAACTTTCGAGTGATCAAAAAGCTGATGGCAACTGCTTGGGCATTTGTGCAAGTCGCATTTGAGTAAAACACCACTTGAGAATGTCAGATTTATTCTTGTTGATAGATTTTAGTTATCCACATACCATGGTTCTTTACATCCACCGTCGGGACACTCTCTCTCGAAATCTTCGGGGGAAGATAGCAATCCAGTTCGATCGGGGTGTTTTTCACACTTGATCGGAAAGCCTTCATAGACATGGTTGTTCTCTTTCAGAAGATCGAAGAGCTTCCGCCACACTTCCTTGCCTTTATGTGCATTCAAAAAGGTGTCGGAGTTTCCAATCATGATCAGACCATCGCGAGCCCGAGAAAGCAGGACGTTAATTCGCTCAGGCGCCGCCATGAAACCGATGTTATGTGATTTATTACTTCGCGTCATTGAGACCAGGACGATGTCGCTCTCTTCTCCTTGGTAGTTATCTGACCCAAAAATTAATACGATAATCTTGGATGATTGCAACAAACTTTCCTATCGTTGATATCCGTAGGGAAGGCTTTGAAGTCTTCGAACCGAGGTCTGTCAACAGACCAGCTCGCACCAAGTCCCATTTGTCGAGGTCGTTGAGAATAGGATCATTTTCACTAGCCAATCGGTCTCTGAGTAGCTTCAGTTGCCCGAGGTACGGCGTGATCACGACTAATTTGTCGGATCCATAGCCTTGTTGTGCCAGATATCGAACGCATTTCAGTATCATCTGGCCCTCAAACTCGTTTTGTTTGGAAGATGTTCGACCATCGTGCAACTCGTGGGAATTGCTCAGTTCAAGCTCCGGATAGGAATGGGTGACGAAGACAACATTGTCACGGAAACCGCGAAGATCCGCTCGATTCAGCGTTGAGTTTGCGTCGGTGAGTTCCGGATATGTCAAGTGACGAATGAGCGAAGAGATTTCCGGCCTCATCCTGTGTTGTTGTGTAAGGGTGGTGTGTGGGAAGCCTTTCAAGACGAGACGTTCAAAAAGGGACCGATTCAGGTCGAAACCATCCCCCTGCTCCACGCTCAGCTCGTATGAACACTTTGGTCGAAGCTGCTTGTGATCTCCGATCATGATTAATTGCTGAGTATGGGGTCCTAGAGAGGTCAAAATATGGGCTTCCAATATCTCACCAGCCTCTTCGACAAGTACAACTCCTGGGGAAGCGGCTTGAATTGCTGCCGAGTATTTGGCAGCGCCGTTGGTTGTGCATGCAATGATTCTCTTTGCCTTAATGATGCTTCCATCTCTTTCGCCAAAGATGCGATCTAGCTCACCCTGGTCAGCATTGAATTGTTTTCCAGTGTCCCGAATTTCATTGATTAGATCGTCTTCAATCGCTTTTTGCCATCGTTCAAGAGCAGCCAGCCTTGCTTCAGGCGACATCCTCCAGACTTCAGCTGCGCCTTTCGGTTGAACGTGTTGAAGTGATCCTGAATCGGTCTTGCCTGTTATCCACCGGTCGAGTAGGTAGAAGGGGCTCATCTCCTTCCCCCTCTTCCCAATCCTAATCATGCCATCCTCGCCGCCATTCGGAATAGTGAATGATTCGAAGAAAGGCGGCTCTTCGAACAGAAACTCGAGATAATCCATGAGTTGATTTTTCTGCATGTTTGAGTTCTGGAAGCGTTTAAGTAGATCTCGAATCCTTGTCTCGTGATGCTGGAGTCGTTGCTTGAGCTTATCGATTCGAGTCCAATGGTTTGGAGTGAGCTTTACGCCTGTTTGCTCTCGCACCATTAGCGGCTTTGTTCGATCGGTAGATTTGCCTCCCAGACGGATCATATCGGATGATGGAATACCAATATCCATCAGGTCCTCAAGAAATTGGTCAAGGGCATGATTTGTGAAACAGACAACAAGAATCGCCTGGGATGTAGAATCATACAGGATCTTTGCTACGAGAGCGCCAATGAATGATTTTCCAGTCCCTATTTTAGTTAGCGCGGATCAAATGTTAGGGGAGCGGGTGGGGTTGTTAAAAATTGAGGACTGACCTGGTGGACCTTGCACCAAGCTTACTCGTTGCGTCAAGCATGTACAAAGAGACTTCATCTGTGATTTATCCAAGGTGACGGATTTCTCCAATCCTAAAAAGTTCTTCAAGTCTTTCCCTGACTTCTCTTTCAGCTCTCTAACGACTTTTGTTGGCTGAAAAGAGGGTCCTTCAATATCTTTGCCTTCTTCCCAGTGAAGGATCTCTTCCTTCAATGGCAAATCAATAATGTCTTGCAGCCGTCTCAAAAACGGCTCAAACGCAAAAATTGCGGCATCCAATTGGACCAACTGGATGTTGTTGGAAATTTTCGTCTTAGCCAGAGCCTTCGACATTCTTGCGTCGTCATTAAATTGTAGCGTTATCGTGGCTGGAATCTTAGAGAGCTCTTCCTCATCTCGATGGATGGTTGGGAACGCCACCAGTTCATTGTCTATGAGAAGACAAGCCATGCTCCCTTGACGCAAAATATGGCGATTATCGTTCAGAAACTGCCTTTTCTGGTTGGACTGGATTTTCTTCAGCTGTGGGAGTTCTTCCTTAATCTTGAAGACAATGCCCAATGGCAAACGTTTACGGTCGGTTCCCATGTTCGCTCCAGAGATCGATAGATCATTTATGGTGATACCTCTGTGACGCCCTGGCTTTGTGCCAGTGAGAACTTTTAACTCTTCTCGAATTTCACCTAGCATATCTTCACGAAGAAGACGAAACTGATTGTCGATATGGATAGCAGCTCGGGAGGCCTCAAGTTCACGGTCTTCGATGAAATCTGCGGTGCGGAAGAATGGTCGGTCCTTAGAAAGTAGTTCATCTGCGGTGGGCATGATAGAGATCTCCCGGTGGCTAGAGTGGTCATTATCATGTCTGCCGCCAGGTCTTGTTTCTGCATCGATATGAAGCTCTGACGAATCTAAAGGCAAGGCGTGTTTGATTTTTTGACCCAGGATTCGAGTTTGTCCATCTGGAGAGTTTAGAATCAAGTCGAGGATGGGCGGGGAGTCAGCCAATGCCACGTAAGGCGAGGATTCCTTGCCAGGTTGAGATACAAGCTCTAGCAGTAACCATGCAAAGGCGTGACATGCTTCCGGAATCAGAAGTCCGCCAATAAACAACTTGGTGAAAGTCTCCCAGAAGAATGGCGGATCAACCAGAGGAAGTAGCAACTGAGTGAGAACGGAACCAGATCCAATGGACTTGAGAGCTGGGCTTTGCAGGTATTGAAGCAGTGGTGTAGCATGACTGTTGACAAAGGATACTGATGTGTCTAATCTCACAGATGCCTGTAAGGAAGAAAGCCCGGACGGAGCTGAGATGAGTTTGTGGGCGCATGCAGGTGGGTCTGGTTGAGCACACAGAGCCTCGAGGAACAGTTTCCCATCACGAGATGAGGATAAATCTCTCTGGCCGTGTGTGACCTTGTTGAAGTACAATGAGAGCTTTGCGATCCGTTGGACGTCCGAACTTGGTGCTGCCATTGCTTCAAGTGAGAGAGAGGTTGGGGTTAAAGTGCGAAGGAGTCGGAAGGACCAAAATCTTGGCTTTGTATCTTTGTAACTTTGTATCTTGATGCAGAGCGGCCTTCGGTTCTCGAAACTTGCGGATTTGAATGGGACTCGGAAAAACATCAACGTCGTTGCTACTCGACCACTTGGGCGGTACCGATCCCCTCTCTGTCTTTCCATCCAGGTAGAAACAAGTTTACCTGGCCACACCGAGTGAGAGACCAAGGCAGTTCGAGCCGATTCTCTCAGGCTCTGTGACTGCATGCTGCACGCAGGGGGGCTCTCACCTGGCGTGGCAGACTCTCGCTGGCGGTGTCGATAGTGAGAGCCTCATCTCGCTGGTTGTTGCCGTTCATCTTTCCAGGCTCGGAATGAGTTGCATGTGACTGTTGGCTGGCAGCCTATCAATGGCGGTTGAACTGGCTGGCTGCCGTACATGAAGCTGCGTCCAAGGCGGTACATGCTTGAGGCCTACTGCACTACTGCATCTGGTGGGTGGCTGAGGAAGTGGCCGACGTGGCCGAGTGGTCGGAATGGTCGAATGGTCGAATGGTCGAATGGTCGAATGGTCGAATGGTCGAATGGTCGAATGGTCGAATGGTCGAAATGGCCGAAATGGTCGAAATGGTTGCAGCCTGGGTGCTGGGTGCTGGGCTGTGATCAAATCGTGGACAGAAACTGCGCATAGGTGTACGGCCGTGTTGCTTTCAGCCAAACAGTCATCGTCAACTTCAATTCAACTTCGCCTTTACCTTCACCTGCAATTTCAGAATGTCTTCCCGCCGCGGAATGTCGCGAGGATTCGGGAGCAGAGGCTCCCGGCGTCCTGACCTTACTCGGAACCTGACTTCGACTGTCCGAAGCCGAGCCGAAACTCCGCCGCCGCCGCCCCCGCCGTTCGGTCCCACGATTGACAGCATCAGCAGCAGGGCCGTGCTGGTGGAGGAAGATGCTCCCACAATTCAAGACGCGGAGTATATTGCCTCCTACAACTGGCTTCAAGGAAAATCCCCCATTATTCTTGTGCCAGGTCAGTACTGTTTCCGCATCTGTATCTGTATCTGAACTTGTGTTGCCTTCCTCCACCGTTCTGCCCTCTCCTCTTACCCACGAGCCGCCTCCCTGGCTAATCCATCGAACAATGTAGGTTCCCCACCGGCGTGGGCCCCGCCAGTAGAAGATACGAAGCTGAAGCCAGACAGCGGAGATGTATTCCGAGATGTCAACGCGGCTCGACACGCCTTGTATCCTCTCGAGCCAGCTTTCCGCGCCTTGAAAGCCATGGAACCACAATTCCACCTGCAATCTGTGGATGTTGTTGGATGCGGCAGCACGATAGGGAATCTGCTGAGATTCGCTGGCTCTCAATCCAAGCCCTTTCGATTTGATGTCGATGTTGTCGGAGACACCGTGCTCTTCGTCCGCAGGGAAAACCCCCCGACGGAGTTGATCACGGGCCTCCAAGGTTATGGCCACACATTCCCAGAGGCATATACAGCCTGGGACTCAGATGTTCGGAATTCGTGTTCTCACCAACGGCTTGTACTCTACGATTTCGGTGGGTTGAAGTTCCTCGTCCGCTCGGAAACCGATGGCTATGTGAAAGATCCCGGATTGGACCTTTTGAAAATGGCCCAGGCTACAGAGCCACAAAACCTGGAAGATGCACTGGGAAGTGTTGCTCTGGGTCAAAGCGTTGTCGATGCAGGCCAGAAGCTAGAAGTTAGATTGCAGGGCAGGAAGATCCCACAAAGTCTGATCTTTGATCTGAAAACACGAGCGAGCTACAGACAATTTGACATGGACGAAATCCTTCCGAGACTTTGGGTCAATCAAACTTCGAAGTTTCTCATCGCTTATCACAAATATGGAGTCTTCGAGAACCCCAAAGTTGAGGACGTCGGACGACAGGTTCTTGACTGGGAGAGTCGCAATTCAGATCTGTTAGCACGGCTCCACGCCATCGTCAAGCGGATTGTGGATGTCGTTCGCGACTCTAAGGATCAGCAATGCGAAGTTAGCTGGGATGGTGAAGGACTACTACGCATCACAAAGCAGATTGGAGAAGGAAGGAAAGCCCTTCCGTCTGATGTTATATAGTCATTCCAACTTTAGTGATAGAATGTTGAGGTTTTATCTATGTTGTTTCCCTTGAGTAATCTATAATAGCGGGTGATGAGATTTGAAAAATAAATGTAGTAGTCTGATATAATAGAACATGGCAGTTGTGTTGATATGCCTGTGTGAGTACCACGACGGGAAATTGCAACAGCATTTGCAGTGTCAAGCTCTAGAATTTGAAGATGGTTAGTTTATATGGTAGTCAATTCAATCCCCGAAATTGAAACGGATGGTTCAGGCTAAGAAATGGGGCACGCTTGGGAAATAATCAGACTTGGAAGCACTTTTACGGAGCCAAATAATTTGCTAAAGCTTCACAGCGCCATCATCATCAGCATCACCATCATCGCTCTTAGACGTTAATTCCTCACTCTCACCAAAACACTCGGGCTTTGTAGGGCTATCTAGCGCCTCATAGCCAGAAGAGCTCAAATCAAGACTCTTCAAACTTTCCTCCAAATGCTCTATATTTTCAGTCCTTCCAGCAGAGATACTGGCGATCAGATAGGTCGGATCTGTATTTGAATCGTGACGCTTTCCTTCTGGCACTTTCTCAACCAATACTCTGAAAGTGTCCTTTCTAACTAGTTCCAAGATCTTGCCCATTAGTTTCTCCGTATCTTTCTTAGCCTGTGGACCATTGCCTTCGTAGACATCCGGCATCCTCCAATTCGGGTAAAGATTCCGATGTGGTGACCGAATTTCAACACCACTTGCATGAACCGAAAAGTAGTGTTCGCACAATCGGCAAGTAGGTTTGCTGCAGCCGATGTATTTGTAACCATTGAAGAACCTGGAGGGGCGAGTACCGTCATCACTCTCAAGCCAGTCCAGGAGAAGGACCTCGGCGTGTACAATAGGTCGAAACTTCTGTTTGCTGGTCTTGGCTCGGATGGATTTATCCAGTTCAAACTTCTGTAGTTCTTGTGCATGTTCTCTGTACTCCTCTAGCTTCCGCGCGTCAGAGGTCATGCACCCGATGATACGATGCGCTGACATTTTCTCTGGAGAGTGTTTGCCTTTGAATATATATCTCCCGGGGACACTCGAGGCAATGTAACGGACCGTGTAGTTGTCGAAGAGTTCGGGCCATAGCTTGCTCGTCGATACAAGAGTTTTGGCAGCTCGTAGATAAGAAAGTAGCCGCCCCGCGAGATGCCGAAGTTCGCTCCAGCACTCAGATCTATTCATTCTACCCTCTCTGGCTCTACGGCGAATAAGGACCTCAATCTCAGACTTGTAGAGGCGGTCAATATGTTTCAGTAAGCTTTCGCAGTGCTGAGAAACTAATCGACCACTCAGTATAGAACATTAAAATAGAGTCGAAGCACTCACAATCATCATCTTTCAGCCCCGCAGAGTTGGAGAAGAGCAATTTTTCTTGCAAGCTCTGAAGCTCTCTGAGTACTAATCTAGCTGAGGAAGAAGTAAGGATTTTTGAAATCAGATTGATGTCGTTGCACTTACATTCATCCGTGTTTTCTGTCTGACACCCGCTGATGCAAGAGGCCACTTGTCCCTTCAGCGCGTTCACGTAATACTGGACCCGAGGTCTGGTGAAAGATATCGATTTCCGTAATATGTTTGAGGTTATACTCAGCAAGTCACGCCTTTCTGCCTTGCCCAGAGCGTTAAGAATAGAAACAATGAAAATCTGAGTGCGATCAAGTTCCTCCCTGTCTCGTTGATTTGAAGTGAATCGATACTGAATGTGGTCTGGATATTGTAACACAGTCAAGGCAGTAATTGTGTTCCCACCCCGCTCAGTATCACACAACTGGGCGAACTTGTTCACGAAATCGTGGAAGGCGCGTTCAGGAGATTGTTCTGCATCCAAGGATAGATCGGGAAAATTTACAGGGAGATTGCCAATGCATGCATCATTGAGTGCGGAAAGAAGGATGATGGGCCCGTAGAATCTATTGGTAAGACTATAGCTGAGCTGAACAGGGACACGAGGATTTGCATTCATCCTATGGACCACATGTTAGCCCTAATCGTAACAAACAGTCAGGCCATTCTCTTTACTAACTTGTAAGAGGTTGTGTCTTCCAAGTAATGGGTGAGTTGATAGGGATATCTGTTTAATTGTTTATGAGAAGGTGATTTTCGAAAGATTGAGCGAGGGAGCTGCTATAGCTGCTATATAGTTAGGTTCCGAGAATCGAGGGGTTGGGTGAAAAGAATATTGACGGGGCCTTTGTAAATATATGAAGCTGACGAAAGGCTCAACAGGCTCCACAGAGTTCTGTCTGCATCCGCACACTTCTTGAAGTGCTTTGACTCGCGATTCCATAACCGGATACTTGTCATCTTCTGCGAAAGCCAACGGAACTGAGACGGCCCATGCATGGAAACTAACGAGCGCAGATCTCCAACTGCACCGTGCCGGAATACGATGACAAAATTTTATATGGGAGTGAGGCGGCCAATCAGGGCAGTTTACGCATGCATATGTTCCTCACCGAGTGTGCGGGCTGAAGTTAGGAATGCCTTCAAACGAACCACGTATACACAGCCAACCTGCCCCGGTGAGTGAACTCAAAATAGCAGGGAAATTCTAGCCAGACTTGCATAATGAGAAATATATCATGCGTAAGGCAGTTTCTTCTGATTTCGTGGACTCAGTCGGCCTTGCAACACAGTTGGCCTCGGGACCGGTTCCAGTAGGCCTCCGGTAGGCCTCCAACAGGCCGCCAGGCAGATTGAGCGCCACTCTGCAGTTGGCCTCACAAGTTGACTTCGGCAAGATGCAATAGGCGGGCTACACGACAAAATGCATGCGAGGTTGTGTAAACTATCACACCACGATTATGTAAAGTGAGATTGTGACATGGGGATATTAACCCTTTTCTTACCCTGAGAGCAAAACTGTACCAGCACCTGGTTTGAAGTTGAATTTTACCAAGGTTTGCCGTGCCAAATTCAATCCCGTCCTTTGCCTCTAGTGCAACCTCCAGGTTCGGAACCGAAGCTTATCGCGAGAACGGACTAGCAACAGTAGTTGCTCTATCAGTAAAACTCACATTCTCAATTGGGTCAGTTCGGCGGATTAGGAGTAGTGAGCAGAGAAGAGATGGTGGTGTAACTAAGAGGTGCTGGACATTGAGGTGGCACTGGATATCAGTAAGTTCATTTACAACTCGTGTATCATGGATGCTGGGATTCTAACTCACAAAAGCCCTCATTGTGCAACCCACGGTTCATATCCCTGGCTCGTTGTAGCACGGTATATCCAGCGGTGTGGATTTTTGCACCCCCCAGCTTCTCTTTGGTTGTACTCGATCGAAAGAAGTATCATGTCTCATTCGAATTCGGGCTCAGGATGGTCCTTCACCCCCAATTACCCAGGTGACGAGTCAGATTTTCCTTCGGATCTTCAACCAAACTATCAAGGCTACACTGGGTACAACGATATGGCAGCCACAGAATATCCTGGACAATCGTCTTACTCCGGAAATTCCATTTCCACGCCTTCCATGGGTTCCAACATCTACACCCCCAATGACAGTCAGTACAACAGCAGCAATTTGGATACCCCGGGGACAAACGTCTCCTCGAGTTACCAGAATCAGGGCCTGTAGGGCTCAAACATTGCAAGCATTGCACCGACCGGATATGGACACCAGGTCCAAGACTACTCCACAAGCTTTAGTATGGACTCATACCAAAGTAACCCAGGCCCTGGAACCTATGTTGACCAGTCATTTGGAGGTAGCCATGACCAAAACTTTCAGGATCAAAACACAATGTCATATCCATTCTCTTCTACCCCATCAACGGCATTGAGTTATGACGTCGGAGACCCTGGCCCACTCGAAAATACTCCACAGCAAGAAGACAGACTTTCAAGTGCAGATTTTCCGTGTGAATATTGCGAAAGGGGATTCTCGAAACAATACGAATTGACGTTAGTTTCCTTTTAAATTTCTCAGAAAATTGAATGCAACTTACCATTTACAGTAAACACATACGCATCCATACAAAGCCTTTAAGTTGCGAAATCTGCTGGAATTTTGAAACAGCTCAGAAGAAAGACTTGGACCGACACCTCTTGGTCTATCATCCGTCATATGCGCAGTCACAAAATATACCAGAAAACTTGAAAGAATGTGAGGATTGTAGGCGGAAGTTCAGGAGCGACAATTTGAAACGGCATCAACGAAACGCAAAGCATGGAGAATATCGAGACAGGACCTAAGAGATCCCATTATTATTTTCGTTTGTCTTTCCATTGGTCTTTCCATTGGTCTTTTCAGGAATTCAGGATCGCGGTAGCGGATTTTCTTTTATTAATGTTTAGCTCACATCCAGTTTATGCCTTTCTTATATTCTGGTTTTCCTTATATTACTTTTGGGTTTCTAATTGCTGGATTCCATCGAATGCAACGTGCTGGATATCATGTTTCTAGTGATACTGCATTATTGGTTAAATTTTATGGGATGACTAGCTTCTGCTTTATTTCGCTAGGAGTCACCGGAAATGTGAAAATTGTTAGACTCACGGAGTAGATTTCCGAGACAGCCAGTGTATCCGATTCTCTCAAAGTGGCGTGGAAATCGCACCCCAATCTGTCAACGAGGAGGATATTCTCGCTAACACGTGTCAAGAGCGGGGGTGAGGCCGACTGCATTTGTTCGGCCTCCTGCAGGCAGGACACGCTGCTGCATGAGGCCTCTTGCATTTACGAGGCTGACATGCTCTCGTGTGGCGGAGTGCGAATGGCGAGCCTTGCAGTATCTGGCTGTGTTTGTTGGCTTTGTAGCATTGTGTTTCTCGAAGGTTGACTCTCTAGCAGCATGCATGAATTTACCACTATTTCACCTCGTCCAGAAAAGACGCCACGGTGGACCGATCCTGCTGCCAAAACTAGGGTGCAAGTCAACAATATTAATCTGTAACTTGAGGTATTACATCATATCACATTTGTTAACTCTCGCGGCCTTACCTGGCATCATTGAATTGACTTTGCTTATTATTGTTAATAGGTAAGAACCTCTCTGGAATTGCACGTGCTCAATACTATTACCACACTTCGAACTCATATTACAAATAATTTGGTTCATAGAAAACCAAACTTGATCTTCCGTTTACTTCGCAAGCCTACTGATTCCCTTAGACGTGACATGGCTTCCGCAACTGCAACCGTCGCCTTAAAAAGGAGTAAGCAGGGTGTACTTGTTCATTCAAGAGCCTATCAGAAGGAAATGCTAGAAGAGAGTTTGAAAAGAAATGTCATCATCGCAGTATGTTTACCTCTTTGCGCACTACCATGGCAATAAATAATAACACGCTCTTAGATGGATACTGGAAGCGACAAAACGCATATGTAAGCCAGAATAATTCTCTGACCATTTACCTCTCCCTATATTTGGCATAATCTGGACAAACTCTGTCCGATAGAGCGGTGCTCCGTATCAAGAAGGAACTAGAAGTTTCGAAGCCTGGAAAGGTAGTGTCTTTCCCATAAACACTAGTCGTAACTAACCAAATTAGCTCATATGGTTCTTAACTCCAATTGTGGCTCTCTGCTTGCAGCAGCTTTCCGTTCTGCAGTCTCAAATATCTTTGGTAAGGATCAAGCCATTTACTTCACTTGATAATGTTAGTAGTTGGACGGAGAAGTCTGTTTATGATGCTATGTTATTCAGCGTTAATATCGTTGTCTCGACATATGCAGTCTTGTGTGATGCGTTGTGTCATGCTTTCATAGATATGGAGTCACTCGCTCGGATTGTATTGGATGAAGGCTAGCTACTCCCTATTAAGAAAATCATTTTCTTACCCGCTAGCACATAACTGAGCCAACAAGAGCCCAGGAAGCAACCTGCAAGAGCCGCCGCAAACAGAAAATGGATCTATCCCTGCATGTGAAACCACCAATCATGGTGCAAATCTCTTTTGATGGGAATGGGTCTATCGCGAATGACTCACATGATTCTGGTCAAGTTAATCTGTTTTAATTCATTATCCGGCAAGTTAGCATAGCAAATGTTAGCGTTGATAGAGTAATTGGGAGATTTGGCAATGAGCAGTGTGATAAATTTGTGAGGTCAAAGGGGCCACTGTTGTACGGAGTACACATGCCTTGTCCACTTCTTAGACTCCCAGCCCTCTACGCTCTTCAAATCACCAAATCCGCATCTGCGTGGGCATATTTGCTAAATGGCTCAACACGGAGTGTGATGAAGCATTCCTGGGGCAGGCTTCATGCCCCAGGCGTGTTCCATTATTTCGAATTGATATTCGTGTTTTCAGAGTTGGCTCCAACCATTTCATTGGAGGTCGGAGTCGCACTGTTTACTCTACTGCACAGTACTTTATCCGTGACTCGTTTAAATATGTTGCATAACGTTACTGCTATGTTTTTAAAGATTGCCATCTCCCAGCGCCAATGAGGAACAATAACTTGGCATGCATCCACCTTCCTCTCCGCTTTGAGTTCGGTCCTTTGCCGCACAGACGCCCGTGTATTCATTTGACAAATTTCCCGAGGAGAGTGAAGAGGAAAGAAAGGATGCGAAAATATTGGATGCGTTCGAGATCAGCAACCCCCGTGTTGGCCTCAGCACTCACGTGTTTTAAGCGGATCTATTACCCCGCCCCCTTTTCCTCTTTCCTCGGTCCGCCTCTCGCCCAGACGACCCCCCCTCATGACGACAACCACGAATTCGTTCTTTTCACTTGGAGTGGCAGGACTAGTACGACTTTGCTAAGACAGGGGGCTTATAATCCTAGCATTGATGTGGTGGCCCGAGGTTACAAACGACTAACTCTCTGACGTGAAATCAGTCCAAGAGTAAAGCTTGACCCACGGCCCTATAAATGACCTGATTATTTTCAATTATGAATGTATTCTGCATGATCTAAGTAGCTCCCGGCAAGTGAGAGACGGCAGATCATTATGGATGCATGTCATGTAGTACGAAAGCTAGTTGAGTAGCTTGCGTATTCATTCGGTTCTGCGGATCTACCCCGCACTCAAGCAAACAACTAAAGTCTGCTAGATCGTCTCTCCTTTCCAAGGCGCCTTTTATAACCACTCGTATGCTAGCAAATGTGGCTCTCGACTGAAGATGGCTTCATCAGACACCCTTTTACTTTCGTGTGATTGGTCACTTTCCGGAAGGCAAGGTTTCCAACCGACTATCGAATGCTACCCAAGTGCGGGGATTACTAGGACCATCTTAATGCGGAGTAGCAAACTTTCACTGGTAAGTATAAATTATGTAGTTCCTTCATCCATCGAGCTGTTCATTAATCTCCAAATCAGGATTCGCCCTTCATCATGTCTTACACAGCAACCGAGACCGCAACGCACACTCTTCCGTCCTTCCATGTCCCGAAGCAATGCAAGGCTGGAGTTGTTGTGAATGAGGGACCTGACTTCCGCGTTGTATGCCTTGGCCTCGCCCAGACTCCATCCGTTCTTCCTTGTACAATGATTGACTTCACTCCAGGAGGTTCAAGATGTCCCTGTCCCAACCCCGGGTCCTGAGGATGTCCTGATCAAGCTTAATGCAACCGGACTCTGCATGAGCGACATCCATTTCATGATGAATGACTGGGCATTACCACCAATGTCTCAATTTGGAACTCGATGTGCAGGCCACGAAGGCGCTGGTGTGATTGTTCAGGTGGGAGAGCGAGTGAAGCACTTGAAGGTTGGCCAGAGAGCTGGCTTCAAGCCCATTGTCGATGTTTGCCATACTTGCGACGCCTGCAGAGGAGGAAAGGAGACTTATTGCCAGGGTGTTATTTTCACTGGATTGATGGCTGATGGTATGTGTTTAGTCTCCGATCAGAAAACGCTCCGAGCTGAAAAAGAACAGGTTCATACAAGGAGTACGTTGTCTCTCCTGAGAGGTACACTTCCTTGATTCCAGATGGAGTTTCAGACTATGTTGCCGGTCCGATTATGTGTTCTGCGTCCACAGCTTACAGCTCGATCAAAGAGTCAGGGTTGAGGCCCGGACAGTGGGCAGTGTTCCCTGGTGGAGGGGGAGGAGTCGGAATTCAGGGAGTTCAGTTGGCTGTAGCCATGGGATTGAGAGTAGCTATTGTTGACACCGGAGCTGAGAGGAAGGCTTTGGGTGAAAAGTACGGCGCTGAGCATTTTGTTGACTTTAAAGAAACCAAAGACACAGCTGCAGAGGTCGTCAGGTTGACGAATGGAGGAGCGCATGCCGTTTTTGTCACGGGTGGGGTTTTCTCCTAGTTCGAACACAGTTAGCTGACGAAATCTAGCTGTCCAGTCGTACCCAGCAGCTCTGGGGTATCTTGGTGGCCGGATTGGGGGTCAAGTCATGTGGTCAGTCGATGAGAAATCAATTTAGGCAGTTGTTGACTCTTGCAAGTATCGGTCTTCCACCAGCCGGCAGATTTAACCTTGATGTTAATCCTTCTGCTCTGGTATTCAAAAATCAGTCTGTGAAAGGAACTTTAGTTGCAGGATTGGGTGATGTTGATGAGACCTTGGACTTTGCAAGGAGAGGTCAGTCGCGGAACGAAGATTACAAGTGAGATATAGCTGACATGTTATCCAGGACTCTTGAAGCTTGAGCCGACCGTTGTTGGACTCTCCCAATTCAATGAGTCTGTTCAGAAACTAAGGAATGGCCAAGTTGCGGGGTAGGTCTCTTGCTGGTATTGTACCACAAATTGGCTAATTTCTACTACAGTCGTATTGTTGTTGATTTCAACAGGCCATAATATCCCGAAATTCGGGGAGTGCATTGAATTGGAAGGATTTTGTAAGCATGAAATTATAAATTAATTTAGTTTTCAAGTACTTTTTATCTTTAATTCTTAATAATTTGGCTTATATGAGACCGGTCTTAATAAAAATAGCTTTAAAATCGGCCTAAACTAGTTCTTTATAAAAAGCATTTAATAAAACTTGAATACTTTATAGATATTTCGATTTTCTTAAATACTTTTAATAAAAACTTATAAAGTATTTAGAGGTCTTCAAGAAGTATATATATAAAGCATTATGAAGGGATTTAAGAATTAAAGAAATTATATTCTTAAAAGGCAAGACTATTATTATACTTAATTAAACTCATAAAAGAATAGCAACCAATTACAGGCCTATTGCAAGCGCCGGGGCTAGAGCATAGCAACCCTGCTTTCCGGGGAGCAGGTACCAAGAAGTATATACATAGAGAATCGAATAAAATTAAATTAAGGGCCCGCCCCATTTCATCGTCATGTTCACATAACCAAACTCGCTTGTAAACTCCCTAAGCTCAACGTCGCAAACGCAACGATATACCCTGCCACCGAAAAGGCGTCCTGAATACTACGCTGCATCACCGCCCAAGTTATGCCAAATACCAGACTCCCTAACCCGAAGACGAGCAAAGCTGGCAGCCACAGTCGACTCATATCCCAATATTCAACGAACTGCAAGCCCCAGCCTGGATTGATGCCGCCATTGCAGAGGAGTTTCTCTTTTAGCTTCTTCGGGAAACGTGGGAGGTATATGGGGTTATTTGCTGCGCAGGTTGGATTGTGGAAGAAGTGCATGAGGTGGTTGTCGCCGACAGGTGGTATTACATCGATAGGAACTGGAGCGTATCTGTACTGCTCGTTCTCTGGAGGTGGGATATCGTCAACCTTTCTCACATCGACGGTTTCTGGCTCGCTAGGATACATTTCGAAGTTCACAAATTTGATTGAAGCGAGCGTTCGGATTGAGAACTTGGAAAGCCATCGTCCGCGCATGGAGTAGTAGTTGTCCTGGAGGATCTGGAATAATGCCCGGTCAGATGTCGCATTCAACGTTGCCAAGTCCAGCTGCATGAGTCTAGTTGCGTAGCGGCCTTCGCTGTAGCAGAGGAGGAGGAACAGGAGCTCTCGCGGTGGCCCAGCTGGCGTGGCCGTCTGGGTAGCTGCTTCGACGTCGAAGGCTCGCGGCTGTCGTTCAAGATCGATACTTGTGGATCTGGGTGAGCCGAATGAACTGAATGACAGCGCGCTTTTGATGCTCCCCAGGCCGCTTGATAGGGACCGGGTGAGTTTTCCAAAGGTCGCGGTGCTGCTTGTCCAAGCCTTCCTGCCTAAAGCTGATACGACAATAGGCAATCGAATTGGGGTTTTAGTCCATGCGCATAGAATACCCAAAATCGCAACTAGTCCATAGACGGTAATCATCAGATTAAGCCACATTTTGACAGCTCGCAGGACCAGTTCGTTCTGTGGTGTGATGTAGCCTCGCCCGAGGTCAAAGCCCAAGGTCATCCACAGCTGGCATACTGTAACCAACACCGGGAATAGCGAAATCAAGACTCCGCATAAACCGAGGCCAAAAAATAGCCATGCTGCTACATCTTCTCTTGTGGTCTTTTTCGGGGGCTGAGCTGTGGCCAAAGTCGAAGAGCATTCATTCAAAAGCTCCTGTGGTTCACTCTTGACACCGGCGGGATGTTCCAGAACCTCGCCACGACTACTCGGGACTCTCCTCCGCTCCAGGAAGCAGAACCAGAAAAGCAGCACCATTGGGGCGCAGTCGAGAAGCAACATGGTGAATATCGCGTTAAGGGACCACTGCGCCTTCCTTGCCTTTGCAAACTCGCCACCGTGACTAGTCAACCAGGAGAGGCCAGTACATACTATTAATACCGCTGTCTGTGCAGCGAAGGGCAAGTCGCCACTCCAGGTCTGTAGAGACAACCGGGGCCCTCGTTTATGGTTCCTCGCGGGCTTGCCGCTGTCGAGCAGGTTCCGGTATTGCTGAGCAGCTCCAGGAACGATTTCTTTGAAGTCATCCCAAACTTCATGGCCGCATTGCTACAACTTTCAGCCCCATTCTACGAGTCAAGCAGTGGAACTTACACATGTCCATTCAATTCTCTTTTTCCCCTTGGGAATTGTTGTCTTGTTCAGCACGAAGAATTTGCCAATCACGATTTGGAACGACTCGACCCAGGTCCAGGACTTTTGCGGACTTTTCGCAGGACTGAACTCTGAGGTGTCTTCAGTCTGTTCTCTGGATTCATTTTCTGATAACAAGTGCTCGCCATCACTATCAGATTCGCCGTTGCCCAGTTCGATCATCTCGTCATCATCATCAGCTGTTGCACCCGTGGTGTGCCCAGAGCGCGCGATCGATCCTCTCGCCTCCGAGAATGTACTGTCAGCAACGGAGCCCAATGATGAAGATCTCGAAATTGCCTTTCTAGAGTGGTCCTCAAGTTCAGACACTTCGTGGTTCGATTGACCTTGCGAATTCGCAAATCTGTCTTCAACCTGGTTCGTCATATTTTCTATTTGAGCTGCTACTCTTTCTTCTGTGCCTTGGGGACTAACTTCATCTCTAAGATCACCTTCGACGGACAGATCGCCAACCTTTGAGCTGAACTTTGCGTCTAGGCTACTATGTTCAATCAATCTTTGGTGGTCGGCTTGGGAGTCTCTCTTTTCTTCGGACGACTCAAGTTTGATTTGCTCTAGACCAACTTCTTTCTCCCTCGTTCGTTGCTCCTGTTCTGCTTGGTGGTCAAGTGGATGAATAAAGTTTCGGAGGTTTTCCCGCAGTTGTGAAATCGACTCTGACGTTTTAATAAACAGTTCAAGTGGGCGCATATCGTCCAGATCATCATCATTGTCATCTGAATCTGTCTCTTCTGAGTCTTCCTGCTCCACCACAATTTTCGGTCTCGGCTTTCCCTGTTTGAAGATACTGTTGCAAATCATATATGCCGAGTTTCTCGCCCGAAGGCGAACAAACTGGGCCGCCTGTCGTTGCGATGCTGTTCCCGCTTCTTTTCGCAGTTCACTTGCAAAATCCTTTAACAACCGCCGCAGGTTGCGCTCGAACTTATCACGGTCAAAGACCTCCAGCGCTTCAGCAAACATGTCTTTCAAGATGCTATCGGCCAGAAGGAGCGCGACAAGACGCTCACTCGTTGCTTGAGATCCAGCTACTGACGACATGGACGAACCCGTCATCGAAGACCAGAGGCTGTCGGCGATGGAATCAATTGAAGAGCATCGGGAAACCGGCTTGGGGATGTGTTTGCTCATAAAGTGCTCATAATGGGCTCCGCACTCTTGGCAGAGGGTACGATTACCGTCTGGACCTCGTCTCCATTCAAAACTTTCCTGGCGATTGCAGCTGTGACAACCGCCCGGGGGCGCTGCTCGACCTCTGACGCCCACAGATACATCTTCACTGTACATGGCATCTTCACCTACATCTTCGGCAGTGTGTTCCTCGATGCCTTGAGTTTCCCACGGCGACGTGAACTCCGGTAGTGGCCCATCTAGCTCTGAAGACATCTCCTCAAACTCAAACCGATCTCCCAAATTGGCTCCTTGGACCACAGGAGCATCTGATGTCCCGCCAATTTGACCATCAACATTTGATCGGTATATCTTTGGCGTTGGTGATATTGGAAAGGCGAATGGCAAGGGCGTATTTGTTTTCTTTCTGCCTTTTCTTATTTCAGTATCCTCCAGCTCTGGGGTCCACTCCTCTGGCTGGAAATCGGGATTGTTATAATGAGCTGTATTGTAGTACACATTTCTGAACGTGCTCGTCTGCATGTCGACCAGTGAGTCAGTCTCTACTGCAGCGTCCCATTCCCATTTACTTGGACGAAAGGAGGTTGATGAGATGGGTGTAGGTCCTTGGCTGTGCTCGGCAATCTCGTTGTCTGGTCCCAAAGTTTCTGGATTGTCTCCATCTGCTCCCCACCAGTTCGTGCTGTTAGGACCGTACCCCCCACAGACACGCCCATACTTGACGCATCTCAAACCTGTTACAGGTTATCTTCTTGAAGAGGAACTTTCTTGATGATGCGACTTACACTTGGGCAAAGTCTGGTCACACCTGTGTTTTAGTCGCACGCAATTCTTACACGAAGTTCTTGCCTGCATTTCGGTGGCTCCTTCGTCTGGAATTGCCTGACTGATATCGTATGAGTCTGTCGTATTGGTGGAATGGTCCGTAACTCTCAGCGAAATCTTCTTGGCCTTGCTATAATCCAATTTCCTATCTTCCGTATTGAAGGAAGCTTGTGCTGAGGCTTCCATTGAGGCTAGTTTTGAGTCTTGTATTGACTTCAATTCCTCGTCGAATTCGATGGAATTTCCAGGCTCATCTCCTGCGTCGCGTGCAATATCAGAATGTTCACCACCGGGCATGAATTGCACCAACACAGCATCGCCATGGTTGGGCCGATACTTTGTCCTGGTGACCGAAGCAAGATGGGTTTCATGAGCATTAAGATGGCGCCTGCTCAGCTCGGCTAGTTGCTTCGCTTGGCTCGCTGTGAAACCCATGTTCGCGCACGAGTAATTGCAATATCTAGTGATGGAATGAATATAAATGATCTTTGGGTGAAATCAGGCAGTGAGAGAACGTTGGGGTATTTGAGGTTCACCGAAGCAAATGAGGCTGAGCAAGCCACCTTTTCAAGGCAAAGTGCAAGGCTTTCGCAACCTTCAGTGCCAATTCAGGGGCCAATTGGAGTGCTAAGCGAGTATGCATAAGCCACATAGATACCGTTTTCAAGCTTTGGGAGTCGCCAGGCTTGTTGATTTGGTATTTCGACGGGAGAAACTCATTGTCTGGCGAGAAACCGCATGCTTTAATAAACTACGAGACATGCCTACTGTTTTCTCCTAGCCATCATGAGCTATGTTGGTCTGTAAACAGAAAGAGACATGCTAGGTAGTATTTATGCCGACACGCAATATTCATTACTATACAATAGCAGTTGCCCGATGACAAATGAAAACGTGGTAGACTTGAGCTGGGTGGGAGAACTATGTTTCAACATTAATGGCTGCCTGGTAGACACGTGACGGTCATGTGATATGACTCCTCCCTGTCCGTTCTGGACCTGCTGTAGAGGACATATAAACTGCAACCCAGCACTAAATTCAGAAGTTCTACGAATAGGAACAAATTTGAAGACACTATCTTCCTTCTTGCCAAATCTCAATCGAGAAGAAATGAAAAAGTCACGTGTCAATTTCTGGCTCTTTGCCAGGTTTCCTCCTAACTTGTACCAGTCACCGGAAGATTTCGAGAGCTTGGAGTTCAATTTCTTTATACTGTATTTCATCCCCTTCGAATCCTCTAAAAAATCTTGTTTTTCGGACCTGTTTGAAGGGTGCCTAGTGTGGGACTGACACGTCTTGGCGCGCCACCATTGAATAATGGCTGTCTCATCCCGAGGGTCAAGCTTTTTACAATGGAGTTTTTTCTTAATGAGCCACTCAGACGATCAGATTGCGAAGGTAATGTTCCTTGGCACCATCAATTTAGTATTACTTTTATGCATGGCCTGATGATTGCGGTGGGAATGAAACGGCACATTCATTCCGAAAATAAACGCTGCCAGGACGCAGCGTTTTTTTCTGCCGGTGCACGTGACCTGCATGTGCCACACGCGAATAGCTATATTCCTCACTGGCATAGGCCATTTGGGAATGGCCATATATTCCCCACTGGCATAGCTTATTTGAAGAATGGCCATATTCCCCACTGGCATAGCTTATTTGGAGAATGGCCATATTCCTTACTGGTATAGGCTATTTGGGAATGGCTATATTCCCCACTTGTGACGGCTGGCGTAAGGGCATGATCTGCCAAGGATAGGATATCGGAAACAGGCACAAAACGAAGCTAAGCCAGAATTACTTGGACGGAATAATACTAAAGGTCGAGGCATTCTCCCTACTTTGTTCCATAGCTTAGTATTTTCTAATATATAAGATTCTTTAAACTTTGAGCCTTTGACTATTATATTAATCCCGCCATTACATAATACTAAGCTTACTTGACTCGGCCTATAGAGGCAATATAATACTACTAGCAAAGGACCCGTATTTATTCTTAGAAAGCAAAGACAGAATACCGCTTTTAATATTTAATAATCTCCTTGAACTATAAAGAACTAGAGAGCTTAACTAGAAGTATAATATCCTCTATAACCTAGTTAATTTTGGAGCCTGACCCTTAACTAGAGTAAATAATATTTCTCTCCTAGTAATTAGTCCTTTACTAATATAAAAGAAGAAAGATATTGTCTTTTATAACCCGGTTAATCTCGGAGCCTAATTCTTAACTAGAGTAGATAATATTTCCTTAATACTAATAAGAGTAAAAGAACTAGCCCTTTTCCCTAATATAGGAAGAATTAGTAATAGTCTACTAATTTAAAATAAGAAAAGATAATAGTTAGTTTTAGTCTACTAACTTAAAACTAGATAAGATAATAATCGGTTATAGTTTACTAATATTAAATAAGAAGAACTTACTTAGTATTTACCTCTATAGCTAATATCTTTTCTAAAGCTATTATAAATAGCCCGGAGCTAAGTACTACTACTATAGGTATATTAGATAAGAGGCCCTAATATAATAAAATAGAGAAGCCAAACTTTAATATTATAAACCTATATTACTAGAAAAGCTATTATAATACTATTTCGGAAAAAGATATTAAGAAATAACTAGCTAACTTGAAACTCAAAATTAATATAAATATTCCGAAAATAAATAAGGTCTAGTAAAGATTACTTATATGGGATAACCTTATTAATAAATACTATTTTATAGCTAATAAATAAGCAAAATACTACTAGAAATTCTACTTATATATTAACTAACTTACTAAGAAAGTTAATAAGCTAAAGGTAATTACTAGTTAACTTTATATAAGAAAAAAACTAATATAAGAAAAAATAATAAAATAAAGATTTAAGTAAGTAAATATTTAGGAATATTATAGATCCCTATTAGAAGAACTATTTAGGAGCTAATACTAAGGCTTTCTCTCGCTTTCTATTTATAGTAATTAATTATAGCTTATTAGAATTAAGGATTCTGCCTTATTTATAAATAAGAATAATTACTAGATTAATAACTAGATATTTAATATAAGAAATAAACTAATATAGAACTCCTCTGAATTTAATAGTAAATTATTAAAGATTACTTATATAATATAACTAGTTACCGGAAATACTCGTAACTTTATTTATAATTAACTAGAACCTGGATTAGTTAGACAGATTTTAATTACTAAATAGATTTTTAAGATTTTCTAGTAAGCTTATAGTAAAAGTAAAGAAATAAAATACTAGAAAATAAAAGAAGTATACTAGTACCTGAAATAAGGAAATAAGTTATTCCTAGTATTCTAAGTAAAGTTTACTTACTTAATAATAAAACTAGAGAAGTTACTAGATAACTAATATAATAACTTAATAGATAAAATAAACCTCGAATTACTTAAGAGCTTAAGTAATAAGAAGTTTAATATTTCTAGAAACCTTACTAAGTAATATATAGAATAAGAGAATAAGTTTCTCTTAATTAAAAATTAGTAATTCTAGAAGAAATAACTAGTAGAAATTACTTATTACTAAATATTACCTTGGGCTAGAAAGCCTATTGGAATCTAAGAAGCTATAGTAATCCTATATCTAATAAATTAATTTTAGTAGCTAGTATTTTTATAACTAAAGAAAGTAATTTACTAAGAATTTGAGAAGAAATTAGACTAGCTAGAGAGCCTTTATTATTATAGTTATAAAAAGCCTAAATATATAAAAAGTATTTATTCTAATTTTAATAAGATTATATTTATTAAAGAGAATTATTTAGAGAGAGCTAATTATTTAAAGATAAATAATAAAAATACCGACTTCTATTTATTATTTAATAAGAAATATAATATTAATAAGTTAGGAAAAGTTTAGCTCTAGATATAAAAGTAGCTTTTCTAAAATAAAAACTTTATTAAGAACTTATAGATCTTATTTAGCTAATTAGTAGGAACTAGTTCCTTATTAATTATTAAATATACTAGAAAGGTAAAACTATAACTTTCTAGTATTTAGTAAATACTAGAATAAATATATATATTCTAATTAATTAAAAGTATATTTGCCTCTTAATAAAAGTATTATAAATACCCTTATATAAACTTAAAACCTCTATTTCCTTATAAGGTTTTAATAAATAATCTAGTAAAGCTATTTAATATTTAGTTATTATAGATCTAGCTATTAATTAGTACTTTTAAACTTAATAATACCTGCTTATTACTAACCTCGGCTCTTATAATATAATTCTAGAAAGGAAATAACTAGTAAAATATAATATTTTATTAGACTATTAATAGAATTAACTTTATTAGTTAGAGAATTATAAGACAAATTAGCTAGATCTTATTTAGAAAATCTAATATTTTAATAAGAAATATTAAAAAGATAACTATTCCGAAAATATTCTAATTAGAATTCTAAAAAGAACTAGTAAAACTAGACTCAAAAAGTAAAAGAATATACTTCTTATTTTTTTATAAGACCTTTTTATAAGGAAAGCCGAATACTAAATAAGAAAAGAAAAGCTAGACCTTAATATTCTCAAAATAGTTAAGTTACTAGACTATTTTTACTATTTTATTAAAATGGCTGCTTTCTAATTAAATACTAAAAACTCTAGTAACTTAATTAGATTAGTTATTATTAATGAGATTAATTATATATTTAAGAAATAGAATTATAAATTAAAGAAATATCTATTATTACCCGTAATAATTAAATAACTAATACTATAGCTCGCTAGATATTATACTTAAATTAGTAATCTAATATATTCCCTAGATATAAATGAACCTAATACCCTTAGTAATATACTATTTTTTAATTCTAAAGAACTTTAAGAGCTCCGGATATTTCTTCCTATATAACTATATAATATAGTTAAGATATTTTTTAAAAAAGTAATAAATAAGCTTCCCTAGTCTTAATCTTTTAATTATAAGCTTTACTTTAATAAACCAGATTCCTTAATAAGAATAGCCTATTTCTATAAGATAAGCTTTAGTAAATTCGAAAAAATAAAAAAGTATTTTATTAAGCTATTCGAATTTCTCTTTTTATTACTAGTTTTATTTATTAAAAAGAAAGATAATAGCCTATAATTTTATATTAACTATTAATAGCTAAATACTATAATAAAAAAGAATTACTATCTTTTATTATTTATTATTAAGACTTTTAATTAATTAATTAAATTATTAGTATTTACTAAATTAGATATTTAATATATTTTTAATCGAATTTATATAGAACTAGCTTCTATAATATAAGTAGTTTTTAGAATAAGATATAGATTCTTTAAACTAGTAGTTCTATTATTTGAATTCTATAATAAACTAGTAACTTTCTAGTAATATATTAATACTATTCTAATAAACTATTTAGATGACTTTTATTTAGCCTATATTAATAATATACTAATATTTTCTAAAAATAAGAAAAAGTATTAATAGTATATTAGAATAGTCCTATAAAAGCTCTGGAATACCGGATTAT